GCCGCCCCGACCCCGACCGGGATCGCCCTTTTCTTAGGTCCCGGGCGGCCTTTTTGGGCGAACCCCCCCCCCCCCCCCCCCCTTGCCTGGGAAGTTTGGAAAAGCTTGTTTGACTTTAACCTTTTTGGCCGCCTACCCTCCCCGTAGGTATGGGTCTCCCTACGTATCACGGCAGGAGAAGATGGATGGGAGGTATGCGGTATGTATGTACCAAGGTAGGGATGAGGTAGGGATGTATGTCTAAGGTAGTCTAGGTCTAGCCAACCAGCAGATTCGGAGAGGAGATCCGGCTGAGAGGTACGTTGGGTTGGGTTAGGTACTTAGGTGTATGTACCTACTCTGGGGGTAAAGGGGGGGATGTCGTATGTCGTACAGGACTATACGGACCTGGACCTAGACCTGGACTTTGGCTGGGACGGCTCGGAGGTTTTCAGCACGACATTTGGAGATATCACTGGTTGAAATAAATTAGATACAATAAGTCACGAGTTATAATAATATTGATTATTTTATTTTGGAAGTCATATCACGAATCTGTTCATGACCAGGTCTTAGATACCTTCGGGCCGGAATATTTTCATGGCTCTCATGGCGAGTTCGGAATGACAGCCTTGGCCGGCATATATTGACATATATCACGTTACTTACGAATGCGGTGTTACACCAGAGGCACTTTGTCACGCCATCCCAGCCTTATACCGTTCTTGGTACCATCGTGAGATCTCTTTAGGTACCTAGCCAACTGAAGCTTTGCTACACGGACACCTATCGGTCTGGTACTTATCCCCAAGTTCGAATGCTATTTGATAGGTAAAAAATAAACCCCAATACTTATCCAGTTATACTCCGGGGAACGGTCTAGAAGAAGTCAACCATTAGAGTCTAAATCTATTTACCTACCCCGTCTCCTGTCCGCTTTCTTCAAGTCTCCTATAATTCTTTTTTACGAACCAACTACGCAAGTTCAGCAGGTAAGAGACACTGACTTGGCATCCTAAATAATAGCCACAAGAAGATGATAGGACGCAACCAAGACTGGGGGCAGGGGGCCAGGGGGCCTAGATTCCAAAAGAACTTCTCCGCGAAGAGCCTCGTGGGGTGATATGAACTGAGCGTATGACGCATCTAAAAATATATAATGGCATGTTTACCTAGGCCGCTCCCGAGCTGACCTGATTTCTGTCCCGGGTAATGACGAAACCCAAGTGCTGTTGCCAATGGTATATGTATACGTATGGTATTGTATAACCACCGCAATTCAACCGTCACACCCACCCCGTACGCCTCTCACCTCCGCGATCCCGGTTCCAAGACCGTGGCGTTAGGTCTAGGCTCCCTCGAACCTGTAGCCGCATACGCAACCGCACTAAATATAGTCTTCGACTAGCAGTGCGTACAACAGGTTAGGTTAGGTACCAGGTAGGTATGTAGTACCTAGCTATGTACTACTGAAACTGCGCGATTCCATATCGACCAAAGAGAAAAAGATATCGAGCCCACACACCAGCGCACCAAGAAGCGCAAATCATACATGAACGATCTTATCGAAACGCGCAGAACATCATCATCACATCCATAGAATAGAAGGACCCCCCCTCCCCGCGCGTCACGAGAACGGATTCTCCATCTGCCGCTCCTTCTCGACGTACACGGCGGTCCCCGACACCGAGACCTGCACGAAGCCCAAGACCTCCTTCTCGACGAACGCCAGCCCCACGACCGCGTTCGCCCCGCGCGCCACGCAGTCCCGCGCCATCCTCTCCGCCGCCTGGTCCCGCGCGTTGTACGTCATGTGCGTCAGGCTCCTGACTTCACCCCCCCCTCCTCCTGCCGCCTTCGCCGCTTTCAGCAGCGCTTTGGTGTCTCTGAGCGCGTACGCCGTGCACCCGTACACGGCGCCCAGGACGCGCGCGACGCGGTACCCGGGGAGCGTCGACAGCGTGGACGTGAGGATCGGCGGCGCCGTGCAGTGGGGCTCGCTGTCCGGCTTTGCAAAACTGCTGCTGCTGCTGAGGAGCGTATCTGCGGCTGCGGCCCCGGGATTATTCGCGCGGCTGTTGCCGTTCGGTGGTATCATCAGCGTTGAGCGACGGTTAGTCAGCATTTTTGGCGGTAAGCTTCTAACGACTAAGGTAGGTATATATATATATATAGATGTGCGTGTATGTGTATGTGTATAATAGCGACTGTCGTATATGGTGATATCCACGGATCCGGTTCTACAGATCCAATTGCTTGCGTGAGCAAAGAAGCAAGGTAGGTAGGGATGGATGGATGATGATCAATGAATCAACAAATATACTGTGCAAAACGCGACCCGAATAAAAGTCGAAAATACCCCTAAGCAGATCGATCTGACCCAGAGATCGCGAGAGAGAGAGAAAGATTTATCCGATCAGGAGGTGACAACCGACGTCATAATTTGGGGGCGAGAGCTGGTGAGGCCTCACTTAGGAAGTGAACAGCAGTGAAAGAAGCAAAGAAGCAAGAAGAACCGCGTTCGCTTGAAATTTCCCCGGCGCCTGAAACGCGGTTTTGGAACGAACGTGGTCTGAGCTAGCTATCGTCTGGACATACATGCCTTGATTTATCTTCTGTGAGTGAGTTTGTCCTGTCCTTGACAGGTCGCAGGGATCCTCCCTCCCCACAGGGTTTTCTGCAACGTGCCAAGGACCCCCTTGTCGTAGACGAGACGTGAGAATACCGGCCCAGCTGTCACATGACAACAATGTATATACTCCCACTCAGTGGATCTCAAGTATCGTAACTAATACAAAAACTATTACATCCATCTTCTTCTGACACCAGCGCAACGGGACTGTGACCGCATTGCAGAGTGCAGAGTGCAGGCTGCATGATGAACCAAGGAAATGGTGACGTCGTTGACGGTCGAGGCGTTTGGGATAGCGACAACGTGTTCATATGAATCGTGAGTCAACTTGTCCTCAAATAAGGTAGGGTGAAAAAGGGGTATGCTTGAATGTCTCAATTATGCCTTTCGAACGGGTTGTTAGAGAAATCGTATAGCATCAGACATGCTCACCGCCAGCCTCAACTCGCTATAGGGGTATAGGATTGTCATGGTATAGCCATGTAGATAACAGGCCAATGGCTGCCAAGTAAAGGTGAAAGATATCCAAGAATTCCAATACCCAACTATGAATTGTTAATCATATATTATACTCTCAGCCTCCACTGAACTGGCCAAGCATGAATTAATAAGTGTCATTATCGTCGACTTCTCCCATCAAATCGATACAAAGGAATCCGAAATATGGAATTCTCGTAGGGCTGAGCTGAAAAGAACTTACATACCACGAGCCATGGTTTAGGAACGCGGCAGTGAACAAACAACACCACATACCAGGTACATACCTGTAGTAAGAAGCTTAGGTTGGCACGGACCACATGCTGAATTCTCTCATCCCTGCTCCCCTCGAAATAAGATCGCATCATCCCGCGGACGGGTTGCGTTTCGAGCGAAAGATTTGTCATTGTTTCTAGCGGAGCTTCTCTGAAAACGTCACCGGCGTTTGGCCCCTCCAATCCTCCACCGAAGGCCCAGGACCCTTAATGTGGAATCTGCCATCGCAATTGCGCTATCTACACTACTAATGACAAGCGCAAGCGGGAAGGAATTGACCCGTATTATTTAACTCACCTCTAAAATAAATACAATTTTGCTTCGAATCTTATCGTCAAGTTAGCTTCATCAAGTCCATGATAAGTATCAAGCTTTATGTTAGGTAGCTACTAACATAACACCAGCTGCAATAAATCGAAATTCTTATATTATCGACGTTAAGCCCGCATTCTCAGTCGCAAGTCGCAAGTCGCAAACAGTCGCAACAATGGCCTTCACGATGCCGACCTTCCTGTCGCGGTTCACCCGACCTTTCATGTCTAGTACGCGCCTTGGCATAACTGCCGACACCAACGGGGGTGCGCCCGCGATCCCCGAGGGCGCCGAAAAGGCCACCCTCGCGGCCGGATGTTTCTGGGGTGTAGAGCACATATATCGCAAGCACTTCGACGGCAAGGGCCTCTATGACGCCCGCGTCGGTTATACCGGAGGAGACCTTAACGATCCAAGCTACCGCGCTGTGTGCTCGGGACAGACGGGCCGTAAGTTTCCCATCCCGTCTCAAGGTTCTCTTCTCGTCGATTTAGTCTTTATCTTTCTCTTCGCATACCTACCTCCTAACCCGCTTCCACCCATTCGCTAACGCGTCATCGCAATCGCAACAGACGCCGAAAGCGTACAGCTGCACTACGACCCTTCGCGCATAACCTACCGGCAGATCCTCGAGTTTTTCTACCGGCTCCACGACCCGACGACAGCTAATCGCCAGGGCCCCGATGTCGGACACCAGTACCGCAGCGCCATCTACTACCACAACCCCGAGCAGGAGCGCATCGCGCGCGAGATCACCCAGAAGGCGAACGAGCAGTGGTATAAGGGCGGCATCGTCACCGAGATCGTGCCCGCCGGACAATGGTGGGACGCTGAGGAGTATCACCAACAGTATCTACACAACAACCCGTCGGGTTACGAGTGCCCGACCCACTTTCTGAGGACGTTCCCGTCGTTGCAGTAATGTGGAAGATTTAACTGCTGAGGCACTTTGTAGTTCCTCGTATTGCAGAGAACCTAGTCGGCTTGATGAGTGCGCTTGATGTAGCTAACTGCGGAATTCATAAGAGACATTCAGCATGCCGCAAAGCTTGGCCCTTTGAGGCATATTAGTACAGTTGAACTCAAAAGAGAACGGGGACGGGGTGATTTGCGTAGGCTTCATAGTTAGAGGCCAATGCGTTCTTAAATAGGTATATAACGTGATGCTAATAAATCACATGTTGATTATCATGCAGACCTGTAGACTCCATGCATTACTTCATTAGTTCCCTGTTGATGTAAAAACCTTTCGTGACCTTCAAACGCCTGACCATGCGTATATAAATCTCGCTGTATCGAGATTAAAATCAGTTAGGAAACATGCTATCCCCGGGTCGTCGTTATAATAACCTAAGTGTGGTTATCCTCTCATTAATAATCTGCTTCATCCAACGGATCCGGATCCTCTATTCGACCCGTTGCCGGATTGCACGAATGCCCCGAAGACCAGCTGTCGTATCTCTCTTTCCCACTCATTACCCTCTCACTCCATCCGTAGTTTTGCATCCTCTCCATATTAAGTTCGCTGATCTGAGGCCGATGGTCACGCCAAGAGGCGAGGTCTTCGAATCTTTCGCATATCTCTCCGCATGTATAGTCCCGTTTGATCTCTCGGAACGGCCGTGCATCTCTGTGGCTGTCCCATTTATTGCAGAAGTCAATTTTACCGAGATCTAGCCAGGTTGTCAGGATAAACCCCCAGCCGAAAGGTTCCGGCAGGCGGGTGAGATCGATACTATAATCGGTCGTGCATCTATTGCAGCCTAGAACGTTTCCTAGAAGCATAGGTACATTCGTAGGATTTTGTTTAGCTCCAGACGATAACCATTTCAGTCTTTCGTAAATAATGTGCCCTTCCTGTTTTGATACGTCGAATGGGTCGCTATTAAAACAAGATGGTGAATGGTGTACCTCAGCTGCAGCGCTATGATCTGTCGTGCAGAGGGGTTCGATCCATTGCTGTACCATCTGTGCGTAGTATGGATACCAGGTATGATGGTTGCATATCGGGTGGACCTTGGGCAATGGTATAGCCCAATGATTATGATGAGGTGGGTTTCGTAGTATCTGACCGAACAACCATAACGTCAACGCTGACTTGTCGATAGAAGAGACGACTTGTTGTCGTCTGAGGAGTAAATCGTCGTCACGATACCTCATCCTCAAGGAACATTGGACCATGAACCCCTTTTGATAAGATGTCTGTGTATTGTTGACCTGCTGTAAGAGATGTCTATATTCAACACCATGAATCCGACGTTTTGTGATAGTACGGAGTAACTTTCTAGTTGCACGCGAAGGCATATGATGGTCCATAGTCCAGTCAGTACATCTGGCCGCTTTCCATGGTGCAAAAACACGGTCTTTGAAGGTCAAGAACGGATCGTGGAGCTTCTTGCACTTATAGCAGTAGACAAGGTCTAACAAATCGTAGTCCAGCAGGCTGAGAAGCGACCCCCGGATCTTAGTCCTAGAACCATCTGCTTTCTTGATAAAGGCGTTTAGCGCTTTGTAAGGAGATTCGTCGGGGTCCAGCAGCTCAAGCACTCGGCACGAATGCAAGAAACGGCCCATTAATTCCTTGTTGACCAGAGCTAGACATATTATGTTGGCGTGGCTGAGGTAGCTAGTTATGTTGTCAAACAGTTCCTGGGGAAGAAGTAATAAGCCTGAAACCTTATGCCGAGATCGACCTTCACCGGGCGACTGGGTTGCACCAGGGTTGAGCGCCAAGGAATTGTTGTTCGAATCGCCGATACCAGTCATTGCGGCGCTCGAGTCAGCAGGGCTGACAGGGTTGCCGATAGATGACTGGTCATCATTGTCAACGACATCATTGGAATCCCCTACATCGTTAATGCGACTCTTCCGACGCTTCATGGATAACATCTTCAAGATATCCTGCATTCGATGAGAATGCTTCAACTTGGAACGAGCATTACTTTTTTAAAAAAAGAAAAGAAAAAGGGTTAGCATAGACACTAGTGAAGATAAATGGCTCAAGGTAGGCGTGGAAAGACGGGGGTAAGGTGGTTTAGACGAGAGCAGCTCACTCGAACAATTGTTTGCTATTAAAAGGGGCCATATTGTAAGGCTGGGTCAGAAGAGGGTTCCAATCGCATAGGTTGGAACCCTCTTTTCTTTATAGGAACGGGCAAATGACGGATACGATATGACCTAGTTATACTAAAGGTTGATAAGAGCTATTGCGATATAGCTGTTACAAAGGTGTTAATGTGTTAATGTGTTAAGGTGCTAGGTATGAAATTGCAAGTATGTAGTTGTAGTTGCAGGTATGTAAACCGTAAGTAGTCGCAAGTTGAGCGTCGCGAGTTGTAAGATGATGTAAACCGTAGTCTAAAGCTTTGTTAAGCGGCGTAAAAGGGTAGGTGCATAGAGGTATGAGGTGCCTAATGCTTCTAGGTACCTTCCTAGGTGCTTATGCAGTTGCCCCCCCTGAGGAAAGTTAAGTGTCATCAATTGAAATCAATGGAGCTTGAAGAGCGCCTTCTCCCCCTTACCGCAGATTCGGAAATAACGATAAATCAGGTACGAATAGATATAATACCTACTAACTATGTATAACTAGTACAATATTGTGCGTGCATACAGCTTATATTAAGTATAAATTCATGGAAGGAGGAAAGGATGAAAAGTCGACATAAGAAAAGGTAGGTACCTATGACATTTTTACACTTAACCCGCCTCTCCATTTCAGGTCTCTCAGCTGAACCTCCTTATCCGGGACGAGGTACATGGGTACCTAGCGGTGAGTGGTTGGTGACTCCCGTGTTGCGCGCGCGTGCTCCTCAGCTTTCGAGTCACCCGAGACAACAATTACAGGTAGGTACCAATCAATCGAACAAGGGACAAGGGGGTACCGTTCGTCCCATGCAGTTCATCAAATAGTTCTTGGCATGTGCTCTACGATTCGTAAACACTTACTACAATCGTATGTAGGTGCGCATATATTATACAACTTCTGTTTACTGATTTTTATTTGACTACGCTTGTTAGTACATTTGTTTAATCCTAGACAATCCTCACGATGCCAGGAGAGGAGAGTTCCCATTCTGCCTCTGATACACAGATTAAGCTGAACATTATCTGCCCTATTCGCGGGCTCCACCCCTAAAAAGACCGACCTTTCATCATCCCATTTTTATGATGAACCCATCTCCCAACTAATGCATCCTTATCTCAATTACCACCTATTTACTTCCTGCGGTTCTGTTGCATCATCAAGATCTGAACCATCCTGATGAAGATGTTCAAGAAGTCCAACTCGAGCGCGATACTCTCGTTAACCGGGTCCTTCTTGATGATGCCTGCCTCAGCCAAGCGAGCGTGGTAGAGGATCTTCTGGACGTCGTATAACGTGAAGCCGCCGAAGACTGCTAGACCACCGTAGAGCCAAATACTCTCTGACCAAGCCAATGTTCGGACGGCCGTAGCGGGGACGATGAGCGGGGCAAGGCCCGAAACGGCGACGATGGCGGCACCAGCGAGGAGAGGACCACCGATGTACAGGTACTTCTCTTGCTTAGCAGTGGCACCCACAAACGAGATGGATCCCATCATCGCGATTGTGTAGAGACCGGCACGAGCGATCAAGGCGCTGGGGGCGAAGGCAAGAAGAGGGGCGATAAAAGCAGCCTGAGTAGCATTGAATGCGACCCAGAGAGCATACTTGGGGACGTAGCTGTTCCATGTTAGTTACCTGGGTAGGTATGCGTTGACATTTTCTGTACAAGATCAAAAGGGACTACTTACTTGTCAGGGTCGATAGCTCGGGTTCCGAGCATAGTACCGATGCTGAGAGCTAGACCTCCGATAGCCACCGCCCAAGGATTCGTCACCATGATCCTGTAAACGAAACCGCTCCGAATCATCTGGTGCGCCGTGATACCGATAATGCCGATACCGAGGCCGGTGTGGAGGAAGGTCTGGTTTAGATAAGATCGCTCGTATGGTGGCATACCTCCATCCTCTCGGGTCTCGCGGTTGAAGATGACGTTAATTGCGATGAGGGTGCCGCCGAAAATTGCTCCACCGGTTAAAAGTCTGCGAAACATCGAACCGGAGTCGGCTGCGGGAGCCGCAGGTTGTTGTATGTATGTTCGGGCTGATTTCGCAAAGGCATTCTTCGGCGTGGTGCGCAGTAGAGTTGATGTGAGCGTCGTTCGCGACGTGAAGAAGTTGTATGGTCTAGCGGAAGACTGATGGAAAGCTCGGGCGGGAGCTACGGTTCGAAGAGAGGATTTCGAGAGCTCCGGCAACCTGGAAATCAGGCGCGAAGGTCCCTGACGGAGAGTGATCGTGAATGACATCGTTGCGTGCTTCGTAAATTAGGTACTTACGAAAGGCGACGAAGAAGAAGAATGATTTTTAAGGTTAAAGGGATATATAGAAGTAGAAGAATATTACGAACGATGACGCCTGGTTGAAGTTTAGTGGATGGAAATGGCTGATGTAATTAGCCCACTTATGAGTGGTGAGTAGAAAATGTCAAAGTGGGGGCGGAGAAGGAGCTGGAAAAAGCCGACGGATTTCTGTGGAAGTTAGACTTTCTTAACCCCGGCACTAGGTGTACCTAGGTACCTACCCAACCTACTCTGAACATTTTTAGGTAGGTAGCATTTTAGGTGATACTTAAACATGCGTGTCACGGTTTCCGTTTGTGACAACATACCTATCTCATATATCTTAGGTACCTAACCTAGGGCTAAGGTATAGAAATAGGTACTTCATGTATGTATTACTTTATGTACCTATTAGGTATGAAATGGTAGTTACAATGCTACGGAATTCTTCGATACTACTACTTTTTATATTATATGTTAGGTACCTACCTACCTCCTACCTACCTACCTAGGTAGCACATGGAGGTATCTGGGCACGAAACCACCTTGATAACACAGGTAGACACGTATGTGGGCTGAAAATAATAAGAATGCCCAAGATGGTTGGTATAAGCAGGTCAGGTAGGTATAATGATAAAAACTGACCAGTCTTATAAACTCGATATATTGCACGCAAGCAGGCTACAATGTTTCAGGGCGATGCCCCTCCTTCACAATATGCCCTCATCATTGGTGAAGATCATGTTGGTTACGCAAAGGAGATATATAGAAAAGGCTGTTCTCTCTTTCTCTCTCTCTCTCTCCATATCAATATGGGTTAATGTGATTACTCCCTTGGCTAAGCGTTATTCTATATTCATCCTCGAAGCTCTCGAAGCTCTCAAAGCACACCACAGAGAAATGTCTGACTCGCAGCCCTCCGTTTTACAATGGCTCCGCCTCGCAAATCGTGATGTTTCTGACATATGGATTGGTTGTTTTGTTACAATCATAGCAAGCACTTTCTTAGCGCTTCATCTTAGTGTGAGGGCTTACAACCCCCCGACAACCCCTGAGTCATTACCGAAGAGGTGGTGGCTATCACGATTCAATCATGAATTCCGACGACAAATACTCTGGACCCTCATAATGGTCATCGCACCCGAGGTTATGGTCGGCTTATCATTTGGCGATTGGCGTGCCGCATCCGTAGGCTTTCATATGTTTAAAACCTTCGGAAAGGGGCAAGTTCCTAACTGGTCCAAGGTTCATGCCAGCTTTGCCAATATGGGCGGTCTGAAATTCAAGATGAAGACGGAATCGCCCGATGGGCCTCAATCCGTGATTGAAGACGATGCCTTATTGGAAATGTATAAGAACAGTGGTCTCCACAATACGACCTTCGAGATCATAAGGTGTTTTGTCGGAATACATTTGAAAGCATCGATCTCGCCTCTGAAGAAGGTATCGAAGCGGTTCGCTCCGTTTTTGAATCGTATATGGGATCGTATTGCAATCCTAAGAAACAAAATATCGACAGCTCGTGGTAGTAGATCTACGCCAATTATAAGTTCTCGCACGGCGGGGGGTGGAGGAACGATAGACCAAGTCCGTGGAGAATTACATCTCTACTTGAATGCTGCGCAGATTGTTGTTGCCCAGTATTTAAAGATTCTCGATGAGGGGCCGGTACTAGACGAGGTAGCGATCGAGGACAAGAGCAAAACCAATCCCTTGGCGAAGGGAATTGCGATTATATCGCTTTTCTGGTTCATCCTTGGAATCTTCATCCAAATCTTTCAGAATGAGGAGCTCACCCAGTTAGAGCTCTCAACTTTCACTTATGCGATATGCGCAGTTATTACGTATTTCCTATACTGGAACAAGCCCCAGTCCGTCGAAGTCCCGATCGAACATTCAGTCGCGACCTCAGATGCCGTTCGTTCAGTAACGCACCGCGATATTCGTATTCTTAAATCCTTTGGTAGCAGTTCCTTCCTATTACGAAACTTCACACCGCGGTTCGGTACCGACAACGAGGTAGCAGAACCATCAGATCCGACTCCCACGGATGTGTCTCTTACCGCTTTCGCCATCGTCGGGTTTGGTGGCCCGGGGGTTTATCTCTTCGATGCTGATCTGGCTGGTATCGCCATGGGTATGGTATTCGGGGCTATCTACTGTCTTGGGTGGAACAATATCTTTCCCTCTCAGTGGGAGCAACTTGCTTGGCGCATATCGTCTTTAACGGTAACAGCGTCTCTTATACCATACTCTATTGCTAATGCTATATGTACAGTGATTTTCAGGTCTGGTCATAGTAAGAGGCGGATGACGCATCCGGTGCATATTCTGACGCTGGTTTTACTGGGAATTATCTACGTTGCTTGTCGGTTCTTTATGCTATTTGAGATGATTCGAGCGCTGATTAAATAATTTGAAGACGAAAAGGCTAATTTCTTAGTATATGTATGAAAAATAATCTAATACGGCCGTGTTTGTCTACTCTACCTAGCACTGGCCTGGAGCTGTACAGGCAAAAATAGTTGTAATTACATTTTAAGGCTTCGTCTCCAAGATTGATATGAGACTCTCGCTCAGCTTACCCCTTAGTATTGATATCCGGAAGAACATAGCGGAGTTGACTAGCCCGGAGGTTACCTGGTCCTGTTCTAGGGGAGGTTAGGTAGTGCTTCTTCGTCTTGAGAGAATCGCAGTGACGAGTATGTACTCAAAGTCCATGTCTTATAATTCTTCGATATTTCAATTGTAACATCACGAGGTCTGTACTACATTTGATTATATAATTCTACTTGAAGGCTTATGTAGAAAAGCATAGCATTCAGCCCCCTCTTATCACCAACAATGTTCCAATTCCAAACTTCGTCCAAACTTTTTTTGGGGGCGGCTTAATTCGACGTACGGGTTTAAAATATATAATAACTCTTACCACATAGAGTTCTCTAAGATGGACGCCCTATACTTCGATACTTTTGGCGAACGCCCGATTGATAACTCTGACCCGACCGACATCCACAGCGGTTACTCGTCCTGCTCCGAAGCGGAAGACACCCCGTGTCCCAAATGTCTGAGAACACGCGGGAAACTTTGCCGAAAATGCAAGCTCAGACTACGCGCTCGGGGCGATTCCAAAGACAATGCCAAGTCGTCGTTAGAATTCGTCTCAAGCCGAAATTCAAATAAATCGAATGACTCTACACCGGGACGGCATCTAGAAAGTTTAGGCTTATCGAAATTAAAAATGCCGCGCCGTGTGAAATCAGATGATTTATCTACCGTAGAACATGACTCGCCCGCGGAAGTTAACATAGAAGAAACTTCAAACTACATGCTGTGGGGTGCGAATAGTCGTAGCAGCTATAGGAGATACGAGAACGAAGGCTGGGATCACGGTCAATGCCACAAATGGAGCCAAACGGACTATAGGTCATGGACGTATGGAAAATACCAAGAATGGGACCAAAACGGATCTACTGAATGGAGTTACAACAAGTACGAGGAATGGCATCGACGGGACTACACCGAGAACTTGCTCGGCCGCCGCAAACGCAGCCACTTCGTTCGGGGCAGAGCGTTGCAACCCTTCCGGATCCGATCGATGAACCCACGCATCGACCGTGACGAGCCGCGCTACATGGCTGAGATATGGCAGTACACTTCCCGGAAGCGGGCGCCGAATCCGCGTCTGATGCTTTACGGCATGCAGAGCTGCGGGATATTGACGCTGCCGTACGGCTCTAGAGTCTATGCTCGACAGCGGACGCTGAATCTGAAATATACTACCGATTACCTTTGGTTTATGCTTTTGAAGTGGTCTGTTAGGATATGTAGGAGCCTTGTGGCTGTTGTCGTTGGACTCTTCCGGTATGGGAGATTACCTGCACCAGTGCCGGAAGAACTAGATTAGAACCTGGGGATTGTGCATACGGGGTTTTGATATCGCATACTTGATTGCGTTGATAGAATATGTCTTTGCTTTTACTTTCAGAAAGAACCGAGATGGTAAGGACTCAAGAGGGCATATATAAGGCAGCTTGACTCCTCCCACGTATCCAACATTCTATTTACTCTACGGTCCAATTAGTCCTCGTGTTGAGAAAAGCTGACTCTGCGCAATGCGCATGGAAATAAGGCTGAAGGAAGCGGAAAGGATTGCGACCAGAGGATTAATCTCTATCTAACATCAATACGCCATGCATGAACCGCGCAGTTCCCCTGAATCCTCAGCGCAGGTGCCGAGATTGACTTGTGGACAATGAGTAGCACTAGATTCCATCGGCCATGTGCGAGTATTTGCCTCTACGACGCATAGTTACCATATCCTGCGTAAGATGTTAGCATCCGTGACATGAATGAACCTGAAATAGGCATGTTGTGTAGCCCTGTAGATTCTCAGCGTGGCGAAGACGAGATAAGAGGAGAATTCTCGGAGGGGCAATCTTGCAGTCCTGTTCGCGCGGTTGGAGTAGAAGGAGGACAAATTGCAGCTGTAAGCTTATATCCGGGGTTCAATCATTATGCTACCATACTTATCAGGACTCATTTTTCGAGAAACCACTTGTTGTTGGAGATGAAACGTCCGTGAAGGCTTTTTACTACCTGGTGTAAGTATTGGGGTCCGTACCTGAACCAGTCAAAATCTGACGTATTAATCTCTTAAATGCTGTGCTGTATAGCAGGTAATTATTCTAAATGTAGCTCTCGAAAATACTGCTGACGTTATCTCGTACTTGATATACATAGCTTTTCTGCTAGCTAGATATCTCGCAAGTCTCGTTGCCTGCCTCTTTGGCGTCCTCCGGCAGTGGTCTAGAAACCGGCCTATGGGGCAGAGAGGGTTACATTATAGACGTAGACCTTCCCATTATAGAGCAATATTTTGGGTTGCGTACGCGCATCGTTGGTGACTTCGCTACATACCTAGCATTGCAGCCAATGTTCCCCAGTTCTGAATTCGTATAAAATTCTAGTTTATTAGGTAGTTATCTTCACATCTAGAAACCATGTCTTCGGCATTTGATATGCGTCCACTAAGCATGACGGGAAAGGTGTAGTGGGGGACAGGTCGCAGAATAGCGCTAGAATTCTTCTCGAAGGGTTCCGTCGGAGTCAGTAGTGTAAGGCAAATGCTTTCTTGGCCAGTGGCCCGTGACCCATGTAGTTGTATCTTCAACTGGCTTCGAGAATGGTAACACTACCTACTACTCTGTGCGTACATACGACATACGACGCAAGGGGCGAAAGGAGCGAATAGGTTAGGTTAGAGGTAGGTATTGTACAACCTGTGGAATCGCCGACCCAGGATTCGATCCACCGCATCTCACAGTTGCAGTAATCAAGATCTCTTGTTTTACATTGGAAGTCATCTGCGAAATCCGTGCTACATGTAGTTCGACTAGATAAGCGTATCTTCAATATCGAGTTTGAGCTATATAGGAGGTAATCATTACTTTTACCTTATAGGTAACCAATTGGTCCGAAATAATGTATTGATATGTCAAATGAGAATGTTTAGTCGTCTCTTGTCAGATGATGCACGTAGTATCCAGTACGCAACCTTTTGCGCATTAACCATGGCTAACAACGTTGATCCTACAATGCGTGGAGAGTGTAGGTACTATAGTACAGACTTTTCGTTCCAAATCATTTTGCCTCATCTGGGTTGGTTTTTTTTTCTTCTTATGGTTTTCCCCCTTCAATAACGGTTTGTATATGTGTATATATAAATAGACTTATACGCAGGCTGCACTAGGGGATTGGTCATCTAGCACGCTTACTCCGAGAGGCTGCTGGATGTCCCCAGTGTCGGGTAGCTGTTTCAGTCTGTATTATGTGCTTGGCCAACGAGAATGAGACGGGCGTACCTGATGTATGGTATAGCGCCCCTCGGCCACTAATTTGACTGTCAAAATAGAAGCCTAAATCTTCGAGGAGATGGGCAAATGGCATCTTAAGTCTTACGCCCCTAACATTAATAGCTGGACGCTATTAATACGCTGTCTTAGATGAATCTGGAGTAAGCTAGATTAGGTAGTTCACTTTGTCAAGGATACCTGATCTAATGATAGTTAATTGTAAGTTATATGTTCGTAGGGCTAACTGGAACAGGGAAGAAGTCCAATGGCTCTTCTAACTCTGTCGGAATCATCATAATCATTTTCTCTCATGGTACAATATCCCGGTCCTTTCTTTGCATGTTCTCTTACCCGAAATCTCGTGGCTTTCCATTTGTATGTCGTGGAATGGTACCTCAAAAGCTCAGACTGGTATAAACCCTGGTCGTGGACCCTACCAGTTGCTATGTTTAGTAACCTGAATCCCTCATTGACGGCCCCGGAGGGGTTCTTCATGTAGCTCGTGCATTTTCAGGGGTAGATCGGTGCCAGTATGCGCTCCGTGCTGAGAGCTTCTTTATCCATGGAATCCTTCCATTCGATCTCCAAAAATCTACAACGCATCATTGTCATAAAAAAAAAATAAAAAAATAAAAGACAAGATTACCTAGGACAGGACAGGACAAGAGGAAAACCTAACTAAGGCAGGCAAAAAGTCGATGAACAAGTCCCACACTCCCCATAACATATCGGGTTTAGATCTGCATCAGCTCGACGTGTTTCACCTCCCGTTATTTTTCTGGCCCTATAGCACGGCACACCCCTACAGCTTCGACACACAACTTTTTTTTTCTATACCATCTTCTCTCCGCCTTTTCCTTGCTTAAACGTATCTTCTATTAGGTACCTTACCTACCTATCTTAGTTACCCTAAGCACGAGGCACCTAGTCACACCAAGCCCAGTTGTGACCTGTCCAGGCTGCGGTTTTCTGCAGCTGCACGCGCGTTAAGTCGCATACGACAAAGAAGGACGACATCTCACATTACATGCACATCATAATTTAGATTTCACACCAGAAAATCCCATCATGTTTACGAGCTAGCGTTTCTACATTATTGTTTGTTTTTGGTATTTTCATTATTGTTTGTAGTCCTAATCAATGTTGCCTCCCCCCTGAAAGGACAGAACCTGAACATTTTCTACCATTCTTTTTTCATTTATTTTTTATTCTTACATGCGGATACATACATATGCAAGCTGTCTTTGGAAATCTGTTGTATTCACAGGTATTAGAAAGTTGAGAAGCGCTCAGGGAAGGCTTGCGCCTCATCTACTCTCTTCATTATTGGATGAACAAAAACCAACATTTGTGTGCCGTTCCGCTTCTTCCCACCCTCTCCTCCATTTTGTCTTGGAAATATTAAACTTCAACTGTCTTTCTACCTACCAACAAAATAGTTAAGCTAGGTACGTATGCAATTGATTGCATGTTTCAATACCAACTCCCGTCATATATACAGATCTTATTTCAGAGAGAGAATAATAACCTAACATAGCTTTGTGATTAGAATCAACCCCGAACGATCCCCGCTAATACAAAATACAACTTCGCGAACCGCACTTATTTTCCTATGCACGCGACTACTCCCCGCCAAGTATCCTAGCTCCCTAGCTTGATAACTCCCGAAAGATCTCTTAACAGCGCCAACCCCGAGTCAGCCCTACTACTACTACCACTACTAATGACGCTGCGAGCTTCTCTAGCGCCAGAAGCTTGATTTCATAAAACTCAGTTTCGACATATTCTTTAACTCCCGTGCTTCCGCTCTAGTTTCTACCCAGATCGTCGCTCTCTCCACATGTTGGGTTAAGGAGACGTGAAGAGAATACCAATAAAAAAAATTGAATAAAATAACGTACCCCGTATTTTGGCGCTGTTACTGCATGGGGAACCCGCGATTTCTCGGCAGGGTATAGCAGGAACCGTTCCTTGCCTAAAGTGCCATATCAAAGCTTCCCCTCAATTTAGAGAGAGACCAAGGCAATCTGAGGTCATTATCCACTATCTGGGATTATCTGGGATTATCTGGGACCATCTAAAGACTGTTAGAGGGGACAAAAGAGGGAATAATAATTCCTCGGCATCCGAAGCTGGCGGCGTTATAAGGGAAACTTTCTGCATATTAAGCCTTTTATAATAACGAGGCCCTCGTGAAGTAGCCATGAGGCGGAATAGGGTTTCAGGCTCTCCGCCTTCGCCCTATAGGGCCTTGGCTCATCATCCGGCTAATGGCCAACCTGCCGACTCTGTCTCCTTGATTAGGTCGTTCAATAGTGAGACCAACCCGACTCGGCCAATACGTCCCTCCCCACTTACGGCCTCGACCATCCCTGACATGCCCCTTGACCTGCTTGATCGCATGAGATCATTTCCGCTCTTCATGTCTGCCCCCGAGGACTTCCTGGTAGCTATCGGCAAGCATCTAAGGCCCCAGATCCATTCCGCGCATGACCACATCTTGACGGAAGGCGACGACGCAAAAGCGATGTACTGGCTGGTTAGGGGAGTCGTTGGGGTAACCTCGCGAGATGGCGAGGCGGTATACGCTGAGCTCAAGCCGGGTTCTTTCTTTGGCGAGATTGGCGTGCTTATGGACATGCCTCGAACGGCGACCATCGTTGCGCGCACGAAATGTCTTCTTCTCGTGCTCAAGAAAGAAGATCTCCACCAAGAGCTTCCCAAGTTCCCTGATATGGAGAAGGCTATCAGACAAGAAGCGCATGAACGTCTGACGATTCTTAACAAGAAGCGCCAGGAAAGGGGGCATAGCCTCAAAGTTGCAAATGGATCGGCGGCTCGAGAAGTTGCCCCAGGCGAAGTATCGACCGGGGATATCGGTATGATCAAGAAAAGGGCAGCAGTAAATCACAAGAAGAGAAAATCACCCAGTCCGGGAGAGATGGAAGACCCAGCATCAGGGAGTGCGCTCGGAAGTGGTCTCGTAAATGTACGGCAGACGCTTAAGGAGCTGCCCTTATTTTCGACGTTGCCTCCCGATATTCTCCATTTCTTAGGCATGAGCGCGCAGCCAAAAACCTATCCACCGTTCACTGATATAATCCGGCAAGGCACTTCCGGCAATGAGATCTTCTTTATTGTGCGCGGCGAGGCGGAAGTAATTCACGATGCGCCCGAGGGACAGAAGCAAAAACGGATAACACGCTCGTCCGTAATAAGGCCACGTCTTAGGCAAGGGCAATATTTCGGTGAGGTTGCCAGCCTGGGTCTTTCGGTCCGAAGAACTGCGACTGTCAGGTCTATCACGGCCGTCGAGTGTCTCATGATTAGCGGTGAAGCTTTGGGTGAATTATGGAAGAAATGTCCGCCAGAAATAAAGAAGCAGGTTGAAGACACAGCAAGAACGCGAATTAGGCCGAAAGAAGACGTCGAGATGGCAGATGCAGAATCGATGCCTAAGAAGGCTTTGGCCCCTCTACGGCCCCCGCAGGTTACGTTCACAACACCATCTATACCGGCTTCCCCGGTCAAGGACGAATTAGACCAGATGGAACCAAAGGATCCCGATCCCTTTCTAAGTGTCGATATGGAAAATCTAAGAAACAGACGGAGGGGATCTCTCGCACCACCTATACCACCCGCAGGCGAACCTGCCGGCACCGCAACGACCAATGGTGTACGTCTACATAAGCTCAACACCAAGTTTAATACTTCTACAAATGTCCAATCGCCTTTATCATACTACTCCCCCGATATAGAAGTACCAGCCAAGAAACCTAGGCTATTTCCCAATCGATCGCAGCCCATCCAGGAACCTCTACTTCCCGACGATATACTGGTGACAATATTCCAGTTTCTTGACCTCGCCGAGCTCATTCGGTTAAGACAACTCTCGTCCCACGTGCGCAGACTCCTAGCAACCTCTCCAAAACTCTGTACTCACGTGGACCTCACATCCTACAACCGGCACATAACCGACGACGTCCTCGTCAACGTAATCGCGCCGTTTCTCGGGCCGCGGCCGATCTCGATAGACCTTAGCAACTGCTTCCACATCACCGACGAAGGGTTCTCCGTGCTGTGGAAGATCTGCGGCAAGAATATCAAGGTCTGGAAGATGAAGTCCGTCTGGGACGTTTCGGCGAACCAGATCCTGGAGATGAGCGACAACGCGAAGGACCTGGAAGAGGTTGACTGGAGTAATTGTAGAAAAGTCGGCGATAATCTACTGGCCCGAGTGGTAGGCTGGGTGGTCCCAGAGCATCCCCCGCAAAACGCAAAGCAAGTCGTGAATTCGAACAACAACAACGGCGCCGCCGCCGCAGCAGCAGCACGTCACCGCCCGCAACAGCGGCCTCAAGCTATCGTCCTCCCGCCCCCCGGCACCGTGATCGGCTGTCCGAAGCTCAAGCGCCTCGACCTGTCGTACTGCAAGCACATAACGGACCGGTCGATGGCGCACATGGCGGCGCACGCCTCCCACCGGCTGGAATCGCTAACCCTCACGCGCTGCACGTCGATCACGGACGGCGGGTTCCAGAGCTGGGCGCCGTTCCGGTTCACGAACCTGTCGCGCCTGTGCCTCGCCGATTGCACGTACCTGTCGGATAACGCCATCGTGGCGCTGGTGCACGCGGCCAAGGCGCTCACGCACCTGGACCTGTCGTTCTGCTGCGCGCTGTCGGACACCGCGACCGAAGTCGTGGCCCTGGGGCTGCCCGGCCTGCGCGAGCTGAAGATGGCGTTCTGCGGCAGCGCCGTGAGCGATAACAGCCTCGCGTGCGTCGCGCTGCACCTGAACGACCTCGAGAGGCTGAGCGTGCGCGGGTGCGTGCGCGTCACGGGGTCCGGCATCGAGAGCGTGCTGGACGGGTGCGCGAACCTCGAGTGGGCGGATATCAGCCAGTGCCGGAACCTGGAGGGGTGGGTGAGGGGAGGAGGGGTCGCGCGGTGGGGGTACGACGAGAGGGCGGTGAAGAAGGAGGAGGAGAAGGAGGGGAAGACACGGACGAGCAGTGGCGGGGTGCAAAGTATGGACTATGAGAAATCGGGCGTTGCGTTTGTTGTTGAGAAGGGGGCTGGAGCGCTACGCTGAACAAGGACGAGGAATGTTTGTTCGAATGTTAAAGCTGCGATACTCGTGGCGAGAAGCTCAAAAGAAAAGGGGGGAAGCAGTGTAAGAAAGGCCCGGCTTGCATTATTTATGGCTTGGGTGAATCTGACGATATGATATGATACGATATGGCACGACGACGACATTTGCGATGGTTTGCGTTGCGTTGCGTACCTGCTCTGCTTGTCTGGATGTTGATCTGTTTTGAGATCTTCGACGTCCTATGATATACCCCTTGCACATTATCATTATCATCGCCACCATCATCATGTACGGAGTTAAAGTGTTTGATCTATTCGTCGTGGGATTTTTGTGCGCTCGAGCCTCCGCTGCATATGTACATCCTACATAACGTCACTGCGCTGTTTTGGGTACGATATTTGTGTGTTTATCTAGTATTAGGCACTTAAACTTACAAAATGCATTACCAGATTTGGTCTACTGCTGTGATTTGGACGAAGCTATTCAAATCTAAGCCGTTGAAATTATATGAAATATTGGATTTTATAAAGGTAGATAGCAAGCAGCTGTGTCAGAATAAGACATGAGAAGGCATTATTTATAATAACTCGTTTATTCTTTTATAGTTAAGCGCTAATACTAATCACAGCTTCAGTCATTATACACATGATACAAGGTATTTAGCATAATTATTACGACCTTTTCGAGCTCTTTTCCTCCTCCTTTTTTTTTTTTTTTTTTTTTTTTTTTTGCCTTTCTTCTTCAATCTTATTCATCGTAGTAGAATTTTACCCCTTTAATCTCGCAGCCAGCGGATCTTTTCAGCCAGCTATCTCAAACACGCGCTATCTATTTGCTGGTTAGATATCCTACCCCAAGCATAAACGAACATACCGGACTTAGGTATACCGTGCCTCTCCAACGCAGGAACATGCGTCTAGACTGCGGGGAAGTCTATCGGCTCGCTCTATTAACCCAGGCACGTGGTTCGGCAAGTTGTACGAATACCCTCGCCAAGTCGGATAGCTACCTGCCTTTCAGGCTAACGAGGCCAGGTAACTAAAATGATTAGACGAAAGGATGCAACATGATCCGCGGTAAAAGGCAACACTGTCACAGCGTTTTCTTCACCTCATCTTCATCCCACGTTTATATAGCGTAGCTAGGTACCTCTATATTATACACATACGTACATCCTTTACTAAACGCAAAACTCACTCCGGCTAGGTAGAAATCATGTCACGGCCGTTCCAAAAGGTAACCAACCACCCAGAGTTTTATAGAACATTATTTTATTCCTCACCCTTTTATCTTCGCAAATCCCAACTAATACAAAATATCACTGTAATTAGGTAATAGTCGTAGGAGCCGGTCCCTCGGGGCTACTCCTCGCTCTACTCCTCTCTAAGCACGGGATCCCCGTGGAAATCCTCGAGGCCTCGCACGAGCTGGACAAGCAGCCGCGGGCGGCGATCTACGGGCCCCCCGCGATCCCGGACCTGAGGCGGGCCGGGGTGATCGAGCAGATCCGGGCGCGGGGGATAAGCCCGACGTCGATGTGCTGGCGGCGCTTCGAGGACCACAGCTGGATCACAGGGATGGACGCGGCGGGCCTCGCCGACTACAACGGCGAGGACCTGCGCATCGCATGTCTCGTGCTCGACCAGCTCGACCAGCTCATGCTCGACGAGTTCGTGGGGAAGTATAACGGCAAGATCAGCTGGAACCACAGGGTTACGGGTACGGGGCAGGACGACGAGAGGGCATGGGTGGACGTCGAGACTCCCGAGGGCAAGAAGCAGATTTACGGCGACTATATAGTTGGGTGTGATGGCGCGGGAAGCCAGGTGAGGAAGTCGTTGTTTGGAGACGAGTACCCGGGTTTTACGTGGGAAAGACAGATCGTGGCTACGAATGTGAGGCCGTATACCAGCTCGCAATGTGATAACATCTAATCTGAGAATCACAGGTATATTACGACTTTACGAAATTTGGATTTAGGGACTCCAACTTCATCCTCCACCCTGATCACTTTTATGTGGGTGCCCCTTTATTTTTCTTCCAATTTTTTTTTAAAAAAAAGTAACGGCTAGTAAAAGACTAACCACCCAACCTCCATTTCGCAGATGGCAGCCCGACTCACCGAAGACGGCCTCTACCGCGTAACGTACGGGGAATCCCCCGGCCTAACCTGGGAGCAGATGCGGGAGCGGCAGCCGTGGAAATACGAGATCATGCTCCCCGGACACCCGAAGCCGGGGGAGTACAAGCTGGTCAACATGTCGCCGTACAAGATGCACCAGCGGTGCGCGCCGTCGTTCCGCGTCGGCCGCATCCTGCTGGCCGCCGACGCCGCGCACCTGTGCAACCCATGGGGCGGCATGGGCATCACGGGCGGGTTCGTCGACGTCGGCGGCCTGTACGACTGTCTCGCGGGCATCTGGGACGGGAAGGCCGACGAGTCGATCCTCGATCTGTACAGCGAGAAGCGCATCGAGAAGTGGAAGACCGTTATCGACCCCATTTCCCAGAGCAACTTCCGCCGCGTGTCCGATAGCGATCCGGATACCCTGCTAGAGCGGGACCCGGCCATGCAGGCGTGTAAGAACGCAGAGAACGACCTTGAGAAGCAGAAGAACTTGTACCTGGCTTTCTTCGATATGCGCTATGACTTTACGCAACATTATAAGAAGGCTTAGTACCTAGGTAGGACGTAATGATGTCGAGTTCGAGATACATGTCATTTTGTCATTTTATACCAAGTATATTTGCTCACTCATCAATATTGCACATTACGAGTCTTCATTTTTCTCGTAATTTGGCAGTCTTTCCCCTCCCTTATCGTCATAATACATTATTGACGCCCATCACCACCTAGACTTAGACACTATGGCTAAACATACCTTAAACATGAACCTGAATAAGACAACTTCAATGACAGGAGTGAACCTGAGGACTTTTCCATAAACCAAGACGATGTAACATAGGGTATCGTTTTTAGTACCGCAGTAATATACATAATTGAATAATGAGGCTAACAACCCTCTGCTCATGGACTTGCTAACGTATCCGGAAGAGGCATCTTTATAAGCTTGCTTTCCCTCTAGATTCAAATGGCAACGTCCCCACGAGGAGTCCGGCCGCGACGAACAATGCACCACTTGTGTATACCGGAGCTGATGTCTGCAAGTTGGCGAACATAGCAATGATAGGGGCCATAATACCGAAGATACGGTTTGAGGTAGCCGTGAGTGCATTCCCTGTACCTCGGTCTTTTGTTGGGAACAGCTCGGGCGTAAATGCGTATAAGACGGCATACATGATATTGCTCGTAAAGTTGTAGGCGCAGTTCCAACCCAACAGGCTTGATGAGTTAGTCGCGGTGGTCGAGCAGTAGAGAAACACGCCGGTCAGGATCGTGCTTAGACTTAAGGCTCCTTTTCGCCCGAAGTGTGGCAGTTCGACGAGAGCGCCGCCGGCAAGGGCACCAGGTACACCAAGTACCGCAATGATAAGCGAATTGCGGTATGTGATGTAAGTTGATCCGTCACCAAAGTCTACGCCGCGAGTGCTCTGGATATACGGGAGGAAAGCGTTATACAATGGATATCTAGGAATCTTGAGTAAATATTGGAGAAGAACAGCGACCGGCTCTTTAGACTTACCCAAGACCAATAAAAGCCCACACGACCATCAGCGCCCCGGTACTATACGCCAACTTGCCTGTCGCAAACAGGGACCGTATGTGAGTGAGATCAATACTTTCCAGTTTACGCTTTACAGCATCATTCGCGGTAGTCCTATTCTCGTATCCGTTTGGCTCGCAGGCTTTTAGATCCTCGACGCTTAGCGACGAAGACTTCTTATTTCGCCGTGCTACCTCGTGAACTATGCGCACTGCTTCTTCATCCAAGCCCTTTCCCATAAGATATTTGGGTGACTCATAGATAGTGAAGCAGAAGAAACGGAGGAAAAACATGATAAGTGTCAGCCCGCCCATCGTAATCATGAAATAGCGCCATCCCATATTCTTAGCCCTGGTACAGTCGGTGTCCGTCTGTTGGCAGGTGAAATTCCCGAGCAGCGGCCACGCAATTAAGTTGGCTACAACTTGAGCCACGGCCCAATCGATGGATAGAATGGTAAGTAAGTACTGGTGAGATCCAGGAAGAAATTCGAGAAAGATCGCAGAGTCGACAGGTAAGTTGCCACCAACGCCAAACGACCAAAACGCCGCGAAGACCCCAATGGCAGCGAAATTAGGGGCAGAGGCGGCTATCATGCCCCACACTGCGGTTATACCAAGAGTGAGATTGAAAGCCCATCTTCGGCCAAAGATATCGCAGCCAAACCCCCAAAACACTGCCCCGAAGAGCAGGCCGATGTTTTGAGCAAGACTTAGTAGCGGGGGGCGCGACGGGTGAAACTCATTGGCAATGGAAGTGAATATAAGCGACGTGACGATGGGCCAGAGGTTGTCAGAGGCCCAGCCAAAACCCACAACAACAAACAGTTGCCATTGGTACCATCCCATACCAATATCCTGAATCTGTGACGAGAAGTATCAGCGGGGGTAATTTCAAGATGGAACATTATAAGAGGACTCTTACAGCTCTATTCAAGACTCTCGCCTTCGCCTCGTATACGGGATCAATAGTACCCTTTGGAATAGTACTAACGTCCTCGAGACCAACAGCGACGTCTTCACCCAGGTGCTGTCCGCTATTCGTATTTCCCTTTTCGACCGGACTCTCCGCCATGATTGGTTCGGTTGGAAGAACCACCTAAAATAATTATACTGCGGAAATAATAATAGTGGGAAAAGATCGTAAGATTAACAATGCGGCCCCATAGCAGAAGTATAATAAATGCTTCGGCGGTCCGTAGTTAAAGAAAGTTAAAAAGCTTTCAAGTCGCTTAAACGTCTGGAGCTCCGGGGAACGCCCCAAAAACGCTTCAGCTGCGATCAAGCAAAACAAGCTGTAGATGACGTGCTTGGAGAATCCCTCTTTATAAGTGGTCGGAAGCTTCCTTTGTTGCTGGGATCAAGATGCTGCTATGCCTCTACGGGGAAGTGGCTAATGCTGACAGCAGATCGATGTAGTTTTGATCGTTCCGCACCGATCGGATGACAGGATCTAAATTAGATGGACGCGGAGAGGATATTAAAAGAAAAAATAATATTACTTTCGACCAATCTACAAGATGGAAACACTTAGGGTAATATACTAGGAAATAAGTGTTGAAGAGACCCCAGAAAAAGAATGTACCTAAAAAGAACCAAATATCTATGTATAATTGGTAGTACTAAGGCGCTTTCTAGGACGTCTTATCCCGGAGTGTAACTAGGTAGCCCTGCATCCCCAAACGTCGTGCTACCACAAAGACCTCCTTCATTAGGTACACGTTTCTCTTCTTCTGTAATAAATTCGGCGCCGGTGAAATACACCTGATATCTCCATAGTCTAGTTTATCTACCTACCTTAGGTACTCAGACGTTCTTCTTCCTCACCCGTAGCGTCCACTCCTCCGTATCCAATCTCCCAGACGGCAACACCGCACTCCGATCTCTATCCAGCTCCTCATCCCCAAACCGCACCTCCGCACCCGACTCCAGAGTCCCCAGCCCCTTCGCCAATATCACTACCAAGATGACGATGACGTGAGGCGCGAACCTGTCCGCGGCCGGGCATTTGTGCGGCTCGATGCTGAACGGCAGGTACGCGCGCTTCATGTCGGCCGTGAATTCCCCCGGCGCGAACCGCCCCGGCCGGAACCGCTCCGGGTCGCGCCAGATCGCGGGGTCCCGGTGGCATTGCAGGATGTCGGCCGTCTGCTGTTCGCCATCGAAGTCCCGGTAGATTCGCCTTGTGGGGGGGTATAGACGAAGACCTTCCTGCGGGAGTGTTAGTACGTGCCCACCTTCCTAGTATCTTAATCCTTATAAAGTACGTGTAAGGGTGCTAGTGGCTGGGTAAAGAATAGTTAGTTTTAACTTACCTTGGAAAAGTTCATCGCCATTGTCGCTACGTTGTCAGAGCTTCCTCTTTCAAAACATTCCGGCACGCCTTGGACAACCTGTCGGAACTGGTCTGCCGTGTCTTGGTCTACGTCTCGGAATCCGGCGGTGATATACGTCAGTAAAACGACGCGCCACATCGTCTCGTAGGCCGGGATGATGATGTTCAGGGGGTTATCCGTAGTGCTTCTGTTCGGGAGTATTCGCCGCAATGCCCCTTTAAGCTGTGTCCGACTTGCCTGTAGTATCTCCGGCGAGGTATCGGTTTTCGAATACACCCAAAGATCATTAATTGCAATAGTTGCGACTCCCACGTCCTCGAGATTGACATCTTCAGGGTTCACATCGAAAAACGAATAGAGCGTCGTAAGGAAAACCAGCTGTCTGACAAAAGCCGCTAGGGGAAGCGAACCTCTCGTGTTAGAAAGTTGGTCCAAGGTAAGACCAAATGCTGTCGAGGCCGCTTCGAAGAACCTGGGCCAATTCTCCGTCTTCGAGTTTGGGAGTATACGTTTGACCCCTGAAAGGAATCTTCGGTAGGCAGTTGCGCTCGTAGTAGTAAACGAATTGTCGATGCCATATACCTCGACTAGCCGCTCATTTGGTATTGCTCGGGCTATAAGCCGGTTCTCTAGGCTCTTATCTGGGAGAAACCCAAAGTTGGCGACACGTCTTTGGTCTTGAATGAATTTTGAGGTTTCGGGCGGTATGGGTTTCTGTTTTTTGGTGAAAGAAGGAACTATTAGATCATATACTAGTCGCGATAGCCATGCGAGAAACCAAGCCGCAAACGCTAGCTTGACTATAGCCATAGTCGAGTAAGAGAGACCCATTGTTGCAGTAACGTTGACTTGTCTAAGAAATCACAAAATGTCATTGTGACCCATCGCCTCACTTTATATACACAGATGTCTTTTCTAGGGTATACTCGATCTGTTGCCTGAGTTTCGAATCCAAGCCTTAGCAACAACCTACAGTGTTGCTCTCCACGTTGACGTTAAACAAAAACAAACGACACCCCTGGAATCTCCCAGCAGCATCCCGACAGCGTACCTAGTTTTATCGATCTTCGAATCAGAAACATAACACCATTGAATACAGGTATATTCCCGGAAACTGTGCGGCCCAGCACATGCTCTTATAGGTTACGTACCTGCCTGTAGCTACCACTTATCTGTCAAATAGCTGTGGGATACCGCCCCTCGATCGACCTGCAAACAGTACTTGACCACCTAATTCTGGTGAACTTTGCCTTGCAGTGGTAGATACTTCGATCAACTTGTGATACATAATAATGATTCGAATCAAATCCATATACTGTACCCATTATGCATGTAAGTGAACAAGAAAGACGACATGATCGGGAACGGAAAGCGGAATGGGATAGTGGGAGGGCGGGTAGAATCTGGAGAAGGCAACAGGAGAAGGAAGACTCTATTGATCGAAGATTTAGAAGATAGGAAAAGAAAAGTTTAGTTTAGTTATCCTACCCGCCTCGAGCACATTGTTCGCCTGGGATTTCCGAGATTAAAGAGCAAGTGGAAATAACCGATAACTATGAAATACTACAACTCCAACTGATGCGTCAAATAACCCCAGAAAACACCGCTTAAACAATACATACCGTGGGTAATAGAACCTCTTTCCTTTGTAATATGTGTACCTAACCGATGAATCATCTCATGTTACCAGCTGCTGCGTTTTTGGATCTTATCCGCTTAAAGTGCCCCGCGCTGGAAATCTTCCTCTGTTACCTGGCAGCAGCAGCAGCAGCATGACGCGTGTTGAGGAGGAAACGCGTCTGCCAGGGCTTTGTTCTAGAGAGATGCGTACCTGGGTACCCACTGACTCGCCTACCCACCTGGCTGGAAGTGTCGACGTGATTCGGCATAGTATAGAACCGCTTTGACGAAAGTTCTACCATGAACCTCGGTGCAATTAACGCATCGTGGTATTTCTTGAAACGCGTTAGGTAGAAGCCCCAAGTTGCGCACACATATAGGAGGTAGACAAGAAATAGTCAAGTGATTTCCAACTAAGATATATTAAATACATCGATGAATATTCCTCTCCGTCGCCTCGCTGCAAGAGACTTGTCACATATCACACGCGTACCTACCTAACTGATCATTGCATTCGCCTTGCAGGCAAGGACACTTACCGGGTAAGTCAAAGTCAAGTCAAGTGAGGCTCATTCTTCCCGGTACTTGTACGACAAATACGAGAAGCTGCAAGAAGCGACGTGTAAAATAAGGCTGGAATTTGATAGATGAGAATCTACACCACGTAGCTGAGTCCAATCACCTTGTTGTGAACAAACAGCGACGTGCTTTGACACATAAATGTTTTCGAAAAGCATGATTCGAGTTCTCTGGAATGATCGTGTGTAAGCCTCATTGTTGTAGGGGAAAGCTGATGGGGTATCATCCAATGCAGTGGCCCGGTAAAAAAAAAAAAAAAAGATATATTCATACAAGGAAAGACTTCTTAAGACTTGGTCTGGGAATAGGGGTATCGTAACTTTACGTAAGAGCCATCATATTTATCAGACTGAAGCTTAGGGGTGATGTCTTACTCCTATTAACTAGTCGTATACAATTCAAGCCACTCTGCTATACCGTGATAAGATAGATGAAGTACATATCAGACCGTATACCCCATCAATACATTCAAAAACTTTGTCTACCTAATCAACGGTGTCAGAACAGCAAGGCATATGTATATATCCGTTGGACCCTTGGGTACCTGTCCCGGCAGGCGGGACGTTTTCCCAAATCCGTGTCTATGGTATCTACTAGCTAACGTTAGTTAGAGTTGAAAAAAAACAACGATATGCCTTCTTAAAAATCGCTTGCTCGCTCTAGTTCCAATATCGAAACATTTGGAAGCAGAATGTTCGAAAAAAATAATAACAAACGCTCCTGATATGCATGCAGCGATGCATCGCACCTAGTTTGTCTGCCGACCCAGTTGGAATATATGTTTTCAATCCTATCCCCTCCCTTTACCCTATAAACGCCGACCGAACCCGTCCCATACCTTTCGTGGTGAACCCCCCCTCTCCCCCAAACAATGCTGGTTTAGTATGTCTGTCAAGTACACTTATTTACTTCGTGAGGTTCGCGATTCACGCTACAGGTCGCTGAGTCTTCATACGTAACATCTTGAGACGAAGATCGGTCGTCTTCATGTCAAACTTCTCCGTTTTCGGATCCCACCACGAGGCGACATCAACTGTTATGATGGCCCGGGGAGTTATGATTTCCACGAGCCCGGCGACGTATATAGCACCCCGCGGGGGTAATCCACGGATCGGTCGCCACGTCTGCACAAAGGTTTGTTTTAACATATTCAAAGGCCCGCTGGTGTGTTCTTGGGTCATCTTGATGCCGTACATGTCTTTGGCGCTCTTGGGTTTCCCAGGCTCGGCGTCGGGAATGATAGGAACCACACCTGAACCGGAAGAAGCCTCAGAGGGCCTAGCATCTGGCGTTGCCGCAGTTGATCTTTTCTGGACGGGAGAGGCCGGGTCCACTGACGAACTGTTCGGTCCTTTTATATTGGAAGAAGAAAGAGACTTGGCCGTCTTAGAGTCGGGTTCTTCAGCTGACTTGTTCAGCTTTTCTATGGCCTGTTGGAAGGAGGTGTCGGAATGTGAGGTAGGGTTGTATCCAAATAACCTGGCAAAATTCGAAGCATTCTGCTTTAACAATTCACCCGAAAAACTCCATAATGACAAAGCGAGTACGTCTGGCCAGAGAGCACGTTGTACTCGAAGGACAGTCGTGGTATCGACGGGCTCCTCCGTGACATAAATGCCGTCGTCGGCTATTACTACGCTATAAAAGAAGGATTAGACTTGGAATCTAATTGTGTATCGTCTGAATGGGAATGGAACGTACCCTCTCCGGACGTAGGTCGGCGGTGGCCTAGACGGGTATTGTACATCAAGCCAATACCGTCCTAATTGCATGTCGCCTCCACACTTTTTGATAAGCACAGGGTTTCTTGCAGCAGTTGTGCGAACAAAGTTGGCAAGGCTACCTGTGCGCATCTGTTAGCCGGTAGTACCTAGTAATTTTCTCATCTTGATGCATGACAACCGACTTACTCTGAATGGCCCTCACTTTCTCCCTGTCCTTATTGACCTTGATAAATGCCTCCCACTCTGGGTCGGTGCTTCTGTATGGTTTGGACGGGACCATCTTCGTGGTGAAAGGGAGGGGGATGAAGAAGGGGTCGAGTTCTTCATCTTCGTCGTCTTCCTCTTCTTCCTCATCTTGGAGTCGCATGGAGACTGTAGCAGCAAGAGACGAGGTATATAACTGGAAGCACATATAATAGATACACCCGGCGAATATAAAATTCCTGCGCACAGATTACTTAGCGTTGATAGCGACGAGCTGGAAGGTGAGTTGTAGTTGTCGCATACATTGGCTTGAACCACTTTCGTCGGACATTGACTCTATGCACATGTATGGTTTGAGAAGCTGGGTTCGACCTGTTGACTCTGGAGGCGAGGGAAAGGATATTCGGTCGCGACCGTAGGAGTCGCAACATGGCGGGCATTGCGATCGAGGATCGAGGCGACAAGTCTTCTCTTTCGGTCTCTTTCGGGATGTCAAAGGGTTTGATGGAAATAGTTGAATTATTCCTTAGAGATTGCCCGGTACGTGCGTCGCATCGACCATTTTACGAAAAGCCGACATGGAAAATATATTTTGAAAAGGGTCTCTGTTCGAGATATAAATTATAGTCAAAGGAAGAGAGGCTAATATCAGCCTTTTTTTTTAAAAAAAAAAAAAAAAGGAAAAAGAAAAAAAAAGACTTACATTTAAGTAGGTAGGTTACCTATATTTCAATGTTCGTTCAAGTTCGAGACCCTTCAATTTCTAAGTCATTCACATACATGTACCTAAGTACCTCCTATCTTTCATAGGTAGGTATTTCTTATCAGATTCAGGTATCACGTGCTAACCGTATCGATTGACTTCATCTCCTAGGCAGAATGCCGTCAAAATAAGTGCCTAACACCATAATTCCTTCCACCAACCTTTTTCAGCGAATATAAAGACAAATTAAATTCAAAAAATTGTTTTTATATAGAGAAAAATTTTATAATTATTCTATTAGTCATTCTGATGGCCTACGAGACGATTCGGTAAAGTTATGCGGATAGCAAAATGACCTGTTTAATAGTGGAATAGGCACTTTTTTTGACGCCATTCTGCTAGGTACTTTACGTATTTTTATACCATTTATACTATACTTATTAGTTACATAGCTGATAAATGCATGCTCTGTAGATATGTATTTATCGCAGCTCATCCAGACCAAAGTCCCTGAGATGCAACAGCGTCACATAACCGTGTCTTCGTTATCTACATCACATCCACATCAGCTTCGAGATCAACCAACCTCGACAATATGAAGCTACACAGCTTCTTACTACCCGCCTTAGCAGGCATTGCTACTACCAGAGCCGAAGACCAGCTAAAGAATGCCGAGGCATACATCATTAGACAATCAAAAACTACAACCAGCTCCAATCCTCCCTCGATACCAAACCAGCTCGCCCGAGCTATCCTCCTCCAGCGCCTTAGCACATCAGAGCATCCGGCAGCTCTGGGTCAACTACCGGAGTCTATCTCCCAAGATGAATCAATCTCCTACATCAACCAGTTTGCAAAGACTCCTGCGCCACTGTTCGAAATAGCCAACGACGCGAATGAGCCTCGACAGCTTGTCATCGCCCTTTCCGGCATCACCACCGATAAACATAACGACCTCAAGGCCGCTATACCGCGCGTGCCTCTCGCTTTCACCGCTCCCGGACTGAGCGGGCTGCCCGTTCGAGGGAAGAAATCAAGCTGCGCATTTGAACAGGCCATCGATTCCGACAATAAGAAATGCTGGGAAGGCAAGACGCAGTATCTAGAATACGACGTCACCAAGGTGCGCTCCATCTCCGCCGTCTTAGGCTTCGATTTGTTGTTGTTTATATATATGTGTATATATACTAATAACCAAGCAGAACAAGAACGTAATCACGCTACTGGGCAAAAACGTCGAGTCCCTCAACGCTCAAGCCGTCGCCGGCAAACTCGACACCACCATCCTCCTCCTCGCACAACCTAGCGCCGAGGCTGCTGCTGCCGACGACGACGAGCTCCGCCGCCGAGCATTTAAAGAGGAGAAGGTCTTAGCTGAAGTTGACGACGGCCTCGACGACGATTGGATCGACATCCCCACGGCCGATTCCACAGTGAGCCACCCGGGCGCCAACGCCGACAAGCCCTTCCACGCCTTCGGGTCCGGGTCCGGCTCCAGCTCCGACTCCAAGCCAGGCTCCTCAGCAGCCGCCGTGTTCTCTTCGAAGCCTCTCCCTGTGCTGCCAGCGTGCTTCGCCTCGCAGAACGCGTGCGTGACCGCGACCGACTCGTGCTCGGGCCGCGGCGAGTGCGTCGACCGCTGGGGCAAGGTGGACGGCGCCACGAGGGCCTGCTTCTCGTGCCGCTGCATGGCGACCAACGAGACGGACGCCCGGGGCCGCGTTGGCCTGTACCACTGGGGCGGCGCGGCCTGCCAGAAGCGCGACATCAGCACGCCCTTCTGGCTCTTTGCCGGCGTGTCCGTCACGCTCGCGGCTACCATCGCTTTCGCCGTCGGGCTGCTGTTTAGCGTCGGCGAGGAGAAGCTTCCTGGTGTGATTGGGGCTGGTGTCTCGCGGAGTACGAAATAAGGACGGGGCACGGGGGACGGGGCGGGTATTGTCGATATGTCTATGTCTGCTTCCGATGGGTAGATGTGGATGCTAGTCTTGTCTTGTCTTGTGTTCATATCCGCCTGGCGAGAAAGCAAGACTAGGTATCTAGGTATAGGCAAGTTCATGTGAGAGAAGAGAGAAGGAAAAGGAGTGGAGGATAACAGTGAAGGACTCGAGCCGTACACATCTCACGTACGGCCATAATGCAAGATGTATCATACGTGTATCGATACCGGGGAAACACAATCGAATAAACGGGCGCTGGTTAGCATAGTTCTGTCTTGCCTCCCCTGTTCCTATGGGAGGTTCTCAGAAAGGTTTATTTCATTTAGTTACCTATGTAGAGTGTTAAGGTTTATAACATGAAGATTCATTAAAATTGGATTCGTATTTTTTTATTTCCTCTACCGTCATTCATGAAGTGACTGCTGTATAAAGTAGGTAGCTGGTATTCTGTGTATTGGGTACAAGGTAGGTACTGTATTTGGGTATCATCTTAACATATTATGTCTGCCCTATCATATTACATCTCCATCTCCATCTCCATCTCCACCTGTGACTTCTGCCTCACCGGCGTAGTCCCCAAACTATCCAATCCTCTCTGGCCGGGGGTGCCTCCTCCTCCACCGCCAGCTCTAACTTGATCCAAAAGCGACTGCGCGGCTTCGAAAGTTCCTGTCGTGGTAGCATTATTACCAGCCACAGCATCATCCCCATTCTTACCCCCATTATTATTACTACCACCACCACCGCCTTCAGCGTTCCCCGCGCGCGCATCAGCAGCGCCAGCCATCATCAGCGCGCGATACCGCTCGCCAGCTTCATTAAGCAGCCTCTGGACCTCGGGCTCGCGCGCGAGTATCCCCTCCCTCTCGCGCCGCAGCTCCTCGATCCGCGCCCGCAGCCTCGCCATGTCCTCCTGCTTCCTGCGCATGCGCGCCTTGAACTCCGCCACCAGCACGCTGAGGTCCGGCAGCGGCGTGATCCGCGGTATGATCGCTTGCGGGTTTTGCCCACCCGCACCCGCGCCCGCGCCTAGGAGCCGTTTCCGCCGCTCCTCCGCTAGCCCGTCCATCCCGGCCCGCGTCTGCGCCGCCTCGTACGCTGCCCGCCGCTCCGCTTCCGAGTCGTCCGACTCTTCCTCCTCGCCGCCCTCCCCGCCACCGCCCTCCGCTGCCGTGATCAGCGACGCTATCTCCGCGCGGCGCCGCCGGCGCGCCTCTCGCTCCGCTCGCTTGCCTAGCGAGAGCCCGCCGTCCTCGACGAACTCGTCGAAGCCCTCGCCTAGGTCCTCGTCTTCGGCGACTAGACGCGTGTTGTCTTTCGACGACTTCATGTGCTTGGGTTCGCGTCGCCGGGATAAGACGGTTAGATACGAGTCCCCGGCTCCACGACGGTCGTTGTTATTGTCGTCGTCGGACAAAGAGATGAAGTCGTCGGTATCCTTGCTGCCTTCTTTGGCTAGGCGGGCGCGGCGGGCTTTCTTCTCTTGGATCTCGGCTTCGGCTAGGATCGCTGTCTTCTTGGGAGAAGAAGCGGGGTGGGTTGGTGCAGTGTCTACTATTAGCGCGCCTTCGAGCTCGGATGCGTCGAGGATCATCTCGTCGTCCGAGGTAGGTTGTAGTTTAGAAAGGTCCTGGGGCGTGTTTGGAGTGGATTGTTGGAGCTCGGAGAGATACTCTTTGCTATAGCGCGGACGGTTATCGTCGGTGTCGTTGGAGCGCATGGGTAAGCGGCCGAGAGGTAGATTCTTCGCAATGCCCTTCTTGTAGGCGCTATTTTCGGCTACGGCATGAGCAAGCGTCGACAAGCGTTTAGGTGTGGAGAATTCCTCTCCAAGTATCATGGAATCCTCATCTTCGGGAACTTCCTCGCTAGGGACACCAAACGAAAGACGCGAGCTAGATGCCTTTTTCTTAATCTTGCTAGATCCTGACCTTCCTCCTAACGGCGGCCGGCTTCGTAAAGGTGCACCATCATCTTCGTCATTTTCAGCTTCCGTTTTGATATTTGTAGAGGTAGGTAGTTGATCGGAAGCTGCGTCATCTTCGAGCTTATCGACATTTATGCTCTTCCGTAGAGATGAATGCTTGAATGGTTTGTTTCGACTTGTCTTGAACGAGGGTTGCAACGCTGGACCCTGAGGTTCTTCTAGTGGATTTAAAGCTTCGGGTGAGATCGTGTCATCGTCGTCATCTTGGACTGTGATCTTTCGCGCTTTTCGCTTGACACCGAACGCGCTCATTTTATATGGGTTTAATGAGTTGTCCGTCCGCTGAAGTCCGTAACCTGGAATGTTGAATACCAACTTAAATGAAAGATGAAAAGGTCACTTGTTCGCTTTGTACCTTTGTAACTTTGTAACTTTGGTTTTGGAGCTAGGAATTGCTTATCGATAAAGAATTGAGCTATGACATTATTATTATTATCTTACATTAGTATCTGCCCGTTGCTGAACTCGGCTGAGCCGAGTCGGCTCTCTATTTATCAATAGCAACATCTAACATCCACCATCTTTCTTGCTGCACGTCTTCAGCTTCTCACCACAGAATCGAGCAAATACTGTCAAGATGGCGCCTGCACAACCAGAGCTCAAGAAGGTATTTTTCTTGTCATTATACAATCCGTCGAATTGAATTGAGCTTACTAAGTATCATACAGTACCTCGACAAGAGACTATTCGTTCAGCTAAACGGAAGCCGTAAGGTTCTAGGCATTCTTCGCGGTTACGATGTAAGCAATCAGGCTCCCGACTCTCGTCCTCGTATTTTGTGACGAAACTACACGTTTATCATATGCAGTCATACTAACTATTATCTAGGTCTTCTTGAACATTGTTCTCGACGATGCCGTGGAAGAGAAAGACGGAGGCGAAAAGGTCAAGCTAGGGATGGTGGTACGTAATGATGCTGGATGACAACATCGCGAATGTCAGCATATGCTAATAGTAAAATTCAGGTCATCCGGGGCAATTCTGTGGTCATGCTAGAAGCACTGGAGAGAATCGGTGGAGATCGTGACAAATAAGGCAACAAGGAGACTGACAATCTGCACATTGGTCAAGTCGGGGATGATAACAACAGCACTCGTGACGAGAGAGTAACGGTCCACTTTTCCTCTCCTCTTCATCTCACAATAAAATACCAATTGATAACAACACTGAAGCACTGTCTCTTTAACGTTAGTCTTGCCGTAACTACGTGTTGGAGAGTGTTGCAAGCAGCGGCAGTACTAGGTCTTCAATGCGAAGCACGCGGATGGCAATACTTCGAGACGGCGGATTCCCAAGAGACATGTCTGAAGACATCAGCAGAAAACAACAATAATTGATAATATGAAGAGTGTAACACCTACCGGACGAATACCGGGATTATCAACATGTGCCTCAACAGCTGCTTTCACAATGCGATTATACCGACCCGGCATGCTGGTACATAATTTCCGCCCATTAGCGCACTGCTGGCACTTTATTGATGCAGCTGTCATATGGGAAAAACTTATTGTTCGTCTTGAAGCAATGAGAACCAGATCCCTCACTTCTGGACGCCAATTGACGATGCTATAACAGCACCGCTGACACGGAATAGCGTCTGCCGGACATTATAACTTGCACGAAAAGAGGTACATTGATGAAAAATGGGAAGGAATCTCTATCTATTATTAGTTTCATGGACGCGATCAGATAATCAAAAGCTTGTAGTTCATTGAAGAGGGCGATTGGAGGGGATATTGATATACACTTAAGAAACACTTAGTATTCATAAAAATATAACGTAAACCACAAGTCAGCGGTCCACGGAAAATACATACAAAATACGTCTGTGCGTAACCGTGCACTTTAATAAGAAAAATTCTTATTAAAATTCGGTTTTTACATTTAAATAACTGTTTATATTTATATAATGAAGATATTTTTTATAATTTTTGTGTTATTTTTTTTTAAATTAATCAAAATTAAAAAGCTATATAAAAAATAAATAATATTTTTATTTTACTATAATTTATATAATAATGGTATAATATTTTTCTCAATTTTCTATACTTTATGATTATAATTAAATATAACATTTTTAAATTTGGGACTTTAATATGTAAAATTCGTAAAGTTATGAATTTTTGAAAATTGTTAGTTTTAAGTTATATATGGTGTTGGACCGCTGACTTGTGGTTTACGTTACCCAAAGGGTGGCCTCATGTTTGCCCTGAGTCCAGTGTGAACCCTACGATACCCTACGTGGGTATCCTTTTGCGGCTGGAATTGAGCGCTGTTTGAGGACGTTTGAGCAAGTAAATTTCTTTCATTCTAGTCCCCCCTTACTTCCATCCTATAGCCACCGCCTCAAATAACCCCACATCCCACAATATTAGGTAGGTACATATCAGGTATGTATACCACCAGTAGCTGGGTCCGGGATTCGAGACATGAACGATTTAGACAAAGACTCATGTGTTAGACATTACGAAACAGCGACCCCGAAGGGAATAGTACGACTGACTGGATATACGTGTACGTGCACTTGTATTATATATATACACATCCGATTACCTGATATGTACTCTTGACACCCGAGAGTCGAGAGTTTGGAGACCTCAATTGCACAGTAATTAGGTAGTCTTTGGACGAATCTCATGTCAAGTAAGAGATACATGAACAAATCTGATTATGCAGGGTCCTCGTGCCAAGATACACCCAACTTAAAATATAGAGCTTGGTTGGCTGGAAACTTGCTCATTCAATATGCAGGTAGCCTCTAGTTCCTGCATTAGGCACCTGACATTAACTGTAGGTAAGTTACCTATCGGTCTCGTTTACAATTGGCGGTTTGGGCTGGGAATAGAGTCAGCTTTGAGGTAACACGGGTGAAAATGTGAAATGTATATTCGTAGATAGGTACCTAGGTAGGTACATAAATAGAGATGGAAGGACCAAACTTGGTAAAGAGTAGGTATTTATTAGTCACTTGTGAGGTATGATGTACTTTGTCATATTTACAGATTGGAAGGAGGCATATTGCATGTTTTACAACGCGGGCTGAGTTGATTGTCTCACCATGTAACAATGCTCCTTCCAGTCTGTCCAGATACATATTTTATTAGGTGTTCGGTGACTGCCTTGATAGCTTTGGTTACCTACCTAGGTAGTGGCGTGAGTCCTACCTTCCTTGGAGAAGAAACCAGACCAGCTCCAAATCACGATTTGGGTAACATTTCCACTTGTATCACCGCCCTCGCTGTCTTGCCTCCTCCACAATCTCCCCCGCCACCACATTTTCTTCCACTTTTACAAGTTCGCCTTAGGTAGGTATATCCGCGTGAAACAATACCCTCCCTCCTCTTAACCTTAACAACTCATCCCATCTGCTACCAGCACCAAGAACCCAGTAATCACGATGATGCTCATCGCGTCCATCACCTTCTTCCTCGCGCTTGCCCAAAAGGCATCCGCCCACTTCAAGATCGACTACCCGCAGTGGCGTGCCGACAGCCTCAACGAAACTCTTAACTATTCCCAGTGGACCTATCCTTGTACGTATCCGTCTTTGGCCATGCAATTGTCGCTATTCCTCCCAGAAATCAAAAGTTATTAATCCCCCGGATAGGTGGCGGCGTTCCCGATGGCGTCGGCAACCGAACCGAGTGGCCCATCACCGATGGTGCCGTCCAGCTCACCCTCCACCACCCCTGGACCTATCTCTTCATCAACATCGGCCTCGGTACTTCCGTCACCAACTTCAACATGTCCTTCACGCCCAACCTGATGAACGTCACTGGCCAGGGAGATTTCTGCCTGCCGTCGCTGTCCGTTCCCATGAAGGTCAGCGATGGGACCAATGCCACCATCCAAGTTGTCACCAGCGGCGATTCTGGTTCTGCTCTGTATAACGTAAGTCGTATATTCATGGGTATAGCATCAACGCGACACCCGTGCGGATTTGAAGTCAAACCTCGAGCTAACAACAATCTAGTGCGCCGATATCGTCTTCCGATCTTCCGCAAAAGTCCCGGCCGGCGCGTGCAAGAATGCCACGGGTATGTCAGCTAATATCGTTGGGCATTCATCGGCTACGGCCTCAAACTCATCAGCTCCGGAGGCATGCCCGTCCTCTACCTCTACCTCCACTCATAATTCGGCGACGGGAATTGCCGTGGAAGGAATGGTATTCGCTGCTATGCTTGGCCTGGCCTGCATCTTCACCGCGGGTGCGATTTGATGAAGAATACCATCGTCTTCAGGGAGAATGTGGAAGTTGGACGGGGTGCAACAAGGGACTTGCGCAAGATTCCATCCGCTATATAATTACGCTAAGTATCCCCCGCGAGTGAAGCTCAAAAGACGGGGAATGGCTACACCGATGTAACGTCACGTTAGTTTGCAAGTTGCGCGAATGCAATGATACTAATAAAAAGGAATATGAATTGCGACTCACTCTGCCTTGGCTTCAGTCTACGGTGATAAATGAAACAACATTCGACGCTTACCCCATCGCTAACCGTAAGGACCAGCAACAAGAACTTCGCTAATTTAACCTCAACTCGTTGCAATAGCTTGGCTGCGATGCATAGCTAACATTTCAATCGAATAACTCCAATCTGTAGAACGTTTCTAAGCCGGACCTAAATCCTGTCAATTCGAACAGCTCAATAGAAACGTAATGCCGAAGCTCTTCAGTTATACATACCCTTCTCCGGATTTTTCTTCTAGGTTATATCAAGTCTGAAAAATGGCGTATAGCTAAATGATAGCACGTAAAAGCGACGTCTCGCTCGATTCGCAATTGGGTAACAACGCTCTAGATAAAGCAAGATCCAAGTCGAGACGACGTCGTGATAAATGGGATCAACCGGTATGCGACAAGAGGCGGACGGAGTTGTACGGCACTAAATTCGATTCGCTTTCATGCTTACACATTTGTACATGTACATGCTCTCGCTCACTTGCTGGGAGCTACGTTCTCCTTCAACAGTTCGCTCATCACTTTTTCCATAGTGATGCGTTGGTTCCGATTAGGTGTTAGCATCTGCCGGACTAAAAACTCGACACGATCCCGCTGGTTTAGGCGGGCCTTAGCTTCGTTGACCTCGCCGAGCCACTGCTGCATCTGATGGACGGCCGATGTAACCCTGCTACCCGCATGGCCGTGATTATGCGGCAAAGGAGGCGCTTTCCGATTTATATCTGCAATCATCCAGTAGAGCTGTTTTGGGTGACCTTGTCGTCCCCGGGCGTCTGGGAAGGGGATCTTGCGTAAAACGTATAACATGGTGACGCCGAGGGCCCATACGTCAGATTCGGGACCACGTAGCTTTTGACCGATGAACTCGGGGGGTACATAATATGGGGTACCGCCACTAGTTGCCGGATCGGTAGTGCGAGTTGACAAGCCAAAATCGCAGAGGACGGCGCCGCGTTCCCGCGAATACAGGATATTAGCTGGCTTGATGTCGTTGTGGATCTTGCGCTTCTGGTGTACGTAGTGCAGAGCGCCAGCGATGTCGCGCAAGATGCGTACGGCGTCATGGCGGTTGCCAACGAATAAATCAGTAGCGCCGTCGCGCCACACGCCCCGAGCCGCGAGGTCCTTGCCGTCCACGTGCTCCATGTATAGCGATAAGTACCGTGCGTCGCCACCGTACAACCGAACGATGGATTTGTGTCGTAGGTCCTCTTGGCTCTGATACTCGCGCAGCCAGATGTCCGCTTGACGGATCACGTTACGATGCGTCTCCTGCGGCCGAGCATCCGAGGCATTAGGGTTGCGAGTCTTGAGTACCTTCACTGTGATGACTCCCTCCGAAACGTTGGAATGTTCCGCGGTGAACACCGAGGAGGCGCCCGTCGTGGCGATCTGCTCGCGCTTCGTTAGTTGGTACTCGTCGAGCTCGCATCCGCCGGGGATGGAGGCCGTCTCGTCCTTCTGGATCTCCAAGAGGGCGTGGCCGTTGGGTATGGCAACCTCCTTCGTCTTGGCCGCGTTAGGAAGAGGGAACATAAGCTGCTTGTCCTCCGGTCCCATGAAGATGATGACGCCGTCTTCGTCTTCGCCGTCATCTTTGCGAACCCTTTTCTCGGCGACTGGGCTATCTACCTCGTCATCGCTGGCATCGGGTAAGAAGGATCGCTTCCCGAAAGAGTTCACGACGTCCGAGCTAGAAATTGTCGACGACTCGGTGGCGTTACCAGGGATTAGACGCATTGCGGGACGCTTCTCTAGTATTCTGAAGTCGAGGACGGGAATTGTGTAGACGCTGATTCGCCATGTGCCCGGCGACAAGTCCTTGGTATGACCCGGGACGAGTTCCTGGTCGGGGTTTGCGCCAGGGACGGGACGTGACTGGGATATCCTAGCGAGAACAATGGGCACGTCCGACTTGTTCAACAAGATCAAGCTATCGCTGACAGGGTTATAGTACAGCTCGCACCATATCGGCGGTCTATTCTCGTCATCACCTTGAGGTATTCTAATGGAGAAATTGATATCTTTGGAAGTCTGAGTCACCGCGAGCACTCTGGACATAGGCTGGGAAGGGTCAGCCACCTCGGCGCGCAATGCTAACCACTGGATGTTGTCGCTTCCGGGGCTCACTGAGCGGTTCCGCGTCAGCGGCCGGACCAGAATACGAATGCCTTGCTTATGGTGATCTTCCTCGACGACTAGGTCGTCCAAGGGTACCGTGTCTTGATGCGCATCGTCGACCTCGTCGACCTGTATGCTTCCGAGGAGCCTCTGCTGAAGCTCTTCCGGGGTGAACGGCTCCGTCTTCTCCTCGGAGGGGAAGACTTCCGCCATAGCGAGACTATAAAAAGGAATACGTGCTATAGAAAAGGAAAGGAAAGATTTGAGCTTAAATTTAGATAAGTACGGTGGCATAGACGAGGATTGTTGGCTAATTTACTTGTGGTTGTAGATTTGGGACGAAAGAAGAATCGAAGAAAAATAAGAAAATAAAATTCCGGGAGAGAATGGATGAGGATGAGGATGGGCAACCTCAACACAAGCGCTTCGACGACCAGCTTATCTGGGGCACTTGGGGTAAACCGGGGTGTCTCTGCATTCTCTCTCTCTCAGCGAGAATTATCAGGTGAACTGTCCTCAGGATCGGATTCCCTCGTTCAAAAAACGCTACAAGTAAGCCCTGATAAAGAGAGTCACAATGTCATTTCCAGGAAAGCTTTAGAAATTAAGTGAGATGCTGTGCGGCTGATCCCGCCCTTTTGCTCTGGGGACTCAAGGGGACAGATCGGCTGCCTAGGGTCAGTCAACCTACCTAGGTTATCTTCCTAATAACGGAACTATACCTGCCTGGGAAGAGATGTCCTATTATTATCAATTCCCCTGCTACGAGATGTAGGTTCGCGGGAATGTGGTAAGGCGTCCGCCTTATATAATAAGGCAAATCGCATCAAGACGGGGTGGGGGCCATATCGAACCGGGTACCTAGGTAGGTAGCTTACCAACTGGCATAGAGGCCCTTGGGGGATGTCACAAATTTCTAGGGCTGAATACAGAATACCTCTCCCCTCTCGACCACGTTCGTTTGACTGTAACACCTCACATACGGTGCGAATGACAGGTGCGGCCGGCTGCGTGAACGGTTCCAAGTGACTATCAGAGTCACGAAGTTGGCACTGTCTCTGTGACAAGTGATATGATTTGATGACAGGAACCGGGGACGGAGAGAACGGAGAGTACAGAGAAAAATATGGGAGGGGCCGAGTGATTATCGGCCTCCTTTTGGCCCCCAATTCTCAAACGTTCCGTTCTAAAATGACATGATGGTGGCTGGGTAAGCTGAGCCATCACACCGCCGACTAACGGCCTTTTTTGAAAAAAGCCTGCTTCGAACTGGAAGTACCGTTTTGTCCAAGCATTTTTGTCCAGGCATACAACCACCTGGGCACCTGCAGTCTGCCAGTACGTAGGTACGAACCGAACCCTATTGTCTATTCACTCGTCGCTCTCTAGATTTCATAGCACTTTGTTTCTGTGGTATGAGTCAATTCGAGGTAAATAGAATGAACTATACCAATCCTCGAAGACTATATTAAATGGGTCTTATTAGAATTGGAATAATGATTAACACGATACAAAGGGTTTATTTCGAAGCGTCGTGTTGTTAGAACTTGGTGTGGTTGCATTTTTGCATTTTGTATTTGTTTGCAGATCTTACAGGTGTTGCATGTTGAAAACAGACTGGGCAAAATGGTTACCTAATACTTCGTAGAAGAGGATCCGAAAAAGGACCTAAGGGATATGGAATATGGTGTGGTCTGTGCTATCTACCTGCCTGCCTAGGAACGTACCTAAAGCTTCTAAGGTAAGAGAAAATATGGACCTGTGAGGTAAGAGTCTCCACTTCATTATTTCTACATAATCAGTGATTGGCCAAACGTAAATAGAGTAAAACACAAACTTTGTCTGATTGGCCCCTCTTCCTGCCGATGTAGCCAATGTTGTTCGGGCGTAATGTCCTTGTGGCACATAATTGGCACATAAGCTTGATGCCTTAGGCTCCATAAGGCACAAATTTTAGAGATATGGTACCAAGCGAGTTCCCACTTTGTCCTTCTCCTTGTTGCCCGTTAGCTAACGATCTGAACAAAGACAGCAGACAAAGTAAAGGCACAGAGTAGTGAATATTTCTACACCACAACAAAGCCTCTCGAACCCATTAAAAGTCACTACTCATGTGCAAATAAAAAACTCTCGATACGTCAACGAAGACAACATTTAAATTTTTTTTATTCGCCAATATGTGTCCTATATTCCGTTTTTAGATGGCTTCGTTCGCTTCCTCCAACCTTTGCATCGTGACCCCGTTCAATGATCGTTGTACTCATACCAACTATTACCATTTCCTTTTCAACGTACCAGTAAACACCCTAATACCACCGAAAACGACTCCCTATACCACCTATACCACCTAGAATTACAGCCCGCAGCACAATAGCGACTACCTGGTCGAACCGGAGTCCCACTCTTGATACCCATTTTCCTACCGAGATCCCGAGGTCGACGAGCTCTTTACGATAACGCGCGCTCCACTAGAGAATGGATGATCCTGGATGGTCATGGCCTGCTTGGAAGTTTGGAATGAAGAGGGATGACCTCTTCACTGGACTCCACGATAAATACAACACAATCGCCTTCTCTATCCAGGACCCCGAGGCGTTCCATCACGATGTTTACGAGATCTCCAATACCGCGAGCACAGTCGATGAGTTCCACCGCATGCTGGCTGACCGCAAGCAGCTTCGCCTGAACGAGCTAAACCAGAGCCTAGAGTCTGCCTCTGTCGAGATCATCGCTAACCCGAGCCTTATCGGTACTCAGCAGTGGCAGTATGCGCTCCAGCTTTTCCGTACCAAGTCCTTGGACTCCCTTGTAAGATACTTCGCGTCATACCTCCCGGACGACCATCCCTGGCATCAATCTACCGACGACCTAATCTCGAAGTCCTTTTTCGACGATCCAGAGGACGACATTCCCGTTATGACGCACGAGCCTCTCTCTATCGATACCGCTTCCTACATCCCGGCCAACCATCTTCCCCCCTCCCCTCGCTCTCTCACGATGTGCTCGGAAGATTCTAGGGTGTCTACTCCAGCCCGGACTCTATCTTTCTCAGAACCCGAGACGGACGCCATGGTTATGTCTGGAACGCTCTCTCGCGGGTTTGACGACGAAGAGACGTCGCAATCAGACGAACCCGCCACCCCAACTACCTCGATATCTGATATGTCAGAAATAGGATCGCTAGAGTCCCAGCAAGAGGAGGAGGAAAACGAAGAGGAAGAGGAAGAGGAAGAGGAAGAGGACGTCGCCGATGAGAAGAAGCAAGCATATTTCAGGCGTGATATCCCAGAAATCGTCAAGAACGAATCAGAGATGTCAACGCCTCGGAACGAGTTTGATTCGGAATCATACAAGAATAGTGAGGCCGAAAAGATAGTATACTCGAAGCATAGCCCACTTCGTAGAGGTATTCGCGATGGAAGTCCAGGTCTGGCAAGATCGCGACGAAGGAGTCCGGAAATTGGACGGATCCAGAAACCCTCATCAGATCCCACTAGAGTCAGGCCTAAGGGTCGAAGACGTATCTAGGCACTTAATGCCGCCCCGCAACTGTATATATCCCTCCATGATGCCATTGTACATACATACCCTTAACGCGCTAAGTTATTTCTCCACTGTTACGTCTCTTTTCGGGTTGGGTTTCCTTTTTAGGGTTTGGTGATAACTTCAAATCGTGCGGAGTGCTAACTTTTCCAACTTACGCGACGACATCCCCAACGGGATATAATAGGTATTAGCATAATGAAAGTACTGCTATGCTGATGTGTTAATAAGGTATCATTCTACCCTATAATCGCTAATCATGATCCGCTTAAAACTCATGAGACAACTCTTGTCATCGCTGATTATACTATTTATATGCCTATAGCAAACGATAACACGACTGCTGTCTTACTCTATGATAAGGACGTAAGTAAATGTTTGTTAGTGCTCTTAGGTACTCTGGACTTTCACATGCCAGGTAGGTTTAGTACCTAAGGCACCTAAACTAGTCCTATTTACACCGGCGGGTTGAGGTCAAATTAGGGGACATGGTGAGATCATCAAATTCTGTATATATGCGATCAAGAATCACGAGTCATGAGTTTGAAAATTAAGCAAAAAATGTATAATAGCATTTAAGATAATATTTAAGTCCTTTTGCAAATTATATTTCTTCGTTCTTCCACTTATCGAAGAAGTCTGTCTTACCTATTTTATGTCGACAAGAGTGTTTCGTCTTTCATTCTTTCCATATACTTCCTAGAATAGGAGAGATAATTATTCAACCCAGTAACAAATACATTCCTCTACTTGAACATTCGCAGCGCAGTATGCCCGAGACGCCACGAGAGGAAGCGACCGAAAAGTTACAAGGCCCCAACGCCAACCAGAGCCAGCTCGGTGCCGCCGCGGGACCTTCGCAATCGCATTTGCACGATTCCAAACGGGACGGCAACGGTAGCAAGGGTGATAAGACTGGACGTGGAGAGACGCTGAGGGAGAAAGCAGCCAAGAAGTTCCAAGGGCCAGATGCCAACCCAAGTCAGCTAGATGATCCCATCGATCTGAGAGCCGAGACAAGCGATGATACGGGCTCACGACAAATACTCGAAGCTATGAGAGGTAGACAAAGTTAGCTGCGCGTTGGTCCACATCCATCTCGTAATGGCATATTGAACGTCACATTCGATTCCATAGTAGACGATAGTTGTATATAATAAGCTTTGGAATCATTTGAAAAGATGCAGAAAAACCTCCCGTCCGGAAGTCGTGCGAAATGTCGGCCTACCGCAATTTGATTTGTCATGATTTCAAACGACAAAATGAAGTTATGTTAGCTAAACTAAACCCAACTAAAATTGCACGTAATAACAATCGCAAACTGAAGAAATATGGCGTAATCGTAGTACAGGTGCGTCATCCCGTCATTTAGACCTGTGGGATACACCTAGGTACATGGATATAGGTACTTCCAAAGCCAAACTATCGGGGTTTCTACCGCCGTCCCGCGTTATAAATCAAGTACTAAGGTACATGTACCTACTACATCCTAGGTATTGGGGTACCATACCCGGGACTTCAACAGTCGCAACGAAGAACCTCCAATTCTTCTATATAACAACCTGCTAGATACCCTCAATTTTTTTTATTTCAACAGGATAATGCACCCTTCATTACTCTACGCTCATTAATTTAACAGTTTACACCATCTAGGTATCGACGATATTCGACATGGCTGAAGTGGTATGCATCCGCTACCCCAGATCAACTCCGTTTGCTATATACACGAAGCTGACCACAAAAACTCAAGTCCAAGACTGAGTATCAAAAGAATGGCCGCTTTAATAGGCCAGATAGCACATTCCGCGATTTCGTCTCTACCGATCCTAACTCAAAATTCCCGGCTGAAAAAGGTCGCTATGCGCTGTACATTTCCGGTGGTTGTCCATGGGTACGTATACTCTTTATATAACTTATGTAGGTAGGTTAGGTAGGTAGGTAGGCATATATCAATTCGGCGGTCACTAACATAATATCAATCGCAAGGCTCACCGCACTAACATCGTGCGCTCCTTGAAACGCCTCGAAGATGTAGTTGACCTATATATCTTAAGCTCATCCATGAGCGAGAAGGGCTGGCTTTTCGACGGTAAAAACGGCGCCTTGCCGAAAGACCCTCTGTACGGCTTTACTTATCTTCGAGAGCTGTACTTCAAGGTGGACCCGGACTTCAACGGCCGGTTTACCGTGCCCGTCCTATGGGACAAGAAGACCGAGACCATCGTCAACAACGAGTCCAGCGAGATCATCCGCATGCTGTACACCGCGTTCGACGCCTTCATCCCCGAGGAGTTACGCGAGGTCAACAAGCCCGGCGGCGGCCTCTACCCGGAGCACCTGCGCAAGGAGATCGACGAGATCAACGACTGGGTCTACCACACGGTCAACAACGGCGTGTACAAGAGCGGGTTCGCCACCACGCAGGAATCCTACGAGGAGAACGTATTCCCTTTATTCAAGTCGCTCGACCGGCTGGAGGACATCCTGGCCGGCCACGGAAAGCCCTTCCTACTCGGGGACCAGCTCACGGAAGCCGATATACGCCTGTACCCGACGATCGTGCGGTTCGATGCCGCGTACCATACGGTGTTCCTGTGCAACCTCAAGAGCATCCGCCACGACTACCCACACCTGAACAGGTGGCTGCGCCGGCTCTACTGGGACGAGGGCAGCAAACTGACAGGTGGCGCCTTCCACAAGACCAGTGCTCCGTGGATCGGCTTATATGCTAAGGGATATGCGGGCGCGAGGGCAAAGGTTACCAAGCTTCAAGGTCCCGTCATTGTTCCTAAGGGCCCGGCAGTGCCTGTTGAGCCTTTGGCCGAGGACGAGAAGATATGGTAGTCATACTAGGCTATGTTCTTATTTGCTGCGTTTGGTGTTGTTTGACTTTGTTAGCAAAATGCAGTTTGGAATCCACTGAATTTCGGAATGAGGAGATATAGCCTAGCCTGGAGCAGTCATTCAAGAAGACTTTTTTCATATATGCTGGGGCGCATCAATGCGAGCGGTCTCCCAAAAAAGGGAAAAAGAAGAAAAGAAAATTCAACGAGAACAATATATATGTGTGCACTAAACGAGCGAGCTTTCGGGGACTCCATAATAACTTGGCTGTTATATCCATCTACTATCTAAGAACGGTTCTGTTAGCTTTAGCTCCGAGTCCACCAACCTCCTTGGGCCTGGAAGATCTCGCCAACAGCTTTGGAAACTTCAAGTAAATGCCTATCGCGGTATCTCGGCGCGACCAACGACAGCCCAATCGGCATTCCGTTTTCCCCTTTAAAGCCGGGAATATTAACCACCGGTACATGCAGAGCCTAAGCACAAAAAAACAAAACAAAATATAAGTGTAAGTAATGGCCGGTTTATGTATCACTCAAGGGCCACGACTTACCGTCCATATCTTATTGAAAGCCGGACTCCCGGTAAATTCTATCCCCACAGGGGCCTCATCTATTACGCTCGGCGTAAGTATAGCAGCGTATTTACCCGCTATCCCGTCGAGTAACGGTCTTAGCGCAGCCACGCCGTCAAAGGCCTCGAGCTGAGCGGCCCGCGATATCTTGTTGGCATTCTCGACGTGGTCGACTATCAGAGGGGCTAGTTTATCTTTTGCGATCCGGTACTCGGGCAAAAACGTCGCGCGCGCGTCGGAGTCGAGGATCACCCCGTGCCACTCGGGCATCCTATCGAACTCCGGCGGCAACTCGATCTCCTCGACCTCTGCGCCGTGGTCACGGAGCACCTTCGCGGCAGCCCCCAATGCCGCGACCGTACCGGGACCTGCCTGAGGCCACACCGTCGTTTTCACCAGCGCGAATCTCGACCCCTTAATCGAGAAACCATCTTGCAGCGTAGAGGCATCATCGTCATCGTCGTCCTCGAGCGCAAACACGTCGGCGAGTAACTGCAGATCCTGCACGCTCCGCGCGAAGAACCCCACGGTGTCCAGGTTCATGGAGTACGTCTTCACGCCCTCGCGGCTGACCGCGCTCCACGTCGGCTTGTACGCGAAGATCCCGTTGAACGACCCCGGGCGCACCGTGCTGCCGCCCGTCTGCGAGCCCAGCGCGACGGGGGCCTGGAGGTCGGCTACGGCGGCTGCGGAACCGGAGGACGAGCCGCCTGGGGTGCGTGTGGGGTTGTGCGGGTTGCGCGTTTGGGGGCCTGTTGCTGTGGATGCGAATTCCGTCGTGGTTGTCTTCCCTGGGGTGTAGTGATGTGGTTCGTTAGTGGCGCTCGGATACTTTATTTCTCTGGTACTGTGTCATATCACATCCTTACCCAGTATCAAGCCGCCGGCATGGCGCAACGTCGCGACAACCGCCGCGTCGACCTTCGGCTCGTCTCCCTCGTAGATCGGAGAGTTATGCTGCGTCGGCATGTCTACGGCGGAATTAGCACGCTGATATCATCGGCAAAGAACAGGAGCGCGACCTTTCGTATACATGATATCCTTCACCGCAATCGCTACCCCGTGCAGAGGTCCTCTGCTTCCAGGGGGTATGGAGTCGAGCTGCTTCGCCTGCTGGATCACATATTCCGGGTTGAGATATGCCCATGCTTTGACCGCGTCGTCTCTCTTTGCGATTCGTGCGAGTAGCGATCGAGCATATTCTTCCACTGTTAATGTGCTGTCTTTGAACTTTGCGAGCGCTTGGGTTGCCGTGAGTTGATAGGGCTCCATTGTTTTGAGACCAACGGTTTGAAGTCGAAAGGAAAATCACGATACCGTTAGATATTTTAGGGGATATCGGTAGGCCTTTCTATTTCCCCCAATTCCCGTAATACTTGATGCCCAATACTTTAGATGGCAATTACAATATCATCGTATAATATGCGAAAGTGCCCACCTACCTATATTAGCTTCTCCGCCCGGCCGGAATCGGAGTTCCCGGGTTATTAGCTCGGGGTAGCTTCCCCCCACTAATAACCGGATAGGGCCGGATATATCCGGGAACGAGAAACATGGATATAGTATATACTCGGCATCACTTTGTATTAGTCGTAATACGGCTGGCTCTTTTAATATTGTTTATATACCTAGGTTTAGGTATATTAATTTTGTCTGTCATTTTGAAGCTGGGGTTTGGTGTCAAGATTGACGATAAATAGATAGACAATGGATCTCATTCATGTTTACCTCTTAATTTCAAGTCTACAAGACACTCGCGCAGTGTCCAAGATCCACCTAGGTTAGGTACCTACTCATAATTGCTGTCACCAATTTGTCACGCACTGCCACCACTAAATGAAACATCCAGAATAAAGAACAATCCCGAAACACAAATATAGCTACAAACTTCCATACTTGAGTTCTAAGCTCTATGAAGAATGACATAGTTTTCTCGACACATTCTAGTTTCAACTTGTGATAACCCCTTTCTTCTCGACAGGGGTATTGCAATCTACCTGTACACCTAAAATATGAAAAAGAAGGCATCAATATGTCTAGGTACAGATATATATAAGACCTTACCTTGCCAAGGTAGTGATTGTAGTCATCGTGTTTGTACACATTCAACCTTTCAAATTCGAACTAACACAAAATCAACTTCAACCTGTAAATAACGTAGCAATAACTTGACCTCGAACTTCCCATCCTGCAAGTATGTATCCAACGATGTGTATATGTTTTTCATGCAAGAACATTCTACCGCGCACATCCTATTCAGTCGACGAGTTCTCTAAGGGCTCTGGCGTAGGGCGATGTAATGACTGCATCTCCGGGAAGCGCATCGAAAACGCATCGGTTGCCGAGTTTGACAGTGGTAGATACAACATCTCCCGAAACGGCGTTACTTCCTATTTTGAACTCGGCCAACCCTTTTCTAACGGCTCGTACCGCTGGGTAGCCTTGGCGACCTACACTTCAGGCCCTCGAGAAGGTCAATCATTCGTAGTAAAGTGGTTCAAGGCCAGGTTTGTCTACGAGCCGCACCACTACAACCTTGACATTAAGGCCGTCCACAAAGCCCTGGAAATCGTCAACTTGTTCAATAACCACAAGATAATTAATAAAACCATCAGACTCAACGTACCCGGCGTGTGGATATTCACTACGGCTTCCGGACTCTGGGCTGGACGATACGTCCTGTGCGAACCGTTCATCAAGAACTATCAAAAGTTCAACAGCAGCACCGGATGGACCGACACTTCGAGCACGTGGGGAGAAGTCATGCAGGCCCTCAGCCATTTCAGCTACCACATCACGGACGGCCAGTTCGTCCTGTGCGATCTCCAGGGCGGCATCTACCGGCACCAGGCCATCCTTTCGGACCCCGTAATTCTGTCGCAGAATATCGAATACGAAGTGACCGATCTCGGCCCCAGAGGAATCACGTCGTTCTTCAGCCATCACCGCTGTAACGCGTTCTGCCGCCTGGATTGGAAGATGCCCGCAGGCACGGCTCGAATTTTTGATCCGGCCCCCGGAACGGCTCTGAGAGGATATATAGTGCCCACGCGCCAATCGAGACCAATGGATACACCCTATTATTCCCCTCTAAGGTATTGAACCGATAGGTGTTGCGGGCGGCTGAGAATTTGGAACCCTCTGGGATGATAGGCTTTGGTTAAGGGAATAGCTACCTAACCTACCTACCTCCTACCCAACCCACTTAGGTATGTTAGGTAGTCACTGCATATAGAGAGATAGACTCGGCATTGATCGAGGTTCATATCTCAGTGTAGTTCAAATAACTATATCTGTACAATTGACAGTCTTGGCTAATAAGTTCCAATGCTAGTCACTAGATTACCTTTAACGGAAAATTGTTCTGAATAATTTTACTTGAAGATCGCCTTCAACTAACGACACGTTTGAATCTTTCGCGAGTTTCTATCTAATCAGTAAATATCGTACAGCTTTTATTTTCCTTCTCTGTGAGTATTTATATGTAGATAGTTAGTGGCCTTAAGGTTCGTATCTATGTGTTTTCTTTTCTATCTGATTCACAGCCTCTCACAGAAGCTTCTCCGCGCATATCGGACAGATATGCCTCTATAAAATCAGGTTTTATAAGAGCGTTTAGCCTACCACTTTATTCATTACAATCAAAACAACATACTTCTCGATCATCGTTCGCTTGTCCGCCTTAGCATATCCATCTTTACCATGGCATCTTCCAACCATATTCGCTACGCACCAGAAGATCTGTTAGCCATAGGTCACCATTATGAATCTAGCTGTGGATTTGCCCCTACGATATCTTTCTCCCACGACGTAAATTGGTTTGAACTCCTTGCCAAGCCAGTAATGGGATGCTGGCTTGCGGCTCGGGAGCGAGAGACCACGTATGACTTGGAAAGCTATATTGAGAAGCGTAACGACTGGGTAGTCGTTCTCGAACTTCCAGAAGGTGACAACGTTACCATCGAACTTAAACAGGCTGATGCTCATGGGAATACTATTACCATCTGCCGGCGAGGGGCACCTATACGCATTGTGGAGAGAGATCTTGACGGGTTCGATCTCCTCGAAGGCTATGCCTGTAGCTTTAGGAACGAAGCCAATACGGATATCAGAGTTAAGGACTGGTTAGATCAGTTGGAGAAATCTGGTGTCACTCGATACCAACTTGAGCAGGATCGAGGTAAGAAATATTCTGCCTCTTCTCTCAAAATAACTTAGGTATCTAGGTACCTAGGTATCAATACTACAGTACTAATGATTTTAAATAGGCCGCCGGTATTGGGTTGATGCCGTACTTCGACAGTTTCGCAGATTCTATAAAGGGGAACTTCCCAGCCTTGATGAAAGCGAGATGGTTCACGTCTGGGAATCTGGCCGTGAGGTAGAGGTACCAAGGAGCGCTCATTCTATTGTGGCTGGCTCATTTCTCCCTACCAAGTGGCCAAGAAGTCCCCATCTCAACCAAAACCGTTCCTATCTACTCCCACCTCCCGAGAGTGGAATTCAGACGTTGCCAAACTCGACCGATGACCTCGCTAGCTCTCTTCCTAACCCGAATTTAGGGCCCTAGCGATTCCAGGGGACTAAGTTTGATATGCAATCTTGGTTTAAGAAAGACGGTCAGAAATCACAATCCGCATCTACAGAGTCGAGTATGCCATCCGAGAGTCAGCCTCGGCCGGAGCACCACATGAAAGACTGGCGAAGTCGAGAAGAGGGCTATACGCCTCCGTCTTGGTATACGTTCGTCGAGCACTATTGATGTAAACGTTATGGGCACGGGTAGCCTAGTTTTTAGTGTATATGCGTGTAATGAACAATAAACATGTTTATATGCTAGCTACCTTGATATACCTTAACTGTATTGTTAGGTTGGATACTTGGGAATACTATGTGTATACAACCCCTGATGCAGCTCGAACCTTGGACTGGGTGGTTATATTCTCGGGTAAATGTGAAATGTCAAGGAAGATGTCGAGGTCTAATCCTAATCCTGATCCCGGCCGCACGGGACGGTTACCGTTTATTTATTCCCACGAGGCTCCCCCGCTACGAGGTACTCCGCACGCTATTAACCACCCTAACTATAGCGAGTTTAGTGCTGTGCGGGGGAACTCTCGAATTGTTAATCCCCCAGTCCCCCCCCCCCCCTATCTTGTAACTTTTAGGTATTACAGTCTACCTCCTATCTGACCCACGAGTAGTACCACTCACACCAACCTCCACCGTTTCGAGCTCCTCTACTTTCACCAACGTGGACTCAAAAACCCCAATGCGGAGTATTATTTACGCACGCTATAGTCAGTTCAGGCACCTTCAAGCTTGGCAATTAATACGATCTTGGGTAGTATCCCCGATATGAACGAATGGCATTGCTACCAAAAAACCATGCGAGTGAGCTGAGCGGAACCGAGATGTTTCTTCCGCTTTCACGATGCTGTCCCTGTTAACCGGGGAAGCTCGCTGCAATCCTGCCGAGACAAGATAGCTGTGACCTATATATAATCATCTAGTGATTCCCAACTTAGGTGCAATGTTTATATCTGTTCAAGAGACGTTTGGCGCAGTGGGGGCGCTCTTATACCCCTGACCTGGCGTTGCTTGTTCCTCAAGCCAACTATACAATTCGCGATGCGCCTGCAACCTCGAAGATATCCTTTGCTGTCCGTAGTGGCTGGGCTTATGCCCTTTGCGCACGCCCTCGGACAGCAGCAGATCATCAGCTTTACCAGTAGCGACGGCGCTATTCAAGTAGCCGGAGGATCGATTTCTCAGCCCCAGATTCGAGTTTCAAGCAACGATTACTGGGGAGTCATTCGCGCTGCTGGTGATCTCGCCAATGACTTTGGTCGAGTAACGGGAACCAACTTCACACTAAGCAACGGCGAACCCGGTGCTGAGCCGGCGTCATACGAATATAGACCAATTACGCGGAATTACACGCATGTAAGTAAATATCACAATCCTATATTAATAGTATATTATATGAAATGCATCGAAATACATCGCATACATTAAATAGGCGATCGAATAAAAGCTTCGTATCTCACGAGTCAAAATATCCCTACGCCTAACTATTTACAATTTGACGAGTATCGAATCCTCTTGGAAACCATGTATTAATAAATGCTACCTAGTATTCGGTTAATGATACGCAATACTTTCGCGGTCCCGACTATGCCGATCCGTCGGCTGAAAGTACCGTCATAATTGCTGGAACGTTGGGTCATTCAAAAGTAATCGACGAGTTGGTCGACGCTGGAAAGCTCAATGTTTCGGGCATCGAAGGAAAGTGGGAATCATTTACTACTAAGATCGTCAAAGATCCAGTCGAGGGATGCCCAAAAGCAGTTGTCATAGCGGGCAGCGACCCTCGAGGCACCATCTTCGGCATTTACGACATCAGCGAGCAGATTGGTGTTAGCCCATGGTACTGGTGGGCCGATGTCCCCGTCAAGCAGTCCAAAGAGATATATGTTTTGCCGGAAGATAAGGTCCAAGGATCTCCCTCGGTCAAATATCGCGGGTTTTTTATCAATGACGAGCAACCCGGATTATCGGGATGGGTCCAATGGAACTACCCGGATACGCCCTACGGAGTTGGTTACAATGCCGATTTCTATTCAAACGTGTTTGAGCTCCTCCTTCGATTACGAGCAAATTACCTATGGCCGGCTCTTTGGGGTACCATGTTCGAGATTGATGACCCGGCAAATCAGCCGCTGGCTGACGCGTGGGAGATCGTTCTCGGAAGCTCTCATACGGAACCGATGATGCGCGCGCAGAACGAATTCGGCACGTTCTACATTAACAAGGGCCTCGGTCCCTGGGCATATAATCTCAATAACAAAACTATCGACGAGTACTTCGTGTATGGAGCTCAGCGGGCGAAACCTTATGCTCGTAATAGTTTATGGACTATGGGCATGCGAGGAACTGGTGATACGGCTATCGAAGGATTAGGTGTCGAAGTAATTGTCGAGATGTTGGAAACTCTGGTCCGCAACCAACGGGCCATCATCGAAGACGTGCTTGATATCAAAGCCACCGAAGCCCCTCAGTTATGGTGTCTATATAAGGAAGTCATGTCGTATATCCTCCAGGGTCTAACAATTCCGGAGGATATTACTCTTCTTTGGGCGGATGATAATTGGGGTAATATCCGAAGAGTCCCAATCGACAACGAGACGTCGCGATCTGGAGGGGCTGGGGTCTATTACCACTTTGACTACGTGGGCGATACCCGGAACTACAAATGGATCAATACTATCCAACTGGAGAAGACAGCGGAGCAGATGCAGCTCGCATATTCTCACGGTGCTGATCGGATATGGATCGTCAACGTTGGCGATCTGAAGCCTTTAGAGATCCCGCTCAGCCATTTCCTAGACATGGCATACGATATCGATCAGTGGGGTGTAGATGGCGTGACGGACTGGACTCTTGCTTGGGCGACTCGCGAATTTGGGCCCGAGCATGCCGCAGCTATTACGGAAACCATGACGCGCTTCGGCATGTTCGCCGCGAGGAGGAAATTTGAACTAGTAGAGCCTTACGTCTATTCGGTCGTCAATTACAACGAAGGCGATGCGATATTAGGCCAATGGCAAGGTCTGGTTGATGATGCTGAAGCTATTTACGACCTATTAGACGAAGCCTACCAGCCGGCTTTCTTCGAAATGATCCTCCATCCTATTCTCGGCGGTCAAATTATTCACCAAGTCCATATCGGCGCGGCAAAGAATATGGTTTATGCGAACCAGCACCGAAATGCGGCGAACGATCTTATCTCCCAGGTCCTATCGAGTTTCAATGCCGACGGAAACCTCACAGCGAGATGGGATAGTATATTAGACGGAAAGTGGGAGAGGATTCTAGATCGTAAGTTGAACCGCCTTAAAATTGTTCAAGGGGTTCTTTGCTAATCTAATTCTTTAGAAACTCACTTCGGATATGACGGCTACTGGCAGCAGCCGATGCGAAATGTCCTTCCAGCTATGGCTTACGTCCAAACCGCGGTATCTTCTATAGCCGGCAACGTAGGTATCGCCGTGGAAGGATCGAACGCTAGCATTCCAGGTGACGACAAGTATCACAGTAACTCAGGCAATACTCTCGTGCTCCCACCGTTAGACCCTTACGGACCGGCGACACGGTGGTTTGACGTATTCTCTCGGGGTACGTTGAACTGCGACTGGTCAGCCGAAACGGATATTTCTTGGGTTAAACTGTCACGATATAATGGGACTGTTGGCCCGGATAATGGTACGGATTCCCGCGTCTTCGTTTCGATAGACTGGGAGAATGCACCGAAAATTGTCAACGACACCGTAGCCAATATAAACTACTCGGCGGGTTGCGGTCGCGAAGGCTTCGCAAATTGGTATGGCAAACCAATCGTGCAACTTCCTATTAATCTACGAACCGTCCCTTCAAATTTTACACAAGGGTTTGTCGAGTCGGACAAGCACGTCGCCATCGAAGGGCCGAATTATCAACGTATCTACACCCCGGCCAGTGTAGCGACAGACTCGAAGGTCGAGTATCGTACGCTGAAGAATTACGGGCGCACGCTCGGCGGGGTGACTCTCTGGCCCCAGACCACACCTCCGCAAACCACCGAGTCGGCCCCGGCTCTCGAATACGACTTATATCTATTTACCAACATCTCGAAGGCTAACGTCACGCTTTACCTTTCGCCTACCCAGAACTACCTCTCGGATAAGACGCCTATCGCGTTTGCCGTATCTCTATTCCCCGCAGATGCAGAGCAGGCCGAACCGCAGGTCGTCCGCTTCGTAGGCGAGAGCGTCGGCGCGGGCATGCCTCCCGGCTGGGGACGCGCGGTCGCGGATTCCATCTGGGGGCTCGCGCCGGGGCATAACACGACGACGACATGGAACGTCGCGCAGGAAGGGGCGTACAAGCTTAGGGTCTGGGGACTAGCGCCGAGCGTGATCGTGCAGAAGATCGTGCTGGACCTAGGCGGCGTTCGGCCTAGCTACCTCGGCCCCCCCGAGAACTTCCTCGTCGGGAGGGACGAGCTGGGCGTTTACACGCAGACGAGCTTTGCGGAGGGGCCGGGGGTGCTCGGCGGAACGGCGAACAAAGGTGAGAGACTTGGCCGAGAGCACGTTTGATGTCTAGATTTTGTTTCGTATAACCACCCCATTGAAAGGAAATTCTCATTTTTGTTTCCAACTTACGGACTATTTGTTTACAGCTCTGATATGATATTATGATGATGCCCGATGATATTGAGAGGTACGGATCCGTAAACATAACCTTATTCAGTACAGGTACCTAAGGTTTGATTATCAGTGCGACCTGTTTTCAAGATTGAAGATTATGGGGCATCGTAGCATTAACTTTTTTCACCTTGTTGTCCTTGTTGTAAGGCATGAACTTTTCGTAAATTAGATCTCAACACTTATCTATATTCTTCCTAGCTTCTCAAACTTGTAAGCCGAGAGTGAGTTGTCAGTGGGTACCTTTTTTTAATGTTGATTTTACGGCAGTACGGTCAAATTTGATTGGCTTATAACCTGCTGAGACAAAAGTCCGGGGTGCGTAGGCCAGCTAGACGTGATGCTACGAATCATATGGCCCGAAATATGTTCTGGGCCCCCACTATTTTCAAGGTTAGGGCTGGCAATACAGTGTACATAGTACGCACTACTACCGGTTGCCCTGGTGAAGTGTTAGAGCCAAAATCAACACGGTTTTGATACATATGCCTTATCGATCCTGCAACACTTTCCATCCACATTTTAGCTTCTGATGACGATATTTTCCCGTGGAACCCTTCCCACACAACCTGCCTCTTTGCAATCTTACTAACTAATCTAGCTCGACGAACACCTCCCAAATCGGTGTATATACGCTCGTTAATCGATTTGGAATTTCGAAATCGCGAACGAACATTAATTCCTTCTCGACGGCAACGACATATGCTACTTGTTTATCGTCATTGTTTATGTCGACCATTTTAGCTTAATTTCCCATACCACTTTTTTTCTTCTTTTCTTTTTTTTTCTAGGGGGAGGATTCAATTAAATAGGCAATGATAGAGCTATCCAAAATGGCTGTAGAAGATCCTGGGGCTTCATCCATTACGGTTGCAGGTAAGATACCTACCTACCTACCCTTTTGGCCATGGAAGACATCAAAAACAAATACTAATAAGTCTCCAGTCCGAGTGCGACCATTTACAATCAGAGAAGCTGCTCAGCTGTATGCCTAACCCGTCTTCTAGGAGTGCCAAGTCAGACATACTAATATACAAACAGGCAAAGAACCGATGACGGCACATTATTTCTAGGAGACGGTTCCCTCGCCGCAGTTCCCACACCGAAACTTAAGCAAGGTGGCATACGATCCGTTATTAAAGTGGTCGATGACCGATGCTTGTAAGTATCACTATCACAAATAGCCTATTATATAACAATAACTAACTTGCACGCATTTCAGAGTGTTTGATCCGCCGGAGGACAACCCCATACAAAAATTCTCGAAATCGGTAGTGCCAAACGGCAAAAAGGTCAAAGATCAAGTTTTCGCTTTCGATCGGATATTCGACGAGAACACAACCCAAACGGAAGTATACGAAGCTACGACAAAAGGTCTGCTAGACAGCGTCCTAGACGGCTACAATGCCACGGTATTCGCATACGGAGCCACCGGATGCGGCAAGACGCATACCATCACCGGCACAGCCCAGATGCCCGGTATCATATTCTTGACCATGCAAGAACTGTTCGAAAAGATTGCCGAACGCAGCGACGAGAAGCACACCGAGATATCCTTGTCGTACTTGGAAATCTACAACGAGACCATCCGAGATTTGCTGGTCCCCGGAGGCAGCAAGCAAGGACTGATGCTCCGCGAGGACTCCAACCAGGCCGTGACGGTTGCGGGGCTCACCAGCCACCACCCCAAGGATGTTCAAGAAGTTATGGACATGATCGTTCAAGGAAACGAATACCGGACAGTATCACCAACCGAGGCGAACGCCACTTCTTCGCGATCGCACGCCGTCCTTCAGATCAACGTGGCCCAGAAGGACCGCAACGCTTCCGTCAACGAACCTCACACGATGGCTACGCTCAGCATTATCGATCTTGCAGGTAGCGAGCGTGCCAGTGCTACGAAAAATCGAGGCGAGCGGCTGATGGAGGGCGCCAATATCAACAAGTCGTTGCTCGCACTGGGCAGCTGTATCAATGCACTCTGCGACCCTCGAAAGAAGAACCACGTACCTTACAGAAACAGCAAATTGACGCGACTTCTCAAATTCTCGCTGGGCGGCAACTGCAAGACGGTCATGATCGTCTGCGTGAGCCCTTCGAGCGCGCACTTCGACGAGACCCAAAACACCCTACGGTATGCCAACAGAGCGAAGAATATTCAGACCAAGGTGACGCGGAACGTCTTCAACGTCAACCGACACGTCAAGGATTTCCTCGTCAAGATCGACGAGCAGATGGCGTTGATCAACGAGCTGAAGGCCCAGCAAAAAGATGCCGAGAAGACATTCTTCGCCAAGTTCCAGAAGCAGCTCGAAAAGAAGAACTGGTCCGTTAGGGAAGGCGTTCAGAGAATCCAGGCGGCGTACGAGAACTCGTCGTCTGAGAGGCAAGAGAAGGTAAACCTGATGAAGAAGCAGAGAGGAATCGAACGTCGTATCGGTCTCTTGTCGTCATGGATCGCTGCATTCGACGCGGTTTGCGACGCGAGAGAGGATGAAGACACGATGCCGCCAAATCTCACCGCCATGCGCAAAACGGCGGTGGGAATTCAGCTAGAACTCGAGGACAGCCGGCAGCACATCCACCAGAAGCTGAACAAGATGAATTGGGAGCGCGCTATCGACGGAGCTCTCCAGCATAGCATCAGCCAGCTGCCCAAGGGAGACGTGCAGAACGGCGAAGTCGAAAGTCTTACGAGAGAAGCCGAACTGTGGAAAGCTAAATTCGCCCGCGAAGCAGACCGCGAAGTTCTCGAGCAGGATAAAGCGGGAGACGCGGCGATTATGCAAGTGCTCCTTACTGCGCAGTTCGAAATCCTCGCGTCTCTATCGGAAACCGTAGATATGAGCGAAGAGGAAGCAGTCGCGCACGCTAAAAGTATTATCAGCCGTTTACTAGAGATAGGTTTCGCCGCCGCCTCGCAAGTAGTTAAGCCGGACGGGGCCAAGATGCCCGTAGAAGCATTTCCACCGACGAAGCGCGGAACTCCGAAACGGAAGAAGACGACGAGGATCAGCATGGGAAAAGATATCATAAAACCAATTCCTAACCCGGCATTAGCAGCCGTCGCAGCCTCTCAACCGCAGATGTTCGGCTCCCCCGTGAAAGGTTCGCCTCGACGCCGCAAAGCGCTTAACGCGCGTAAGGGTGTTTCGTTTAGTCCGGCCAAGAAGAGTACGAAGCGGGCGGTTCGATGGCGCGACGACGACGGCGAATCGGGTACCCTAGCCGACTTCGAGAAGACGCCTCAAAAGTTATACTCTTCGCCGGAGCGTAGCTCACCCGAGAAGGCTGTACCTGCGATTCCCCCTGTCCCGTTTTACTTACATAAAGATGACGCTGCAGATGATTCCACCGCCGAGCTCACGATCCCCGAGACCACAAACATCCCGGTAGCGAAGCCTAACAGGTTCCAGGCAGGATTTTTGTCCAAATCTCGCACGTCTGAAATTAACGGCTCTCCGACGGCACCCACGATCTCCATAAACCTGACTACCAGCACCGCCGCCGCCTCTTCGCCCGGTAGGGAGGGCCGGACTAGCCCATTGCGTAACCTCGACGTGTCGCGAGCTGGTAACATCAACTCCCCCAAGATGCGGTTATCTTCCAGTCCGAAATCATCTATACCAGTTCCTCAAAGTATGTCGTCAGACGAAAATCACCCTCCATCATCCGACTCGGAGACTTCGGCCATCATTGACACGTCTAAGCTTCGCTCGGCAATCCACGCCAACAAGAAACCAAGGCGCCTCTCTTCGCTAGCAGGAAGCGTGACGGGTCCGTGTGTGGTCTCTAGGCGAGTGTCCTCGATCGGATCCATCGGCGGCACCTACCACCACAAGACGAGCGGTAGCTACTACGGCGGCGCCCTCGCGTCGAGCACGAACGGCATCTCGCGATTTCGACGCGGTAGCTCCGCGGAAAAGCACAGGAGCCCCCCCATCAGCTGCTCGCCGCCGGACATAGGAACCCGCGAGTCGAAGGCCTTCACCCCGGGCCAGGCCAGACGGATGAACCTGAGCGGCAACAACGGCGCGAGAGGCGCGGGCACGCTGACCAGCCCGACGGACAGGAGGCTCGAGGCTGCGGCCGCCGGCAACCGCGGACGACGCATTACTATTGGTGGCGCGGGCATGGCGGCCGTAGGCGGCGCGAGGAGGGAGAGGGGAGCTCTGGCTTGGCGATAAGTTTTTTTGATTGATTGACCTTTTTTTTTTCTGTTCGTGAAGGTAATTTGATTAAAAAAACACAAGATTAGGTTGTCGGTGGCTGTCTTTTTAAAGGCGTACAAGATGTTTTTAGATGCTTTGCCGAGACCTTTTGTCGCCGAGCAGATTGCATATCGCATATACCTCTACCTCAATGCAACGCCATGCAATAGGGTTCTTTGTCCGTGTCGTTGGGGGAGGGAATGTTTCGGGTTCGAGATTTGGCGTTTTGTAAGGAGAGAGAGATGGGGGCAGGGGGAGGGGAGGTTTAATTTCTCATATTGCAACAAACAAACAAACAAACAAATAAGCAACCAAGCAAAGCATGACTAGTACTATTACTACTAGGACTATTATTATTCGGTCGGTTGGTTTGGTTGGGACTGGCTGGCCGTCGGTTGAGGAATTACGCTTTGGTCCCCTCTTGTATATGATATGATAGCTTTCCTTTGTTTCGATAGGAAAGGGGAGAAGGAGGAGCGGAGAGGAGGGGAGCGAGGAGAGCGAGGAGACGATGTTTTTCTCTCTCTCACGTTTTGACGTTTGATAAGTTAATGAAGCTCGTTTATGTTCACGTCTTGGTGCCTGTTTAATTAGAAAGAAGTCTTCGGTGAATGAGTTCCAATAGCATGTGTAATACATGATTAGGAGGTAGGTACCCTTTTGGCGAGAGGGATGAAGCTGAAGATGTGATGTAGATGTTCGTCTGCGGTTAGATAGATCCTGCTTGCTCGAGAGAGTTGAAGGTAAAGTCTAATATGCGTCACTTTTTAAATTAATTGCTGGTGGTTTGGTATTTCTCCGCCTCTTGCGAGAAGTGTGAAATGATACTATCGAATTCTTTTCTGTAGATGTCTGGATAGGTTGCGTAAAGCATATGTCATGACGTCGTAGGGCTGAAATAAAGCGATCGTAAGGGATCTGGGGGATTTATTTTCCTAGTGCTCAATCTAGCGATCGCTAGGTAGGGAGCTGAGCTTCATCATCACCATCACCATCGAGCGTGCGTTTGTCTTGTTCCTTTACCATTTATAATTATCGAGTTTCTCCCTTGCGCTATGAATTCATTACTGGGTGGATAATGTCTCATGTTGTTGTAGTGTTCATCTAATGAACGTGGTGCTCGTTAAAATAATATAAATAAACCCTATCCCCGCTGTCTCGAGTTGAGTCTGCTTCCCCTGGAATTCATTATTAGTTTCATGGTGGACTTTCGCGTTTGATGTTCAACTCCATTTTCCGTCATCCTTAACAGAATTGTATAATGAATATCGCAACTTGATAGAAATAAAATCCCGGCATATCTTACGAGATCTCTATAACGCTCTAAATGTTCGGGTAGCGACCTAAGTGATAAATATAGAAACGCGACGGAATGGCGGATTCTGTCCACGTCCTCAACAACTACTACCTCTCCATCACGCTCCTCGTCACCATCGCGTACCAGCTATTCTTCTTCGCAATCGCGTACAGCCTCAAGTTTGACAAAGTAACAGGTTATGCTCACTCCACCTATCCCTACCTATAGCTAGGTACCTACCTAATTAATAAAAATATAAAATTCTAACGGAGGGCCCCAGACTTCGCCGGAGGAACCAACTTCGTCGTCCTAGCCGTGCTCACGCTAGCGCTGAGCTGTACCCCCGACGCGCGGCAGATCGTCGCCTCGGCGCTCGTCGCGGCGTGGGGCCTGCGGCTCTCGCTCTTCCTGCTGTACCGCGTGACGCGCACGGGCAAGGACGACCGCTTCGACGGCACGCGCGACCGCTTCCTCCCCTTCCTCGGCTTCTGGGCCTTCCAGATGCTCTGGGTCTGGGCCGTCTCGCTGCCCCTCACCGTCCTCAACTCCCCCGCCGTCCGCGCGTACCAGCCGCAGGCGCTGCCGCCCTTCGGCACGGGCCGGGATATCGCCGGCGCGGTCCTGTTCGGGGTCGGGTTTGCTGTCGAGAGCGCGAGCGACGCGCAGAGGCTTGCGTTTCGGGCGAGGAACGACAGGGAAGCGGTTTGCGACGCCGGGTTCTTTGCTTGGTGTCGGCATCCGAATTACTTTGGCGAGATACTTATCCACTTCGGTAAGTAAGTTTTCGTTTGGACGGGCGTGCGGACTTGAGCTGATGGGAACCTTATATATAGCTGTATATATGATTTGCGTCTCGCCCGCTGCTGACGGTCCTGTAGTTGGGCAAGCATCCAACGCGTTGTACGCTACTATTTTGGGGCCCTGCTTCCTTACCATCCTGCTCTTATTCGTCTCGGGATTGCCCCTCTCCGAGCGGCCTGGTGCCAAGAAGCGGTACGAGGAGGGCTTGAACTGGGATGCGTATCGACGGTATTTAAATCGCACTAGTATACTTATCCCATTCCCGCCGCAGATATACGAGCGAGTACCTATTTTCCTGAAGAGAACGGTATTCCTCGAGTTTCCTATGTATGTGTTCGATCCGGCCAAGCACTCGGATGCCGTTCAGGACAGGCGTGCGGCAGAAGGAGATGATAGAAATTCTTTGACAAACGGAGCGTAGATGAGTGAGGGTATCTTTTACATTTTCAACCTTTTCCAATTTAACTTCGCCATCCGCTATACCATTGACCGACCACCTCATCACCCACCAACGCATAGCATCCCCTATTCAGAAATGGCGACGCCTGTTATCAAAACTATCTAAAACCCGCTCAACTCGCAAGTACTCTTGGCGGGTTTTATACCGTCCGAGTTCCCGGCGATATCGGCCGCCGTCGGGGGCGCACCGCTATTGACGAGTATACCCGCCGGGTCGAAGGGTTGGTCCAGGGATTCTTGGGAAGCGCCGTAGTCGGACTCGGAAGGCTCTTCCGAGTAGCATTCGGAACCCTCCGGGATCGGAACCATGGCCGATTTGGTCCAGATGTGGATTGCCCCCGACCAATCGAGTCCGTCTAGGCACTGGAGTACAATGAATCAGCGGAAAATCCCACTTGGACTCACGTAAATGACGCGGCCACGGGCTGGGGCCAATGAATGTGCTTGGGGCCGTGACCCAGATAAGGACCAGGAGATGGAGGAGTACTTACTCCGCCTTTGACGGAGACGACGTTCTTCCCCTATGTAGACTTAGCGCGTGTTCTTTTGCGTCTTTAGTATTGTACGCTTACCGGTGTCGTATGAAGCAATCTAGTTCCGCAGTTGCGGCAGAAATAGCTAAAAAATAATAATAATAAGTCAATTATCGGATAATGATTATTCACTTCTGACGGCGTTAAACGGTGCTCACCAATAAAGCGTGTGGCCGGAAGTTGTCGGTCGGCTACGTTAGGTAGGTAGTCAGCATGTGAGTAAGCGATGCTCCGAATCGAACGTCATCTGCGGGGATGGATGGTGATGCTCGCCGCGAAATAACTCACGTATAGCAAGACATCAGCTCGACGCGAGGCAGAGGGAATCGTGGGAATATGGCGGAGGTGCCGAAGGCGGAGCTAGTCTGCCGGCGACACTCGGCGCAGTGGCAGATGTAGAGCGCCAGCGGCTTAGGCAGAGGCGTCTTGAACGAGACGGCGCCGCATTGGCACCGGGCATCCATGGCTTGCTTAGACTGGTAGCTGTCACCAAATATATCTCTCCCCTTTTTTTTATGCTTTTAGTCCCGTCACGTAAGATATATCCTGAGTTTACGAAGGGTTGTTATCATTAATGTCTTAAGTTTATAAAGGGTTATTATCACTAACTTGTTTTGGGTAAGATAAAAATTACTAAAATAAGTTTTTTTTATAGAGACCGAGGGCCCTTTTACGTGGCGGACCATTAAGGAACCTACTTACCTACATGAAGCACCCCGTTCGCGGTACACAATAGCCCTGAATTTACGAAGCCACTATAAGGTAGGTTATGTACTTAGCCCTTAAACCTCTAATACAGCACCCTCAGCTACTAATAAGCTTCAAGTTCACAGTAAAAACACCTAAGCCACCAGCACCCTAACACCCCATGCGCCCAATCAAAAGCCGTAGAATCTCCATTCTCCATAAAAGAAGCCTATTCCGGTAATTTTTATCCTACCCGGACAGAATGCCGTCAAAATAAGTGTTTAACACCATTGTTGGGACTTGGACTGATGATCTTGATCTCATTGTTGTATTCTTCAAACTATCTGAGATATCTGACTGAGACTAGGATTTCCTTTATCTTGACTAGTCTTTGATAAGATCACTATTGACACAATCGATAAGCCTGACAAGCGATGACTATCTTGTTGCCTGACAACCAATATTCCTTCCACTAAACCTTTTCAACGAATATAAAGATAAATTAAATTCAAAAAATTGTTTCCATAAAGAGCAAAATTTTATAATTATTCTAGTAGTTATTTTGATAGCCTGCAAGACGATTTGGTAAAGTTATGTGTATAGCAAAATAACCTGCTTGGTAATGGAATAAGCACTTTTTTGACGCCATTCTGCCGGAGCAAGTTGGTGATGTACCTAGTGTGGTTACGTAAACATCGTCTATATCTGGGATCTCAGGGCTTGGACCCACTATTAGAAATGTTAACAATACAACATCGTTTTTATCATCAAAATATCTACAAACCCTTCTTGAACTTAGGGCATTAACCGTCGCCGTTCCACATGAAAGCTCCCGGCCCAAAGTTAACCTTAACCTTTACCGCCCCGTCTTTATGGCTTATACATGGGTACACCTTACGGAAAATGCCAATTGACCAGCGTTTCACTGGATAAAATCAGGAGTTAATAGACGAATCTCAACACGGTGGGCAGAAAGGACTTACAGACAACGCGTCCGTCAAGAGTAAAAAAACACTCCTTTTTAGCAAAGTCGATCCCGCAGCCCACTGTGTTTCCTGGGCCAAAGGGGAACATGTCCGTATTGACAAACTCGTCTGAGTCATCATAAATCCCACCGTTATCGCCGTGGTATCCAACAGACCACTTGCACTGCGGCCATCCAGGATGGGCGCCCCTGAGGTTAGAGAATTCGCCGCAGAGACCTATTGTGACGGTAACGTCTAAATCAGTTGCTTCCCCTTGAATCGTGACCTCAAAGTACACGTTTCCCATCGATCTAGGGAGAAATCCGTGTGCTGATCGAAGGGAGACCGGTGAGTTGTTATCTATCGGGAGATCAGTAGGTGGTAGAGAATAGAGAAGAAAATGGGACTCAGAGGGGGATACCAACAGTTGAAACCAATCTCTGTACCTCCCTGGTCGATTTCTAGACGGGAATCATAATCGAAGCCCTCTTCACGCCAATCCTCGGGAAGGACCATGGCGGCTGGTTTTGCCGTAACCACGCGTGTGCCCAAACTCGCTTCGGTACCTTTAAGATCCCCGACCCTGGGTTTTGACTGGATTACATGGTCGTTGAGAGTCCATGTATCTTGGTCACCCATCACGCTTGTAATCTTCCTCCCGAACCCTAGATCCATCAGTTTGTCCCATAATGTCGAATCGTCGAATTCCGTAGCGAAACGGAGGCTGCGAAATGCGAGCTCAGGGGTCACCTCGTTTATGTTCTTCGGGCATTTATCAAAAGGTTTTGGCTGTGAGGTGACCGTTGACGCATATTTGGAGGGGCTAGAGACGAGCACCTTTTCGAAAAAAGTTTCCAGGTCAAACACCGGATCCCCTTCGACGGACGTTGCGTCTAGCAATGAAGCGTCTTTGTGGATTAAGAGGTTGATGATGTTCCAGTCCCCGGTCTCAATGCAATATTGGAAGGACTTGACCAGCTCCTTGTGCTCCCAGTCGCCCAGCTCGAGTAAGATCGCTAGAGCCTTCATATTTGATTCCCGCATCGCTACGTCAAGGCATGTTAAACCGTCAGGAGTTTTAAGATGTAGGCCGGGTTTTCCAAGCTGTTGTGCAAGGGCTTTGATGGTATCTTTGCTGCTCGATTTTGCGGCGATATGGATTGGCTTGTCCCCCTTTCGTCTAGGGAGCTCAAAATCCACTGCATTGCTCGGGCTTGTCGCATTATGGTTGACTAATCCATGCACAGCTTTTTCACAGTCGTTCTCTAGGGCAACATGTAGTGGAGCGTTGCCATCATCGTTCAAGAGGTTAGCGTCTGCGTTGTGTTCGAGAAAAAACTGGACTCCGCCTACAGAGTTCCAGTAGCAGGCCATGTGAAGAGGAGTCCAGCCGTCTGACTTTTGGTAGTTGACCTTGGCCCCTTTGTCGATTAGCATCCTGCAAACGTCCGGGTAATCCGCAGCCGCATGAAGACTCGACCACCGGTGGTGTGAGTAACTGGGCTCGTTAACATCTGCGCCGAACTCTAGTAGGATCCGGACCGCCTCAACCTTGCCGTAAAACGAGGCCTCACACAATGGAGATTTTAGACCGCTAGCGGCGTAGCTAATTGATGCCTTGGCCTCTAGAAGGAGCCTACATGTTTCGCCGATATTTTCTTTGCTTTCTGGACATACTGCCGTCAATAGCGGCGTCCTATCGTCGTCATCAACGGCCTCTAGGTTTGGATTCTCCCTCAAAAGTCCCTTGATTGCGTCTATATTTCCGTGCAAGACCGCGACGTGCAGTGGTGTTCTATTCTTGACGTCGGCCAGATTCACATCCATGCCAAGCTCAAGCAAGAGAGCGACCGTCTCAGCTGTTGAATTTCGGGCCGCAATGTGGAGTAGCGACGTCAAATCTTCGCTAGTTGGGTCTTGATATTTAATGATTTCGGGGAACAGTTGCAGCATGACATGGACGATCCCCACTGCAGACTTCTCAATGGCCGCTACCACATCACATCGTCGATCTTTCAGTGGGTAAATATCATCCGAAATACCAACTGGTCCCCCCTTGTTCTGTGCTTTGATTCGTTCAAACAGTACTTCCACCATTGCCAAGTTGGTAAACTCAATGGCATACCCTATGGGTGTTTTGGATTTATTGTCGATTGCGAATATGCTATCGCTCTTTTCATTGACCAGCAACCGAGCTGTTTCTAGCTGACCTGCTTGTACCGCAAGGTGCAATGGGATTTGCTTCGTCCGTGAGCGCGACTCAACATCGGCTCCCCTGTCTATCAAGATTCTTACCAGGGACGTTTCTCCATTGGACGCAGCCTCGTGGAGCGCTGTTAGCCGTGACGAGTCGGGAGCATCGACAATTACGGCCTCGGAGCTCTTGGTGGGGGCATTGTCCGCATTGTTGCGAGGTTCGCGACCACCGCCCAACAGAATTTCGGCCACATCTCGTCGTTTATGTTTGACCGCCAGGTAGAGGGGAGCTTGCCGGTCGCTGTTGGGAAGGTTCATTTTCGCCCCTTGACGTAGGAGCGACCTGACGACCTGCACAAAGCCACCGGCCGCGGCTAGACAGAGTGGAGTTGTGCCTGAATCTGGGCTCCCGTCGGGAGAGACACCTTCACTTAGAAGGTATTCGACGATCAACATCTGGTTGGCTGCCGCAGCCCTTGCTAAGAGCATGGCGTCCCACTTATCGTCTTTAACGTGAAGCATTTTGAGTATCTCGAGATGTCCTCGCATAGCAGCTAGGGTCTCGGGAGTGTAGCCTTGGCTATCCTTGGGCGACTCGGGACTTTTCAGAGCACCCATAGTCTTCCAAAACAGAGACAAGACCTTGCAATGTCCATTCTCAGCTGCGTAATGTACCGGCAGGCGTCCCTTGATATCCTCAGCCAGCATCACGCCGTCAAGCTTGTTATGACAACGAGCAATGTCGAGGATAATGGTTGTCGCTTCGACACATCCACCGCGTGCTGCAAAATGTAGCGGTGTTAAACCATTCTCATCCTTTTGGGCGAGCTCCTCCCTCGACTCGCTGGTGAAAAGATCCCTGAGGAGCTGCGGACAACTCTCGACGGCATGGTGCGCGGGTGTCCGCCCTGATCTATCCTTGACTATAACTAGTTGGTTTTTAGATCTAAAAAACTCAATCAAGACCCTTGCCGCACTCATGTTTCCCGTCCTTGCCGCAAGGTGGAGTGGAGTCTCGAGATCTTTGTCCCTAGCCGCAGGGTCACCGATGGGGCCATAACTCACGCCTTTACCCGCCGCGTCACCCTCGGGGCTTCCTGGGCCGGGCAGAGGGTGCGGCAAGAGAGCGCGAACGACCTTGGGCTGACCATTTATGGCAGCGAGGTGAAGTGGGCTGCGGCCATTTTCGTCAACCTCACTCGCCTCGTTTTCACGAAAGCCGCCATCGTTGGCGATCAACTGGACCATGCGTGGGCTCCCCACTAACGCCGCGATATGAAGAGGGCGATAGCTCCAGGTTGTCTTCCTGACGTTCTCGTCCTCACTGGCTAACAACTTTGCCACAGCGTCCACATCATCAGCGGCGATGGCACATTCGAGGTACAGTTTTGACATGATCCCTTCGACGAAGAACATTTTCCGTGCCCAGCCGCCGCGCCTAACTGTGAAGTGTAGATGGGCTACGCAAGCGGGATTTTCAGCACGATGGGTGCCGTCAACATGGTCGCCTGGAAGTAAATAAGACACGACTGGCCAAAGTCCGGCGTCGCGGGCCATCTCGACCGGTGGCAGTCCAAGGCCATCCTGCGGCTTGAGTGGAGCGGTTTCATCTTCTTGTTGCAATCCAGGGCTGTCGAGCCTGTTATTTGGCGGTATAGAACAGTGGCCAAAATAGAGACTGTACCACGAATCGGCTGCCGATGACTCTCGGAAGAACTTCACCACCTCTTCACAGAGGGCGTCGTCGGGATTTTCGATCGCAGAGAAGTGAGCCGGCCAGTAGCGAGTAGCGTACTCGAGGAATGTGTATTCGCCGAGCCTCGCTGATTTGCCGACGAACACCATCTTTAGGTAGTGCAGGCAATGCTTGACGAGTTTATCGTGCCCCATAAGGTCCATAGCCTCTTCTGGTCCTGTGTACTTTCGAAGCGCTTCCCTAGCGGTCGTTGTGGCAACGCGGACGCATCCATTCTCTACGCACAGGAGCCCACCGAGGTTCTTGGTAATGTCAGCCTCGATATCCAGCGTCCCATCCATCTCGCCAATGAGTGTCTGGTCCGAACGAATGGCCGCGGCGCATGCGAGCTCCTGGACTTGAAGTGGCCGCGCAGAAAGTAAAGCCCATGACAGGGTTGCAGTTGCCCAAGGGAGCAATGTCTCATCCTTGGAGAGTCGGGATATCGCCTGGCGGTAGAGTTCGTCCGACGTTCTAGGGCTGTCCTCCACGGTCTTCTGGATAATCCCTTGTGTGCTGAGGGTGAAAGACCGCAAGAGATGATCGAGATAGCCGCTGATCTCGCGGAAGGAGCCGGAAAAGCCTTCGGCCTTGGCAGCAATAACTTGTCGAACAGTGACTCCCCGTTGACCTCGTAGCAGACCCGAGGTCGCTGGGCGAGACTTGTTAACAATGTGGATGAGCTCTCTGTCGACAAAGTCGTGAATTCTGAGCCTGTGGTGTTTGGTCAAATCAATATGGTGACATGCAACTCCGAGGTCGATCTCCGGGTCCGTTGTTGCCGGTTGGTTACGGCTAATGAGTAGTGTACACGTAGGGCTCGAGCCCCGGGGCTCATGCGAGTGTTTAACAGATTTGAGGAGTTGAGACCACCAGTCGCGGGCCTTATCCGGCCACAGGCGGGACTGGTAATCGTGGACGACCACCAAAAACTCCGTGTCTCTAGCCTGTGCGAACAGCACTGAGATCAGACTCTCCATCACCCCCTCGCCCCAGGTGTCTTGTTCGAGGAGTTCTGATAAGATCATCTGGAGGGCCGACGTGAAAAGGCTTGGCTTCTGCGATAGGATCTGCCGGAGCGTTGACACTAACACTTCATAGAAAGCCACGGGATGTTCCGTGTTTCCAAATGTTTTCGGATAGTTGCTGATGACCACGAGCGATGATTGTGTCTGTAGATGTTGTGACAGTAGTTTCACCGCGGCCGACTTGCCAGTAACCTCCGATCCGGTGACGAGTACACAGCCTCCCCGAACCTTCTCGAAAGAGACGCCGCTGAAGTCTGACTCGTGCACGGCCTTTAGGGATTCCGAAATGTCGGTCGCATCTGAGATTCGGTTTTCGCAGATGATGCGGTTAGAGGGGGACAAGACCTCTAGTACTTTGGAATACGCCTTGGAGGTCTCCGTATTGATGAATCCTTCCAGCCAGGTCGGCGCAAAAACCTTCCTCAGGAGGTCAAGGCCAGGAAGATTGTCAAGGGCACAATCTCCAACCTCACCAGCATCTGGCCATTCAACCAACGCACGTAGGCTGTTCATGCTGAAGTTGTGGCTCAGGTGCTCGGTAGGGCTGGTATGTTCATTTTGATAACGTTGTGACACGATGTTCCGGATGCGGTACTTGGGCTCAAACTCGATGAATGCGTGGGAAAGCTTAGAGACATGACGAGCAAGACTGGAAACGGTTGCGTAAAGCCTTTTCTGCAATCCCGTCGAGGAGGTAGTCCTGAGGAGTTCGAGTAACACACCCTCCCACGGGTGATGACCAGTGGGTTCGTGAGGGGTGTTGAAGAAAACAAGACATGTGACTTGGGAAGCCAGATGATAGAATTCGGGATCGCTATTTGCTGTTGCGATAGCCTGGGCAGTTGTCAGCGGCTTGTTCAACTTTTCATCCGAGGGGCATGAGCAAATGCGGATAAGGTAAGTAAGTGGAGGGACCCACTGACAGGTGCTGAGGCAATAACGATGAGAAGGCTCAAGTTACTAGACTATCCCGCCTCTGTTCTTTCCCGTTTTTCAGATAGAGACCATCGACTCAACGGACGACTCTCGTATCTTCACGCCATGACCTACCTGCTTGACCAAAATACCACCAAGTCCATACCCGGAGAGTAAAATTGCAGCTCCATTCGACGTGTTATGTCGCATCCGTTCGAGAAGTGAACGAGCTTGGCTGGTGATCCAGTCCGAAGGGAGGTTGATGTCAGACGCAGAGCTCCCGGGGGCAGGGCCCAAGTCATAGCCGCTCGGGTTGGATGTGGTACAGGAAAGCTCGAGGTCGAGCTTGGTCACAACCGCCTCTGGGACAAGGTGCTCGACCATTTCCACCATGGGGATGAACCCATCCCTAGCAGATGTGGTCGGAAAGTTGACCATAAAGATACTGAACACCGGCCAGATTGGCTTATCAGCTAGGTACTCTGTCATTTGAAGAAGAACATCACCAGCGTCATTCACATACTTGAGCAGTATCTTTACATCACCCTCTGAGCCGGTCAAAGCGGGTGTCTCCATGTTGAATAATTGGGGAACAGGTCAACAGGGCGGTAAAGACAAGGTTTGGCCGATGGGCTGGGTAGTCCCGCATCATCTATTTGTTTATTTGGGTTCTGTGCGATCAACCCCCTCAGCCAAAACTGTGTTTCTTATAGGTAGTACAATTGTCTATCTAACTTATGAGTGGTATTACTTACTACTCACATACCCCCTCAGGTTTGGTCAGAATCGATGCATTCCCTTAAGTGAGGACGATTCTGGCAAAGCTTAGGTAGATATCTCAGATCTTTAGGTTTCTTAAACCTTTGGATCTCTTAGGGTGGGAACGCAGTCGTGCTCTCGTCCATCTTCCCATCCTAGAGTCTAGACTTCGAGTGATGGGGGCGGGAAGTTATGTTACACTACATACCTATTTCTTTGCTCGACCCCGCACCCATCCTCTGCCGTTTGGTGCTGAATTCCGTCGATGAGGCTCTGGCAGGACATTTTATGGTAAAATCTCCCTGCTCCCCCCTCAACCCCCAGCCCCTTCTCGGACCAGCTGAAAAACATCCATTTTTGATTGAAGCTGCTGCTCAAAGAGTCACACCACCTTCGTATAGAGTATTAATTAATCGCCTTGCATTACACAAATTTCTGCTCAACCTAAATCGATAACCCTCTGACAACAGATAACTCAAATGACAGTCATTGGCTCTCGCTGGCCACGGACATCATGTCGCGGATGCCTCGCTCGACAAGACAGTGCTACCCAACACCCCAGCCACCTTTTCGAGTTGATCGACACTCATCCTTTCCTTATCAATTTCGATATTAAGCTTGGTTTCAAATGCCGGGTGCAAGGTGCGTCGACGGATGTATTGAACACCAGGCTTGAACCGCACAGGGTCGTTTGCCGGTGAAAAGCGGGATAGGTTACGTATGCCGCTGAATACGTTGTAAGCGAAATCTCCCTTGGCCTTCATGTCGACCTTTGCCGTGAAGATGTCGGCGTCGTTTTGGCGTTCCAACAGCACGGCAGCCCGGAGGTCGGTGACGATGCTGGTCTTCGCCTTGTCATCCTCGCACAACGTAAGTGTGACAGCGTTGTTATTTCCCCATTCCCGGTGGGTGGTGTCCAAGATGATGGAACCTGTTAGAGTCGCCCGGTTCGTTCGTTCGAATGACTCGGTCCTTTCCCATGTCCTCACATAGTGGGTCCCTAATTGGGCTCCCGTCCCGCCCAGTGGCACCCCAGCATCACCACCCACTTCACCCCTATCCTTGTTCTCGACCTGAACTGGAGTCTTGCCCAAAGTGAAGTCGCCGTTTGGCCAGAGGGCTACGACCTCTGGGTCACGTTTGGTCCCTGGCTTCTTTTCATCTTCGAAGACAATGGTGATGGTTGCCTCCTTGAAGCGACGTTTGCGGTTGAGGCCGTGAAACCGGAAGCCAAAAACCACCAAAGTCGTCGGAGTCCCTCCTTCTTCCTTGGTTGAGCGACCATGGACGACGCGATCGATACGGGCCTGGAGAAGCAGGCCGAGGCAAATGTCGTCGAGCACGTTAGGCCGTTGAACCTCATAGGGACTGCTGTTTCGTTGGTGCATGCCACGGCGCTCCGTCTCAACATTCAGCTGGAGAGACGGAAACATGAAAGCGTCTTCCTCGATATCAGTTGGTGTAGCCATGGTGTCTGTTGGTGCCCCAAAACCGGGTTGTTCTTCTAGACAAACTTGGGGACTATTTGCTGGCAATGTGGGCGGGACCGCTATTTATCTATATTGTGTGCCTTCGCTGTTCTCGTTCTAAGACAAATCTATCTTTCTATTGTGATTGTAATAAGGCGCATATATAACCGGAAGATGACAAGCGTATCATGTCCTACTCTTGCTGCTGTCAGGAGTATGGAGTACTTATCAAGAATTGGTCCCCCCCTCCAGGCCCCTGCTCGGGCACAAAGCTCGACCGAGCATGCCGCGGCGTCCAGGGATGAACGGGCGGGCATTCAGGGACGCTGTGTTACTACACCATCTGCGACCCCTCCCCTCTTGTCACCTTGGCTAAAATCCAACCACCTCGGAAATAGAGGCAACCGGCTTCTTGCTTGAGATGTATTCAGAGGCACACGCTAGGTTTACCCGACGTACTTTCTGCAAATATAGGTACGGGAAGAGCGGGTGGCACTTTCTCCTTGCTGTTGCAGGTTTCCATCAAGCAGTCATTTCGAAATCCCCCGATCTTCTTTTTGAGACTGGTTGCAGTTCCTACCTGCTCCTCGACAAACCATTCAGGTGCCTTGGCTTTGGAAACGTAGGTACATCACAATCTTTCCCATCTCATTGATCTCCTCGTCCCGGGATTTCAACATGACGCTGAGCGCACCGCAATCAGCGCGAAATATCCATCTTCCGCGGCAACCAAAGCAGGACCCCACCAGGGAAGCGCCTCCCAAGGAAGACCACGTCGATCAATTGGCAAAGAAAAAGCGGCCAAATGACAACACATCAGTTAGCAAAGGATATGAAAAGGGCTCTCCCAGGGTCGCGCCCCAAAAGCATAAGCCATTGAGAATCGATACAGTACACCCCGAAGTTATCGATAGCTGGAGAAACCCCGAGGAGGTAGCACTAGACATCAACAATTTTGCATCAGAAGTGCGTTTTGGGGTGAATAGAACCGGGGAGAACTTTCTTCACAGCGTCATCCTGTACCTTTGTCCCCCCGACGAGCCTAGCAGCACCGTGGACGGACCCCGTCGAATGCCGTACAAACTTCCCCCGGAAGCGGAACGCTTTCTTCAGCGATTCGTCCTCGACAAGCCGGAGCTTCTTGGCCAGAAGGATTTTCGAAAAATCATTCCGATTTGTACGGGAGCGGAAAAGTTACCTACATTCATCTTCATGATCTTTGATCTCGTCATACCCGAACACACACGGGAACGGCTCAAAGTACCGACTGGGGATGGGCGACCGTGCGAGCACTGCCCGTTGCAGGAGGTCTCGCCGGGGTTGAGGAGTTTCTTCCCTGCTAGAGAGCAGAACTCAAGCAGCGATATCGACGACCTTGAACCCTCGGCACCGACCGATGATCAGGAAGGCCAAAAGATAATAAACGGCAAAGATCGAGATGCGAGCCTGGATGAGACGTGCCTGCACGGCCAAATTGACGTCAAGCGTATGCTGGAGCAAGAGGAAGTCTTCACAAAAGGTCTAGCAGATGTCATGGAGACGGACGGCTTGACGAGTCTAGTTCTCATGTCCCTTCTCGACACCAATCGCTTTGACGACGGACAAGATAATCATCAATTAGTCGAGTTCCCAAGCTTTGAGTCAATTTTACGACTGTGCCCAGAGAGCACCTTCGCAGCAGCGACATCGAACACCGGCAGAACTTTGCTTCAGCAGGCGGCGTTGGCTTTTGGAACAAGACGGCTCAAGTACTCGTTAGTGTATAAGGTCATCGAGGCGCTGGTGCGAAGATCCCCCGCTTCAATCTTCATTGGTACCAAAGTAGATGATGATAAGCTACCCAATGTCTATCATATGCTTGGTAATTTGGAAACAACCACCGGTAAATGGGAAGACGACGGTACACCATCGCCACAGGAGTGGATATCGAAAGCGCGGGATCTGATCAAAAGGGAATGCATCGGATACAACGGGCCTCTCGACGACGACAAAACCAACAAAGACCTGCGAGCTAGAAAGATAACCCTCTTGTACAACAAAGAAAATTTCGGTAAGTATTGAAACCCTGACATCGTCTATCCACGGTCCCCTTCCCATGGGAACGGACCCTAGTCGATTGGCTATAGTTTCAGGGAAAGGAACTCAACGTTGTTCATTCTAACATCATATCGTAGAGAGAAAGCTTTGTTTCAACCTCGGCAGCAAGTCCAACATCATCTTTGACCAAGAATACATCGACGTGATCAAGGACAATTCGGGGACCAACGCCCAGCTGGAAACCGTCCTGGAGTTTGTGCGACTGCCAAACTGGAAACCCGAGGGGGGGAAACGATATCAGCCCAAGAGGGGACAACACACCATAGCAGAAACGATGATACCACCAACGGAAACCCTTGACCCTTATATTTCCATCTTCGGCTGGCTCTGGGACACGTGTAGAGTAAAAAAGATTTTTACTCTGGAAGTCGACGACGTCAGTGACGAGCCACACACTAATGTTGGTATTCGAGAAGCACTCCGGGGCATCTCGGCTGATGAGCCGGATGGGACACGTGATTTCGAGATTGAGGTCTGGAAGTGGAAAAAGTTTGACATTTGTGTCGAAACCATCGCAAAGTCGGCCCCCGGCGTCCATGAGGTTCACCTCTACTCGAGGGGAAATGTTGCCGTTTTGAGAGGCTGGAGTTGCCGTTCCGGTCTTGCCCAATTGAAGAGGTTAAGAGAGGTACACGTTGAAATCCACGCAAAGGTTCGTAACCATGCCGTGGCGTCACTACCATATGGCGTCTCATCAGCATACCCCATCGAGGAGATGTGGTGGTCAGAGCTAAAAACATGCTGTGTAGAACACAAAGGACCACGACGATTGTGTCAGATACTGGGAGACCTTTAAAGCAAGGGTGAGAAAGCATTGCCCGCGCCTAGGACAGGATGACATCAAGATGTATGATGGTAGGAAAAGCGGCTCGAGCCAAGAGAACGTCACCACTACCGTCAGGGGAGCTGGCCAGGGGGCAGACTCGACTCGGCCCAAGCAGCAAGAATGGATCAAGGAGTTATCAGGATTCAAGGCGTGGATCCAAAGTCTTATCCCGAATAAAAAGCAGAAGCCGAGGGTTAAAGTGGGCATCCTCGACGACGGTGCCGACTTGGCCAATCTTCACGGGATGCAGCGCGGATGGTCCTTCCGTGCTGACCAGCAGGAGTACTTCATGGGCCCATGCGAGCACGGCACTCAGATGGCAACATGCGTGAGAGATATTTGCCCCATGGCCGACTTGTACATTGGCCGGCTTGATGACTCACGCCAGCATGAGCCCAACGAAAAATTCACAGTTGAGTCGTGCGCCAAGGCCCTTGGCTGGGCGCTCAACGAGGGTGCAGACGTCATCTCGATGAGTTGGACATACTCCAAGTCGCCCTTTGACTTCTACAAGGGGGAATTCGAGAAGTTGATCAAGGAGACCGTCCAGGATGAACGTGCAGCCTTATTTGGCTCCCTACCGGATATGGGCCACAACCACCCGGCGGACAAGTTCGCACCTGTTGGCCTTGACGGTGTGATGAAAATCAGTTCGTCCACCCCTTCAGGCGCTGTTTCGGATAGCAACCGCTTGGAGAAGTCCGACTTTCTCCTCCCGGGTGAGGAGACGAGAGACGCCGACGGTAATTTAACGCTTAAGGGGAGTTCCTACGCCACAGCCTACGCTGCCGGGCTGGCCGCTCTCGTCCTGTATACGTTCCGGACCTTGGAGGTTCTCGGAGAGCGGGAGGGGAACGCTTCGCCGGACGCGCGACTCGCCCGGGACGCTCTCCTTGTGGCAAAGAAACCCAACGGCATGAGGCGCATTTTTGAAGCAATGGCGCCCGTGAAGCGCGGCAAGGATAGTATCGTAGGGCCCTTTGTGCAGCCATCTACAGATGTTCTCCGACCGCCTAAGGATAAAGGGCCCGGCGAGAATATTGTAAAGTTGCGCCATATCGTAAATACCCTTGTAACGGGGGCGGTAAAGACCGAGGTGTTAGGGGAGCGGTGAGCGTAAAGGTGTGTCCGAACTTATTCGTTCGGGATATGATCCGAGGACCGTCCCAAACTGCATTGGACGAAGAATCAACTCGATACCTACCTATCCTTCAAGGTAGATTCCATTAGAGGCCGTCATGTTTTCTAGGAGGTCGGTAGTAGTTGATCAGACATCCTGATGAACCCGTACTAAATAAGGGAGAGAAGTGCACCTCTCTAAAAATAGCCCAATGAAAGGGAGAGGGGAAATATGTGTAACATCCCATTACAAAGGGAACGATCCCGGCCAACATCTCCTAGGTACCAAGTACCGACCAATCCATGTTGGTTGAAGCACCCGTAGTATTTTAGACTCTCGTTAGATGCAGGTTGATTTTCTCTTTTCTCTAAAGAGAAGTTTCCATATTCGCCTCCATTACCCTCAAACAACAAATAAAATGGTAGACAAGACAGTAAGTGTGATCTCTCCTCCCCCCTATCTCGTAGTTATCGCGGCATCTCCGACCTTCGGCCTCATTTACTAAGGCGCTACGTCTAGGTTGAGGCCCTGATTGCCATTCTCGGCGTCGAAAAGGTGTTCCTCCCAGGCGGCGCGCAATATAATGCGTCTCTGTCTTCATACTTTAGCCCGCAGGCTGCCGCTGTCCACCCGGCGTGCTTTGTAGCACCGCAGAGCGTCGCAGACGTCTCGGCCGTAATCACGTCGTTGACCTCGCGCAACAGCCACGAGTCTCACGACTTCGCCGTGCGCGCCGGCGGCCATACGTGGTTCTCTGATGCGAACAGCGCCCCCGGCGGCGTCACCATCGACCTACGCGGCCTCAACTCGATCAAATTAAGCGCCGATAAATCCACCGTATCCGTCGGCAGCGGGGCCACTTGGGACGCCGTGTACAGCCAGCTCGAACGTGAAGGTCTAAGCGTCGCCGGCGGTCGCGTTGCCGGCGTAGGTGTTGGTGACTTGGCTCTTGGCGGCGGGATTTCTTACTTCGGCCCGCGCGAAGGTCTGACGTGCAACCAAGTCACGTCGTTTGAAGTAGTGCTGGCCAACGGCTCGGTGGTGGTGGCCGACGAGAAGCAGAATGCGGACCTGTGGTGGGGGCTCCGGGGCGGGTCGAACAACTTCGGGATCGTGACTCGGTTCAGCCTCAGGACCTTCGAACAGGGCTTGCTTTGGTCCATCCTCACGCTCAACCCGCTTACGGAAGTTGACAACCAAGCCAGGATCTACGGCGAGATCATGGCGGCCGATAACTACGACGTCAACGCCTCCTTTCTCACGGGCTGGGTCTTCGCTAGCCAGCACGGCGTGAGCGCCACCCTGAACCAGCTTATCTACACTCGGCCGGCTGAGGGCGAGACCCCAGCATTCTACAAGCCCATCCTGGAACTGCCCGCCGTCAGCAGCATGTCTGCCACAGCTACCGTCGCTAACATGTCTACGATTGCACAAAACGCGGTAGCCCTACAGAAGCCACAGGCAGCTCGGTACGTACGATTTAACTATCATCCCCCAACCCACCCCTTTCCCTTGTCTGTGCCTTATTAGGTCGGTAAGCGCGATACGAGAGATGAAATTCTCACGATACTCTTCTCTTTCACTAGCTATATGACTGCCACCACGACGTTTGTGCCCACCGAGGACATGATCCGTGCGACTTACGAGGCTTTCAGCGCGTCGCTCTCGCTAGTGCAGGGCGTGGCGGGGATCATGTGGGCGGTCAGCATCGAGCCCTTGCCGCCGCAGATCTACAAGCGCAGCGGGGCGGACAACAATGCGCTGGGTTTGAGCGAGCACCACGGTTCTCTCGCCATCGGCCTGGTTTCACCGTCCTGGTCGGACGCCGGCGACGACGAGGTCGTGTACGGCGCGGCGCGCTCGCTCATGGCCGACATCGAGAACAGGGCGAAGAAGTTGGGCGCGTACAACCGGTATATTTACCTCGACTACGCGGCGCCGTGGCAGGAGGTCATCAAGGGATATGGCGAGCAGAACGTCAAGAAGCTGCAGGAGCTGAGGAAGAGGGTCGATCCCGGAAAGGTGTTTACGAATATGGTCAAAGGCGGATTCAAGATTCCGGAGGAAGGCCATTAAGGAGACCTGCCTGGAGCTGCGCTATGGATATAGGGGAACTAGTGGATAAGAGTGCTATTTATTTTTTAAGGGCTTAGTGAGGATATAGGCAATAACTACATAGACTCCTCATCAACCTAGATGCCTTATTTGTCAGTTGGCATATCGAGACTCGGTGGCGTTCAAGCTACGTTGGGTGCCTATTTCCAGTTGGCAAGGATCGTCTCCGTCTCCCTCAAACCCGTCATCCTTACCGTCTCCTTCCACACCATATCTCTCTTTGCCGCATCTCTCGACTCCTCGCCCGTCTCTAGCGGCGTCCTCCCGTCAAAGTACTTATCCTTTGGCGGGTTCCCTCCCTCGCCCACCGCAAATGCCGCCTCCAAGACGTCCCCCGCGGAACGGCTCGTCGACCTCAACGGCCCGTTCGGGTTCACGTACAATATGAACGGGTAGATGATCTTGAACAGGAGGACGCGGATCACCCAGGGCGCCAGCCTCTGCAGGCCGCTAATCATGGTGCCGGGGTCGACGCCAAGGACGCGGACGTTGTTCAACGCGGGGTCGGCATCCAGCCGTGTCTGTAGCTCATGCTGCATCATAACGAGGAAGAGCTTCGACGCGCTATACCGCCGGAACCCGCCCCTCCAAGATGCGTCCTCGCTCGCGGGGCTCCACGTTCCTTTGGCGATCGCCTCGAAACCGGCCGCGTCGGAGACGAAGGTCTGATATTTCGGGTCGTCGAAAACTCCGATGCGCGCGTTTCGCGGGTCCGAGGGACTGTTGCGTATTAACTTTGATTACTCGACTTGCGGTTTTCTTTGTACGCCCAAGTAGAAGAACTTGCTTGGCTTGGCTGAAATAGTGATAAGGTGGGAGGCACTCACTCATGGCCCTGGCTACCGATCACGATGATCCGCCCTTCCTCCTTATCTATACTCTTAAGCAGAAGAAGCGTCAGCAGCCAGTGGCCGAGATAATTGGCCGCAAAAGTGTTATCGAAACCGTCGTCCGTCCACTGCAATAGTAAGCGTCAGTAAATAATTTTTTGTTTTTTTTTTCGGGTAAAGAAAAGGGGCTAGGTTGACGAAAAGAGCTCTACGCGTTTTACATACTGACTGATTGCCAAAGTCCTGGAACCCAGCATTAAGGATAAGCGCTCGAATAGGCGGTAGGTCGCCGGCGGAAACACGAGTCTGCGACATGGATCATTACCTAGAACGTTGACGAAGAAGCAGGACGCAAAAGAAGGCAGCTCACGTTTACCTCATCTGCTACCTGCCGGACGTTGTCGAGCTTGGTTAAATCGAGAGTTAAGATGTCATCTGGATATGTCGCTCCAAACGAGGCGAGAGCGTCGCTGCGCGTCGCGTCTCGGACGGTGTAAAGCCCGCGATAAGCGGAGAATTCGGGCCTGGAGGCGACCTGCTGTGCTATCGCGCTGCCGAGCCCGCCGTTAGCCCCCGTGACGAGGATGGTTCCTTTTACAGCGGCCATATTTCTCTGCAACCGTTCTGCTATATTGGTAGCTAAAGAATAACGGGAGGAGAACCAAGGTCGAGGTGCAATGAGAAATCAAGTAGACCAGAGGAGGGAGAACAATTTGTATCTACTCCCTTGCATCTACTCCACTACTAAGGCCTTTATATCCGTGCAGTCCGTGTGATAAGTCGGTTGGCCGGTAGGTACCTTATATAAGCACTTTGTGTAACATGATCGGAAATAAGCACTAATAATAATTATTTTCCCAGACCCCCTTTTGCCAATACCTGATGTATTGTCTATGTAAAAGAAAAGATTATTATTTTTTTACAAATAATCACTTAACACTGAAGAAGAGCAGAGGGAGCCACGTCCGTGGCTCATGACTGGCACACTCACAATACCTATTGGCATGGTAACTTCTATCTTACCTAGCCCTAAAAAAGAGGCCATTGGAATCTTGGAAAAATGCTCGACCGTGGCCTGGATGAAAGGCAATGTTTAAACCTGAGGCGGTGATATGATGACAAGCGAAGAGGGGTGTGATCAAAGAAGGCCCGGGCTGCCACCCGGAGCGCTACGAGCAGATCTAGGTAATCCGGGTCCTCGACTGCTCCACTACAAAACGGAGGACGGGCGTTTACAGCCCGGGAGGCGGCCGAGGTAGGCAGAACCTTATTATTACCCGGAATGGTAAGTGGGCCCGCGCACTGCCACAATGAGTCATCAGACGATGTTGCATATTGGCTTAACCTATTAGTCAGCAACGTCATCTAAATATGTAAGACGTTCACTTACACGAATTTATTTGAATTAGAGCTATTACAATTCGCAAGTATTTTACCGGTCGAGGTATTGTTTCTAGAGCCGCCTCGGTCAGGTCTCCTCGCGGAATCGACAAGTTGTTTCCGTACAAGTGTCTGTTAACCCATCTTGTGAAAGAGTGACTCCAAGACATCTTCTCTCCACGAAACACAAATCTATTTAGATAGGTATCTACATATGTAGGTATTTTATATAAGTCTTTATGTGATTATTTGCCGTACCTACTTTTCTCAATTCCGGACACAAAATTACCTCTTCAGCACCGTCTGCATCGCCGAGATCTTTAGAGCTGTCACACGATGACAGTACGGGAGTGATGGAAGTGTAGAATCGATATATGACAGAATTCGGTTTCATACACAGAATTTGACGAGTGTGCTAGAATATAGCTACTTAAATTCGAACAATTCGCCATCATTTGCAGCTTTTCCTTTTCTAGATTATGGTACTAGTATGCCAGGTCCTCTCTGCATGGTAGTAAAATGCGATTATTATCTCGGATTCTTCCGGTGATTATGGCGTAGGAATAGGCAGAGTACCTATCGAAAGGCACATTTCCTAGAGATGTAAATGAAATGTTTGAATCAAAGGTGTGTACCTAACGTATTGTAGGGCATCTGATTAATAGGATAAGAAAAAAAAAGATAAGGAAAAAAAAAAACACAAAATTGGTTTCCTAACCATTGTTGCCCCTCCTCTTTTTTCTTCCTTCCTTCCACAACAACAACCACCGCCGCCGCTTTAACTATTATCATTTCTATCATTCTGTCTTTTATTCCTGCGTTTATTTTCAAGACTGAAACGAGGATTTTAGGAACGAGATGTCTGCGAAGCCGGCGTTTTCGTTTGTGGAGGCGATGAAGGCTGTCCAAAAGGACATACAACTTTGCCAAATGGCACGACAGCTCTGCATACGGCTGGACCCTTTATGGGTGCGTTACGCGAGGATGCCAAAAGGCTCCGTAACGCTGGTAGAGGCACAGTATGAGCTATCCAACTTGCTCTGGAAGGGTCTGCACGGCGAGGAAGAGAGGCCTTGGGCAACCTCGGCGGCCCTGCTACGCCCAAGAGATGACGATGACGATCCACGCGAGGCACTTGACATCGATTTCTGGAAAGAGGCCATCAATGTGGTCAATCGCCACTGGGACGTAGAGTTGGCCTTGAAGATGATCCACCGCAACGCCGTGGCTGAGACATCTTCCCAAGAGGCTAACGAACTGGCCAACGACAAGGCCAAGGGAAAAGAGAAGAGAAAAGAGAAGGGAAAAGAGAAGGAAAATGAGAAATATGCCAAGCTACAAACAGCTGTGAACGCCGTCCTTGCGCTCGACCAACAGGTCTGTTTCGTGGTAGGACCACCTAGGTCGGGAAAAAGTATTATGTTGCCTCTCTTAGTAGCCAAGTTGAGCCGGAACTCTGTTCTGTGCGTGCAGCCGAGTGAGCGCGTGGCCAGGCAGCACGCGACGTATCTGAGCGGTGTGCCTAAAGGCTCCGTCTCTGTTACGTTCATCGAGGACTCGAAGGAGTTGAAAGGGCTAGAATTTGCTGCGTGCAGTGTCACGTATGTCTTACGTGGCATTCCGCCGATGGCTATCCGAATCCAACCACCCCGTTAAACCAACCATAATCCTGGACGAGTTTCACGCGGAGACGGTATCCAAGGAGCTTGCTTACGTATAACTCCACAAAATGTTGCTCAAAAGAGGTGGAGGAGGAGGTAGAATCATCTTGGCCACGGCATATCCCGAGGCGAAGCCGTTCAAAATTTGTTTCCGCCTCTCCAAGGAACAGATAGAAAAGCAGACTGTCTATGTCGAGACCCAAACGGCGAACGTCCCCCGATCGGTAGCCGTGGAAACGTTCTGAAAGATGACGATAAAGATTGGCTCGGCAATAAGCCATATTTTAAAAAGGTTGAGCAGGTGATGAAGGGGGTTATGGATCGTGACAAGCAAGCCAACATCCTAATGTTCGTCCCGGAAATGCTTTTCTACCAGACACGTCACTGGGAAAGATTCGCGGCGGATAACAAGTTCCAATACCTCACCATACAGGATGGCGACGCTAGGGAAGCTAACGATCGAGCGCGAGGTGCTTGCGTAATCGTGGCCGAGCTCGACTTCGAGTCTAGGATACCTATTCAAGGCATTACGGATGTCGTTTCCCCCGCATTCCGTCCCATCATGCGCTACGACGAAGACGTGCGTAAGGAACTCAAAACCCCTGAGGCGCTTTCGAAATGGCAGCTCGACTTTATAAAGAGCCATTTAGACCCGGATTCTCTGACCCCGAAGATTCACTACGTGTGTCCTCGTCAAGCTAAGGATACGCTGTCAGGAAATTTCGACCCGGCCTTTCTCAACGGTGATTGTGTCGATTACTGGATAGGGTTGATGGGACGGATGAGCGCGGAGAAGACTTGCGGTGACGATTCTCCCATTCGTTACATTGTTCCGCTTGCGAAACTTCACCGGGTAGTCGATGAGCTCCAAAACGGGCTCCTACTTTTAGGAATAAAACCTACAAAGTTCAACACGGACAGGCGTGAGTTAGTATTGAATTTGATGGACCGGACCGGTCTCGACTGCCGCGCCGCCGTATTTCTTCATGACCTACGGGAGCACGTCGATGGCGATTCGTCGGAGGAGCAAAAAAAGCGAAGAGACTTTCTTCTCGTCGGAATCCTGGTTGTCGTCTTCGATCGCGCGCCTGTGCTCCGTCGGCTTTCTTTCAAACTTACCGCCCACTTGCGTGATCTGAAGCTGGGGCACGACTCTATTCTCCAGTACCATAGTAGCGACTCCTGGATCAATGCCGTATTCTGGATGTTATGGGCGAAGAAGGCTGAACAGGAAGGCATGAATTCCTTCGATGCCATACAGGAACACAACTGGCGTGTCATTGAAGAGAATTTCACACAGGCCGAAGCCAAGGTCAAATCCCTCGCAAGTAAGATCTTAGGTAATTGCTCCTTTGTGGAGAGAGCGAAAGATGGTTCGCTCTTGGGGCAGATCAAATCTTGGTTGGCCGAGGGCGACGAAATGAAACCTGCCTTCGAATACCTCCATGCTTACATGTACAACCTATTGTATTTGAAGCGTGATGACTTTGAGGCCCAGAACTACTGTTACGGTACCGATATCTCCAGCGGACGAAGAATACTTGTCGACCCGAGGAAGGGAGTGGTGAACCTCGAATCCGAGCTTAAGTATGCGGCTTCTCAGGGTAATAATGGCATCCACGCATGCGTGTCATCCTACCGCTCCTCGGATGAAAAACGGGAAGTCGAAGGAGTAGGTCTAACCATAGTTTCTCCAGTCGTTGTTCAAAGCCTGTTGAAAGATATAAGAGGGCCATCGAACCTCCACATTCGCTTGAGCCTGAAGTAGATACGAAATAGGGAATAATAATGACAATAATAGCTCATACATAACCCTTGTTAAATTGACTATCATACAAAAGACGCAGGTGGTGAATGGTAAGTATGCACTATTCGCAAATTCTAAGTAAATATAGCCTATCTTGGCCCTTAAAAGGGATAGGGAACGTAGTTGACGAGGCCTCCCTTCTTAAAGCTTCTTAGCTTAAACACGCAGTGCAGGTTAAGACGTATGTGGCTGTATCAACCTTGACGCAGACCGGTAAGTTAGTAAAGGCCGCGACAGCGCTGCAGTAGAAGTTTGTAGTAGAACAGCGTTGCCGTGGCGGGTTGACCGCCTTAGTCGCGTATATCTGCCTACCTGGTAACCGAATTTATTTTTTCGCCCACAAACTCGTCTACCTAATTCTTCACCTGAACGGCAACCAAAAAATTATCAACTTCGTACCGCCGACAACGTCGCTACAAATTTATCATTTAAAAACCATTCTTCACGACGTCCCCTTGAATATTTTCTTTTTCGGTCGAAGTGATAAACATGCCGTCCAACAAGGACTCGAAGGAGCCTCACCGGCCCAAGTCTACGTCTCGCCCCGGTAGAGGCCGCCGCAGACAAAGCAGCGGACCTCGAACGGGTTCCGAGAACAACTTCCGGTTTGAGGGTAACGTTGATTCCGTAATGCGAGTGACAAACCAGCTCTCGCAGATGAAAAACGGATCTACTATGGTTAGGGCGTCATTTGAGTTTCTTGACGGATCGGGATCTCAAAAGAGATCTCGCGATGACGACAACGATGAGGAAGGCACCCGTGGCAGGTCTCAACGACCACGCTACAAATCGCCGGAACGAGAGGAAAATAAGGGTTGCGGAAATTGTGACAAGCCCGGCCATACAGCTCGCGACCGCGTCAAAGTCGGCAGATCCGGCTGGATGGACGGAGCATGTCCCAAGTGCAATAAGCCTGGCCACATGTACGACAATTGTCCTCACAGGCGCCCCGAAGAGGATATCGAATATCTTTTCTGGTTCCGCCAGAACAAAGGCCTAGTTAAATCTCAAATTAACGTAGGGCGATGTCTGCGAAGGGCGCTCGCGGGAAGTCAGGATACGAGGTTCCAGTTGAATAACGTATACGCTCCTCCTTACTCCCCGAAGTTCGCGCGTCAGATCCAGCGCGAGAGAGAACTCGCCAGGACCGAGTGCGAAAACTGCGGCGTGATGGGCCACGAGGAAAAAAGCTGCACGGAGAAATGTGGCGCGTGCGGAGATGATACGCATAAGTCTTCTCGCTGTGAAATACGGCTAGAAGCGTGCCTGTGCTCCGAGCATCCGGGCCACATCCGCTCCCAATGCCCCTTGGTCTGTTGGTACTGTCAGTATATCGGACAAGAAAGGGATGAGCATCTCGGAATCGACTGTCCTGAGCTGTGCCACTACTGCTTAAAAGCTGGGCACACCATGCGCGACTGCGTAGCCTTGCCCGGGCCCTCAAGGAAGTGTCCCGTCTGTCGTGAGGAAAAGCACTTGCCGATAGACTGCGTCTCGGCGTATTGCCCAGTAAACTATTGCAAGGAAAAGCTGACTTGCGTGGACCACTGCAAAAAGTGCGGCTACGAATCGGATATGGACGGTATGCTATGGGGCAACCACATCCTGACGCACGCATGCGGAAAATGGCTAAAGGTCTGGCAAAAGAACGGCCCAGCAGGTCGAGGCATACTACTTGTCTGTGCCTTGGACAACAGCCATCCCCCGGTGACGGCCGACTCTCTCGACGATATTCGGAAAGAGTTCCTGGACATAGAAGTCGGTACGGAGAGTCCCCAATACGCACACGAATGCCAAGCATGCGCGGACCTAGTGCGTAAGGCAAACGAGGCCAAACTGAAATTTGGCGACGGCAAGGGGAAAGCCGTAGCCAACCGGGATGTCGATGATATGGACGTTGGGGAAGGTTGAGCTTTGCCTGAACTCGGGAGTGAGGGAGAGTATTGTGAGTAGTAATACCACTCAGGTCAGATAGACTGTAATAATTAGCAATTGTACTATTAAGAAATACACTTTTGGCTCAGCGGTGTGTCTTTGACAAGTACCTAGATAGGAAGGTGTAGCATCACTAATGAGAAGTTTAATGAGGCCCATTTCGATTCTGAAGCCTTAAACGTACAGATTATACTATCTTATAGGACGCCTAACGTAAGAACTCTAGACACGGCCCAGTAACTATGTGATTCTGCCTCGAATCGCGTCACCTCGCAGCTCTCCACGATATAGGTTAGCTAGGTGCTACGTAAGAAATCACCCGCTGCACCGATGTACCACGTTAACTCTAGACATTAGGGTAGTTGCGTTTCTTCAGGTGGGCTGAATTTTGCTAATACAATTTACCAGGAGAATTCAACACCGAGACATTGCTCACCGGTAGGAAATGTGCTCGTTAACGTAGATAAGGTGGCGGGACATTCTGGTCGAACCAAAATAATCCAAAAAAAAAAAAAAAAAAAAAAAAACGGGGAGCGAAAATCGTTTTTATGTACTTCCTAAGGTACCTAAGGTAGGTGCCTAGGCAGACGTTTATCTTGCAACAATCCCCCTACAAACACTCAACCCACGCAACGCAAACGTAATCAACATCGACTCTAGATTGCACCATTCATCCTAAGCCCTTATCTCACTATCTGTTTCCAAGATGAGTGTCACGATCGGCAAGATCAACCGAAATGTCTTGATGGAGTACTCCGTGATGGATGGACTGGAGGCAACGGTTCGACTACAAAAGGAAATACCTTGGCATAGTGGTGTAAAGCTTCCCGATGGACACGAAGTCTCATGCTACAACGTGGACATATTGATCATGCTAGTCAGGCTGCTCCTAAGCTTAGGATTCGTTCCGGAAGACGGGAAAAGAAACTACGGTGCCATAATCGCAGCCTGTCATAGCTTCGGTAAGAGCAGGGAGGACGATTACGAAGCAAAGGGCAGATTTGTGACCAATCTGTTCCCGAGAGAAAGTGACCACCCGAAAATGTTGTCCAAGCTAACTATGCATGAAATATTTGAACGCCCCGAGGTTAAGAGGTTCATATTCAATAACGTTTCCTTCGTCCTGGTCAACAGGGTGGAGTACACCGTGGACGCAAACTGCATGGAAATTCGAGATGCCAGCATCGTCGCCCACGACCTAGATTCCAATAACGTCTACTGGGATGGCGCGTCTGATCTCGGCGAAGCTGTGAGCAGACAAGCCGGCGCGCAGGCGCACGACCCAGACGATCCGAACCTTGTGCGATACAGGTTTTCCGGGAGGCCGAAACTTATCCGCGTCACATACACCCCCGAGGCAGACAAAGCCCCGGGGTTTGAGCAGGTCAGACGGTTCAAATTGACAGCTCCTTTATATGTTAAAGACGCATGGCGGTAGTAAGACAGTAAATGGGAACGACACGTACGCACTACGCGTGGTGGTCAAGGCGACATCCCCGGAGGGTTCGGGCGGCAGAGACGAAGCTTCGAACGACATTCGCATTTACGCTGCCGTGGGGGAAGACATAGAGACAAATACGGTCTGGGATCCGGAGATAAGCTACGAAGAGGAGAAAAGAAATCGCAGGCAGGTGGAGCCGTGGAATCTGGGTCAGAAAGGATACCAATATACCTTGATCTACAGCAGTATGATCGACCCGGGAGCCGACGCCGATGCAAAGGCCCTTACTCCGCCTCCGCCTTCCCAAACTAGCCGCGAAGTCAGAGATACGACGCCAGACCATGATTTCTATCACCCCCAGATATACGAGGACACGCTGGATGGGCTAAGCTCCGAGGCGCGTAGAAGTCCCTGGAGAAACATGGGTACGCCGACGGCTGAAGAGCGCGGCGGCTTCGCGTCACCGTCTGGGCACGGACATACTGCAGGAGAACGATCCCCATGGGGATTATCCCCAGGGGAAGTACCCCAAGGAGACCAGCTGCGCAGGGTGGAACCCTCCCGTCACGGTACCGAGCAGGCGTCGGGCTCACACGAAGCTTACGGCCGGCCTATCCTAGCCGGCATGTCCGATCGGCATGGGACGAGACCAGGAGCCGATTATAGCAGCGCTATCCACCATCAGCCGGTATATTATGCGCAGGATAGCCGTCGAAGCTACAATCAGGACGGCCGCACAAACGACGGTCGAGATGAGGGCGAGCAGAGGAGGGAGCCACCTCGGGAACCACCTCAGGAGCCCATGGCAGACAGACTACGGGGAGATGCTTCGCGCCGACGGGGAAACAATCCGCACTGGCGAAAATATTATCTTCAACAGCCGTACCAACAGTATAGAGGAGGGCATAGATGATAGTAAAAGTCTGCGTGTCACGGTACCGTCCGCGAGGTCCTTGAACCTAGGAGTCGGTGGCAGGGGACCGCGCGAGTTGATACCCTTCCTGTCCCTAGCACGAAATTTCTCTCGAGGCGTGGGTAAATGATGAGGAAAAGAAAAATTAAAGCAAATAAAAAAAAAGAGGCGGGAGGATTATTTGGTTTTGGGTCAGGTACCTAGTAATAGTCCTAGGATCGTAATTAACTAGATAATACCAGACTTTCTCATAACAGTCTTGACTCATTCTAACATCTTCATGGCTCTATGTTTTCGTAACTTTTTACTATCGCTCTCGAATAAGCTGCCTTAACTCAACTTCGCCTCTTAACTATCATGTCTCGGCCTTAGCACCTAGTATTAGTACGGGAATAACCGGCGCGCCCAAACCGCATACAGAATCGTTTTCGGCCACGTCTAAGATAGGTAATATTTAGAAGAAGGGAGGAGAGGAAATGTGTAGCGATAGAATAAACCGAGGCCACCCCCCCCCCCCCCGCGTGTGGTGGACCACAAGAGCCCGACTTTAGGAATATCCTGTACTAATGTACTCTTCCATTTTGGCCAAAACATATCCTATCTAAGTAATCTTTAGGTTAGCTAATCCGACACAACCTCCCTCCTAAAGTCGGGCATATGGCGAGGCTTATTTCTGACATACGATACAGTAAGGGACTATGATGAAGAAAGCTGCGAGATAACTATGGTAGGGACATGGTAACTAGAGGTACCGGGACAGTTCGTAGCTGAATTGGATGAAGGTAGGCGGCCTTTTTCTTAAAAAGAAAAAGAAAAATAATAAAAAAAGGGGGAGTGGGGAAAGGGGGAAGGGACGGCACCATACTTTCCATTTATGGGCAGCACCATAGTGTGCTTTCTCTAAAAATACAAAAAGGCCCCTAAGAAAATGTTAAGAAATATCGTAGGAGGGTGCGACTACATTGCATACTTTAGGTTAGGTAGGTAAGCATGGATGGAATTTGGCAGACTTCTTTCCTTCTTTTTTGTCTTCTCTCTCTTTTTCTTTTCTCCTCTTCCATCCCAAATCATCACCGTAAATGCTACTTCACAAATCACAACGCAATTTACGTTAAATTCGTCGTTACAACCACTCTGTCGCGATTCTAGATTATCTATACGAGTATCTCCGCATTATCTTACACATGAACGAGAATTGTGAGATGTCGAAACCAACGTTTCCGCAGCTCAGCTTGGGGACTCCACCTCTAGATCCGGTAGATGTTCCCCTTTATCCGGAATTCAAGGTCACTGCGGACGTTCCGTGGATAGACGAAGACCAACGCAAGATGCTGGTCCTGTTGGAAAAGGGACCTCTTGGCTTGGTTGGCGAGTTGCTCGAGAGGCACGCCGAGCAGAGCTCCGCGAAAGGGGATTGGGACGCTAAGACGACGAGGAAGATGCTCAAGGAGAAGGACATGATGAAGGCGCTACTGCATAGCGTCCCCAGAATCCTCCTCCGAGGCTTCGTGATGGGTATCTTGGGATGGCAAGCGAACTTGCCCAAAGATCACCCTCTCGCGTTGCCTTGGCCCATCTGGAGGCTTGACGGACCTGGGACGTACATCTCAACGATGGGTATCTCAGGCCGGAACGGCAAGGGTCCGTCAGCCAACGAGTACAAGAAGCTAGTCGAGATGATAGAATCGTATATCCAAGCGTTCCGGATACAGGAGAGTATCCCGGAGCACCAGCGGAACCTCGCAAAGGTTAACCTGGTTAGCTCTGCGTAACGGATCGACGAGGTCTACGCTAGCAAGTTTGCCAAAGACGGCAAGCTCGCCTTCGTAAATTCAGAGCTCCAAGTGAAGAAGCTCGAGTGCCTAATGAAGATATTCAAGACCTATGCAGCGAAGGCGACAGATCCTGACCAACCGCTGCTGCAAAGTTTAAACTACGTTGGTTGCGCAATGCGGAGCATAGAAGACTGCGCCGCTAGCCACAAACCGGCCAGCAAATACCAGGGGGTTAACTACACCTGGTGGCTGACTATGAGCTGCCTCGGGCGCATGAACCTAAGTCCCGACATGCGTATAATACCTGGGGTGCGGATCTGGGAACCCGAGCAGCTCCCGATGTCCGAGATTCTGATGACGGTGCTGGGCCGCACCGAGGTCGAGCGCAGAGGCTTCAACTGCACCGCCCCGGGGACCACAACCCAGGAATCGGCCGGGGACAAGAGAGATTGGGATGTCGACATACTCGAGGTGATGGTCCACCGCACGTATCTTCTCAAGCAGTTGGAGGAGACGGACGACTATCGAACGAGGATGATAAGAGTAATGACCGAGATACCAAAGGTGGAAGCCGAGATTAAACAAATGCAAGGGGAAATGTTACAGCTCATAACGCATAAATCGGCGTCGACGAGATGAAATTTGCCGACGAAGAAGGCCTCCTCGAGCAGATGAGGCTTAACGAAGAAGCCATAGAATACGGGAAAAGGCTCAACAGCGACTTAGACACTTTAATAAAGATGTTGGACATGTTAAAGGGGAAAGATTAGTGTCAGATAGGAAAGATAGTAGACATGAGTGGACGTTTATATATAATACGTTTCGCTTAAAGACTTACAGCTACCTGTGTATCAAATCCTTTAGGAATGGTTGAGTGTATGTGTAAATGTGTATTATGCCTGAACTTGTTCAGAATATTATTTTAATTTAATTCTTTTATTCGTATTTTTGCTTTGAATATATTTGTCTTATATATCTGAAAACAATGTACGTTTAACACATCCGCGCAGACGCTGGAAACGCACACCCATAGTCTATCCCGCTGGCCGTTATTCAAGTCCATTAGCAGATCCGGGGCGTCGTCACCTCGGGCGCTTGCCCGGAGGCTTGTATGTGCTTAGCTACACAGTCACACATTGTCTAGCCTTCAATGCTGTATATGTATGACGTCATTTATTAGAACATGCGTGAGTGTAGTACCGCAATTGTCACATGACACAATGTATATTTACTTCCACCATTAGTAGATCTTATACAGTTAGGTAACCTTTACAACATCAACAATACAACAACAAGATGCATACAATGAAGATTCCATGACAGCAATGGCTTATTCTCATACTACCTTACGTACCTTTACTTACAAAAGCTAGGGCTAAAAGTCTTACGCATCTGATCTGACCACAGCTAGTATTGAAATGTCCTTTACCTTATTAATACCGGATTAACCACACATTAAGGTTCAGAATCAAATATCGGACCGTCTATTAACGGGCATCTAGGTGTTCAATTCCGTTTATTCGAGTAGCGTATACAGGTCGTTTTATTATGCAATACCTACCTAACCTAAGGTAGGCACTAACTTCTTCCTATTGACCTAGCATGCTGTCTACGGACTGTTCTTGTCCCGCTGGGGCGAGCTAAGAGCCGCGAGGATAGAACATTATCTATCAGCCCTAGCGTACCGTCGCCTGCCGGCCCGTTGTGATAGCCTTCGAACATCTGTAGCTTAATGGAACTTGTCCGGAAACAATTTGATCTGCCTCTATCAATTCCCCGGCTCCAGCTCCGCCTGGCATATGAGTTCCTCCACATGGCTCGAGAGCTTGAACGGGCCGTCCGAGGGAGGAAATTCTCCCGTCGCCCCCCGAGATGGTGCCGGTTGGGAGGAGGTTGCCGGAGTGGCCGGTAAGGCTACACCCTTACCTCGAGGGCTAGACCGGGAGGCGGAAGCTTCTGGGGCGGCCGGCTCGTCTTTTTCGAGACGTTTTACAGTTCTCAAGAAAAAGGCCACCCGTTTCCCGCGACTCCTTATGCCGACTACTGCCAGGAATTTCCGCTTCGGGCTTACGACCTTCCCCCTGAGCATGGATATGGTTGTAGGGTCCAGCTCCGGGTCACCATAGTGGAATCGGAGGTCGCCGGCTTGCGAACCTAGCCTAGGAATATCTAGTAAGAATTCTTCGGGCTTGCCAGCTTTCGAAATCGCTCGACGGATTGCCTCGTCGCGTTTCTCTGACACCTCGCAATTCCATATAAGTTCTCTGAATTCTTCGCCGGAATGCTTGCCGGTTTCCGGAGCCATTCTTTACGCAATCGCGTCGTAGCGCTTGTGGAAATGTAGGTTCCATTCGTCGACGCTGTAAAGCGACATCGGTAGACCCCAAGGCCGTACGGCGTCTAACGCGGCTATAACCATGCGCAAATGAACTGGCCGCAACAAGAAGAGCATTTTCCATATCTCATCCGATGTTTCCATAACCTCCGCATCCTCGGTCATCTTTTGTACGATGGACCGGATAGTGGGGTCATGGCTGAGATCGTTGAACTGGGAGGACGCCAGACGCTGAAGCCTCCCCGGCTCCTCGTTCGGTTTGCCATGCTTCTCGGGCTGACAACCACGGATCAGAGGGACCACAGGTTTGACGTGGTCGACTACAGTTGCGGCGGCGGCCTGCTGGAGCACGTAGCGCATCTTGCCAAGGTCCCCGTCCCACAGCGGGTGAGTACATATGAGCTCTAAATTTTTGCAGAACTCGGGGTCGAGGCAGACGCTTGTGTCGGCTACGTGCCCCCCGTGCGGCTTCAGACCGTAGGTAAAAAGCTGCAACGGTATCGCGTCGAAGCAGATGAGCATTGTCTTCCAAAGCTTCAGCTGGTTCTCACCTCCATCATCTCCCTGCTCTAGGGCCCCATCCGGATAAGTCAGCCACAGTTCCCTGAAGGCCCTTTCGTTCTCGGCGGTCCAGTAAAGAGCTTGGATCCCTTCTATGTCCGACCCTCCTGGTACTAGGTCTTGGAGTGTCCGTCTAAGGAGGAAGGCCTCCTCATCTGGGCTAACCACCAATCCTTCTTCGCCCTGTGGCAAGGGGGCGAGCGGCGCGGTTTGCGTAGCCGCATTTGTAGTGGTCCTTTGAGATAGGCCCGCTCCCCGCCGGCCCTCGTCTCCGGCTTGGGTGCTACCGCCCGCCTGCCCTCTATCACTCTGTTCTCTACCCTCGCATGGGATTGAATCGCTCGCGGCAGTCGGATCGACGTCGTCCGGAAAATTATAATAACCGTCTTGCGCGTAGCCGTTATCGTCACCATCATCGTTATCATCGGCGAGGGCGGCGTGGCTTGGTTGATCATCGCCACTTTCGGGTTCTGTTCTTGGGTGCTTCCTAGGACGTCTTCTTGTGGTTTCATCGTCTGGGTCGAAAGGGTTCGAGTCTTCTTCGTCGCGAGATTCGGCGGTCGGGCTAGACTGAAGTCCATGACTTGCCGATTCTACCCTCGAACGTTTCCTGTGATGTCTTGTCAGAAATTCGTCTTCTAAATCGAAAGGGTCTGAGTCTTCTCTATACCGAGATTTCCCCTTCGCCCGGCTGGATTCGGCAGCCATATCGGATACCTCAGCTTCTTCCACCTCAGCCTCGGCATAATCTGCCGCTGGGATACTCCCGACCGCCGATCTTGTTACCCTATCCGAACCTTCGGCAACGAAACGCGTCTTAGGAACCCTGAGCCTCTCCCGCGGCTCTGGTTCGTCACGTTCGTACTTGCGCGGCCGTCCCCTGCCTCTGGGGGCACCGCTGAGGCGCTTTGGTGGCCGACCGGGACCCGCGCGTTTGGGCTTCCCGGTCTGCGGTATGACTAAACTATTATCCATTTCGCGGGAGTCTTCATATGAAGATATGAATCGCGCTGGATATCGCGATTTTGACGTATCAAATTAGGTAGGTAAGTAAATGGATAATTTGTTGAGGCTACGCAGGTGCGCAATTTCTTTTTTTTTTTTTTTTTTTTTTTTTTTTTTCCCTATGGGGCGGAAACTCGGTTGTGGATGCCCCTCTCCGAGTCAACGTAGGCGCCTAGCGACCTACACCTGCCACGCGCTGCTACAGATAAAAGCGCGGCGTTTCCCTTAACTCACTTCTACCTTGGAAAAAGTACAATAATGCTTCCTGTCTAATAGTGCGAACCATTATCAAGCCGCACCGGGCCGTTACGGGTACCTATACTTGCCGCCTTACATCCTGGGACCGAGTAGATAGCCGTGGTCCATTAAGCAAATACCTACGGAAACCGCTCGCTAATAAGATTTTATAAAGGTGCTCTGATGCATTTGATGATGGGTTAGGTTACTTTAGGGGTTAGGTAGGTAAGGTAGGTATGTCAATTAGTTCGCTCCTTCGTCGTTTAACTACTTGGTCTATCAAAGAATTCTGCCCACCAGATTGCTTCCCACCCCGCTACATTTTCGAATATCACATCGCGCCATCGGCTTGACGGCGACGCGATGGACATTGTCATTTTAAGCGGCCACTCGCTGTAGTCCACCTCACTGACTAAGCTCTTGCTCACTCGCCTAAAGCTGTTCTTCTCGAAGTCCAGCACCAGACAGTAGTCACAACCCTTCGAGGTCATCACCCCGATCTTGCCAATAAGGATTGTTCCATACTTGAGATATTTGTTGAAGGTTTCATACGGATCCTGTCCTTCGGCCAAAGAGACAATCTTATCCAAGGCCTTTATGAGCTTGTCGCACGCGCTGCCGAGGGTTGCGTTTATCTCGAAGCCTAGGGTCCCGTGGTCTTCTAGGCCCTGCTCGCCGAAGAGATATAGAGCCGCTTTGTGAAGCTCGTGGTATGCCATGATCGCGAAGTACTGCTCGCTCAAGGATTTGGCACCCACACCTCTCTTGAGCGCGCAAGCCAGACGGGGAATTGCCCTGTATACGGCCGGCGCTGGGCTATTAGCAAACTCCACGGTTATAAGCCGGAAGAGCTCGAAGACGGCTGGCGGATAGCTGGGCGCTTCCACGCTCGCCCACAGAGCCGACGTCAGCTGCACTACCCTCTCGACCGTCGAGGGCCGGATTTCGTCGAAGGCCACGGGGTTGCTATCGTCCCACGGCGCCTCTACGATCCACCCCAGGGAGAACGGGCCCTCTTTCCTCTGCGGCATTGGGGTCTTGTCGCCCAGGTCGCGTAAGAGTTGGAAGAGTTCAGTACTGGGTATCGACCCTAGGGAAGAATCTACATAATTTGCGATACTTGCTTCCAAGCTAGAGGTACGAATACGCAATGACGACAAGGAGTCTTCCAGCTGCTTCACGTGCTGGTCTCGAAGGCGCAGCTCCTCGAACGCCGAATTCAGCTGTTTCTCGGCCTCGGCCTTCTCCTTTTCAAGTTGAGAACGAGCCGCTACGGTGGGTGTGAGAGCGTCGCCGAGGTTTTTAATTTCTTGGTCATGACGTCGTTTTACCTCGACTTTTTCGGACTGGGCCTCTTCGAGTCTCTCCTTGAGGAGACGTATCTCATTTTGGTATTTCTTCCTCTCATCCTCCGCTGGGGACACGCCTCCCGGATAGGCCCACATGGTAGAAGATACCTAAATATATAAAAGAAAAGCGTTATTCGGTTTAAATTGTTGACGGCGTCTTTTATTGCTTTTTTTCGATATTTTGCGTATTTGATGTGGTAGGAAGGAACGATCAAAGGTTTGTGGGATTTAGGGGATTTCTGGTCACATGTATCAGTTCGACGGACCTTCCATTTAAACAGGATAAAATTGCGGCAGGTGCTCTGCCATATAATGTTCCTACGAATAGATACTTAATTCTGCGTGGGTTTGGCTTATAGATTTAAGTACTTTTTATCCCTAGCATACGTATGATGACTAACGTACCTACCGCAATTTATGTGAAGAATTACAGCTCATATCGCTTGGATACAGGCGCATAGGTACCTTTGAAGCACCTACCCGCATATAATTTACATTGCTATCGTTTGCACAGTCATTGATTACTTCGGGATTTTCTAGCCACTGGTGTGTAACAAGAGTCTTTCAATTGCAACATACATGAAATCAGCCTGCCTACAAATCTTTTTGCAAGTACATCGCCATCTCCCGTAAAAATGGAAAGTGAATTCACTGCTCCCGAGAAGGCCAATAAAGCCGAGGGGCACAAGGCGTATACACTTCAGTACCGAGATGAAGAGTGCTGTTTGTTTTCGTCAGACGAGAGTCTTGCGGGAACTCCGAGAACATCTACCAGCGTCAACGGCGATACGCAAGCTTTTGGTTAACTTCTGTCTCTCTCACACGATGAAATACTATGTCCAAAGGACTCCGATTATGACTCCGATTCTATAATAAACGATGTAATCACATCTCATACTGGAAAGCATTTAAACGCGAGCACCCAATCTGGACGATGCCAACAATCAGCCGTAGAATCATCAAATTCACAACAGGCAAGCACATCTCAAGACTTCAGACAACGAACGTGGTCTCAAAAGTTTATGGGCATCTCCTCCTCCCGGACGTCTAGATCAGGGGGGCGATCGGGGGGCAGCTGAGCTCAAGCTCTGGAAACCTATGCTAATTTGTCTCGACGCAACATTATAATAGCTCTTCACTACGGTTTAAAGCCAAACGGGGTTTTCGTGTTAGATGTAAGCCTCTGTCTTGAGTCAAAATTTTGCAAATCTTTCAAGCTGATCTACACACACTCGCTATAGAATGGAGATCTAGGCGAAATACGTTACATCCTTCAGAGAGCCGGTTCCGTTTCTATCGCCGACCACATCGAACCTATGGTTCCTGTCATTAACAATTCCTAGCCAAAAGACGGCGGGGAATTCTGCGCGTCCTACGTGGCTAGATACCGCGGCGAGATTTGGGGGAATCTACAGTATTTAACATCCTCCTATTTCAAAAATCCTATCCACGATCCCGCCATGCAGCCATGGATAAAGAAGATGACAGAGAACGCAGAGGTGATCAACGTCGAGGAGCCATGGAAGACGCTCTTCTTGTCGCGGCAAAATGATCTAGACTTGGTCATAGAGGCGTTAGATGTCGCGCTGACTCCCACTCTTTCGATACGGCCGCGCAGCGTGCCCGAATGGAACCGAATATTCCACGATCATTACGATGGAATATTGAGGAGGCTTTCCCCGCGAGACACCGGGGAGCTTAAGTCCCTTATATGGCTTTGCGAGCTATCGGAGAAACGCGACGCGGAAATCCGTCGAGCTATGTTAGCAGCGAACAGACCTGGAGAGTTCCTGTTGGACATCCCCAGCTTAGGTTCACAAGTTGGCGACGTCCGGTTTTATTAGGATTAACCGGGCTTAGAGGACAGAGCAGTAGCGATGTTAAGGTGGAGGATCCCCAGTCCGAAGCGGGAAGCTTTGACAGCGGCCAACAAAAGAGACTGTGACCAAGCCATGGCTACTCTCTCCGCTACAGTAAGACGTCGGAACACCGTAACTGAAGTTACACGAGAACCCATGTCGTAGAATGGCATTTTCTAGAAAGGCGGATGGGCGTCCGATTTCGAGGCGTGCTTTCGAGGTGTGCTCAGGACAATTCACTTCAACCTGCAGACGATGAAGAGCCAATAGGTATCTAAGTAAGTAACAATTTCTGAGGTGTCTTGAGATTCGCAAAGTGACCGCAAGAAAACTAAGTTAATGACAATGGAATATAAATATATTCTAAGTATATAGAAAATCCTTACGTGAACGGGAGGAGAAAGCCCGTATACCCTTTTCGCCTACGGCCTTCTTTATCAAGTTTGGTTTCGGTCAATCCCGTCAACCTCTCCGTAACAACAACATTATTCCCGCTTATTTCTCGTATCTTTAGAAGCATTACATGCGAAAATAATAGGCAAGTCTACATTAGACTAGTTAATTACCTCGTATATTAACAAAACTATGTACCAGCTGAACATATTCAACTTCGGATTATCAGCGTTATACAAGCTCAAGTCAGTCGCATCACATTTCATCAGTTGTTCAGTGTTATGGCTTCTTTAGAACTTGTGTCTTAAACCCGAACCCGCGGGCCCCGAAAAACACGTCACAAAAGTCTATAGTCGCATAATGTGGACTAGCTATGGAGTGCGAAATTTGGAATCCCCTCGGAATACATAGAAGGGGGGATGTTATAGCATGAGTAAGCAGAGAGACTATAGCTGTAGGTTCTTACGAAAGCGTCTAGTACGAGAGCCAGTCTTCTCCCACGGACAACCACGTAGACGTGGGGTATATTACCGTATAAGAACACATGCGGGTATACGTATTTGTACATTTACCTGCCATGACCCGGTTATAATGGGCAAAATCAATAAAGCACTACCTCTAGGTACCTATCCTATGGTACATGCTAACTTACTACGCCGCGGCGACACAGACCGGCGAACCGGATCAGCTTCCCCAGACGATCTTCCGGACGGTCTAGATCACGCTCTAGGTCTATCTAGATCTAGCTTTGCCATCCTTCCTCCCCCCCAACCTCCCCCGTCCGGGTTCTGCTCGCAGTTTGTCCGTCCGCGGTCCCGCGAATCTGGGTCGGCTCTGTTAAGCTTATTGCCGCGGCCAGATCTAAGCCTTGCCGTCGGCTGTCTTTTTTTACCTACCTCTACTCTTTTCCGAAATAAGAGGGGAAATAAGGGACCCCTTTTATCTGACAACATCACCAAATTTTGGGGGGATGGGACGACGAAAGCGGGGAGAGGACAGCAAACCAATACATACCTGGTACGGGTACCTACTATGTACCTGCGGATCCGACGAGATAAAAAACTTGTCCTATAATTCTCAATTCATTTTTTAGTAGGTGGGAATTGGCGCGTATAATTACGAAGAGGAGCACTTCTTGCATAACCCGGCACATATTTAACCTGCTACGGGTCATTTGTTGGCATAGGTATATGTATATTTGCTCATTGCTGCCAAGGTATACATATATGTATGTATGCGTCGTCGTATGGGAATTTGTCGTTATGTATGGCTGAGGGTGGGGGAGGAAAGGAGGTAACATGCAGCAGCAGCAGCAGCAGCAATTCCCACTCCGACTAACGGCGCCGTCTCCACTTCGCGGAACGCACCAGGAAGAGTTGGAAATGCGACGTGGTGGCCGTCCCGCGGGTAGGTCGCTCTCTCAGACATCCTACGATGGAAAAGCTCCGTCAACCGCGGGATCTATCCCGTAGAAGGATATATACAGGTAGGTACCTAATCTAAGGTAATGTATGTATATACCTTAGGTACCTAGGTATGTGTGAGCGAAGCGGTACCTATAAGATTTCCAGATCCCGGAGCCTAAAAACGGGAACCGTTGGGAAATCGAATCGGATCCCGCAAAAGAGATCTGATTGCCTATAATAAATAAATGAATAAACATATATAAGGGGAACTAAAGGGGGTCAGATGGGGGTACGTTATTAGGCAAGGTACGCTGCCCCCCAACTTATGTATTAACGTTGGAACCGTTGGCACCCCCCAAATCCTTAGAAAACAACGACGACAAAAAGAAAGAAAGAAAAAGGCAAAACTCCCCGGCAGCGTTACACCGGAGACTACTACATCGACCCGTACGTACGTATGTTTTTTTTTGTTTTTTTGTTTTTTTCCTCGAGGAATCAAATCTAGGTACAATACATTTCGTGCATGACGTCCGCTAAAGATTGACCAGGAGGAAGATCTGCAGAGACCAGGTCCACCAGAGTTAAAGAACGGGCAAAAAGGCCCTGGGGCTGCTACGATAAACCCAGGATACCGTGGATTCTTTAGCGTCTCTATTTTTTTCTAAGCTAGAGGTCGTACGTACGCTAAGGAGGAGACAATAACGGAGCCTGCCACTATTGTGGATTTCCGCTAATCGATGGTACATAGTATTGTACAATACCTTCGGGGCTTCTATATCACGGCATTCTCGTACTATGAGAGATGCGGCTTATATGCTATTATGATAATAAGTCGATTTGAAAAAATAAATAAAAAACCATACCTAGAGAGGAGAAGGGAGGGGGGTTAAGATAATAATCGTATCTTGATCTGGTGCATCTCACATCTCCCGCCGCATCAAAAGTACGTTATATTGTAATAACTAAATGATATAGATCCTATAGATGATGTCTTACCTTAGGCAGATACGACCTACAGAGGCGCGGGTCCGTATGTACTGTACTCCAACGCTACTCATGTACGAAAGAGGCACGTACTTTTAGACGTATGCATCGACGTACATCTTCATTTCCCGTATGTACATTGTATGCCACATAGGAAAGATAGATTAGGTACCTACCTAGATAGATGTCTGGGTCACAGGTATAGTGAAAAATCTACAACGCACGTAAAGCATATACTACATGGTATGTATGTAAGGTAGGTAGGTAAGGTAGGTAGGTAGGCAGTTAATATGTAAGGCCACGCGAAGACTACCACGTTGTTGTCTCAGATAAGGAAAAAAGCTGCGCTGGTCCCTCCGAGACAAATCTCGATCTATCTATCATACGTACGTTGTCTCGCACGAGTTGTTCAAGATTTCGAATCCGATCCTTTCCTGCTATTCGTCTTCTTTTTTTTCTCTCCCCCCTTTCGTCATCGTGATGGATTTGCGCATTTGCAGGTTATCAGAAAGCATTTTATTTATTCATTTATCATAAAATAAACGGCGTGCGATATATGATACCTCAGTTGTCAATTGCGCGCTGCTATGGAGAGTGCGATCTGTTTGTTGCGCGCTCGAGTTTTTTCGTCGTCTTCTATTAATAGCAAATGTGATGATCATGTTGTGATCGCCTCCTCAACAACCGTACTATTAAAATTTTCCGTTACGGTACTTTGAGCATCCATGTTGCATATGTCAGGTTATGTATATACCTTGTATCTCTCTCTGTGTGTATGTGTGTGTATGTACCTACATACCTAGCTGGTTATGATGGGAATAGCACGCACGTAAAAAGTCCGAATACGTAATTCAGGGTGTGCGACGCCATACCCGTTCGAGGGAAAGCTAGGGGGGTCTCGATAGATAGCGTACATGCAATGCAGGTTCCTGTCCCTCTCTTACCCCCCTCCTCTTCGTCTGCATACCCTCCTCCTGCTACCCACCTTATTTGTAAGGCCGTGCATGATGCCAGACGCAGGTCCGAGAGGATGAGGTTAGGCGCGGCTCGCGAATTCGCAAACCGTCCAGGATATTTCTGCGCTGGTTCGTGGTTAGCGCGGTGCTGTGCGATGTAGTACACGCTGGCGCTTGGGTTTTTTGCGGTTTCTCGCGTGTAAGCGTGGTACAAGTACCTATACTATGTCACGAAGCTACTGGGTATGTATTGTACGATGTTGGTAAATCTCGCGAGGGAGAGGGAGAGGGAGAGGGAGAGGGAGGGCCGAGTATCGTGCATACGATAGATGGAGCCGTTGATTGCTAGAGCTTAGCGTTGCAGATGGTTGAGTTGGAATTATATTGCTGCTACTACATTGTATAATGCGTTGTACGAAGCATACCACGATGATATACCACATGACAACTACTTAACCTAGGTAGGTATACTACATTGTATACCTCTACAAGATATGTACTGCGTAGTAAATGTTTCTTCATTGTCCGATATTGGCTAGCGGGGAAAAAAGGGGGGGAAGCAAAAGCCGGGGATCAAGAGAGCATACTATGGTACTGTACTGTGTAGGTAGGTAGTATCTTAATCCGAGAAAGAACCAGATACCAAGCTGGGAAGTCAAGTTATATGCGCTCTTTCTACGTAAAAGGCAATTTGTCATCGTCATCGTCCTCGTCATCATCGTCGTTGTCGTTCTCGAGATCCAAGTTCGTTGATCGTCATTATCTGCACCTTGGAGCCCTTCACCTGCACACCTTACGTGCTATGGTAGCCTTGGGTAGATTACTTACCCATCCCTATGTGCCTGTCCCGACTTCTCCCCCCCTACCTACCCTACCCTGCCCTACCCTACTCTATCCTACCCACACCTGCGTGCCCCGTTCTGGTAGTGCGGTACGTATCTCGTTGGTTTCGATCGTCGATCGAGGAGAGCCCTTGGAGAGATCACTTTAGGATCTGGGGCTAGCAAGGTCTGGTGGTTCGTTTACCAGGATCTGCTTGTCAAACTTCTGCCACGCCTACTATCTCTGAGCGGCGTAACGGCTTGGTGTTGTGGAATCTCTCGTAAGCCGTTTCTCGCTCTTCCTTCGCTGTCAGTGTTACCCGATAAAATCTAGATCCGCATCGTGACCAGATCCCGATTTTTTTTTCAGCTCCTATGAACACGTATTACCAAACTTTGGCCGTTCTCGTGACATCTCCGTACTTAGTTAGGTACGGAGCTTCGACGTCGTTACTCGTCCCATCCAAGCCTCTCCGCTTCCCGGCGGATTAGCGAGATGCGGGATGGTGGTGGTGGTGGTGGTGGTGTTCGCCCCTGGTAGATAAGCACTAATGCCGGTAGCGAGAAGCCTATAGGAGACGAAGGGTATGAAGCCGGTATCATCATTCGAACCCTCTTGATACCTGGTGGTGAGGGTAAGGTAAGGTAAAGTTGTGTCACACTCCCTCTTCCGGCGCGCTAGCGTTGGTCGGCGCATGCAAGTGATATCGCATTGGCGTAGGTCTATTATTTGGAGCGTTAGCATCAAGCGTTAGTAGACACTCTAATTACTTACGTACGCCGTGCAGGAGGCTACGTCGTCTTGTCGGTCGTACATACCAGGTACCTCAGGTAACGATAATATGATATGGTATGCTATGTATTCTGTCTTATCTTATCCCATAACCGAAGGATCATATCAATCGCAAGGGCTACTTACTAGAGCTTTCCTGTCTTTTGTACAGCTCCGCCAAGATATGCAAATTGTACATAGTAACAACCTTGAATCCACCTGACAAGGAGTACCTAGGCAGAGAAGCGTATCTTGCTTCCCTACCTCCTACGTTTTACTCTCAAATTAGCTTAGTCGGGACCACGCTGGTGGAATCGCCCTCTCCTGCAGCTGCGGTCGCACAGCTAACGTCAGATAAAAGCTGGAGTAGCCAAGCGATAAATCACCAAAGTCAATCTACATATCTTGCCATATCTGCACCGGATGTTACGATTCTCCACCGCGAGAGGGCGTAGGTCCAGTATATGGTCGAGCTCTACTCGGCCCGCGTCCAGAGAGAGACCGAAGCCAAATCCGCCGCGAAGTCGAACCAGGCCAGCCGCCTACGTGGTAATCTAACTATCGTAGATGTAGATAACCCGTTGCAACCCTTGGACCGTATCGGGTATGATAGGTAAAATAAACCCAGATTAGTGCTTCGCACCTACGCAGTAGTTAGCAAGTCCCGAGCTAAACCGAGGCCTAGGTATTTACCGCGGTACGACGACTTGGAAAAGGGTACTTTTCCTTGAGGATACCCAGGATAACCTAAGATGCCTAAGGTTATGTTAGGGCTTTGTGGACTCGAGCACGATCACGAATTCAGATGTTATTTGCGGGGTTTACCCATAAGTAATCTACGCAAGTCCAGGACTAAGACGACATAGGAATGGGTTGGCTATGTGCTAAACGTTAGGACGAGTGGAGCCGGACGTCTTTCGATCCTCTTGGACCTCATCCCCCCTCACCCTGCTGTTCCGGGAATTTCCCCTCATCCAGTCATCTCGCATAGTTCCAGGCGGGTGGCTTATGCGTTCGCTAAGGTCCAGGCGAGGAGAGTATCGCCCCGATATGACCGCGACCCAAGATCTGGAATGATCCGGGGTGTCCCCGGTTCCAGGTAGGATGGTTAGGTGGCAGGCGTATCTAGATGTCCCACGCAGCAAGCGCGAGAGAGCGTATCTCAACGAATTCTTTCGTCTTTAACCGAATCCTAGCAGCGTAGGGCCGAATCGTTCGGTTTTACTATGTAGCTAAAGGTCCACGTTCGACCTGTGGAAGCGTTACGATATCAGATAGCTTGGTTGCGGCCGGAATGTCATATGAGGAAAGACGGGTTTTGCGCCCTCAGCTGACGAGCCTGGACATATGACCAATCAACCGCCCCGGCCCTCCACGAGGCGTAGATTACGGTAAGGCTGGATAGTCTAGATCCGACCTAGGTGACGAGCGACGGCCGTATTTCATAGAAAAAGTGTCAAGTGGTATATCTCACAGGGGTCGCGGACGAGTCGAGTCGTCAAGGGATCCGACTGGGTCGCGAAGGGGGCCTATGAGGATTGAAAAGCAGAGCCTCTGGCTTGGCACGGCCAAAGCTGGGGGGGTTTGAGGGGATTCGGGGGAGGGGTAGGGGGGTTGAAGAACCCCGTTCAGCTGCCTGCTGACATAGTGCTTAGCAGTTCTTACGCAATGCTCTAGAAACCCTTAAGAGGCCGTTGCCGGCGATGCTGTGCGACACCAAGTCGTCTGATGGGTTCCTCAAATGGTATGAGGTGGTAATACCACTCATGGTCAGATAGACTGTAATAGCACTTGTGCTATTAAGAAATACACTTTTGGCTCAGCAGTGTATCTGTCAGATGGTGTATCTTGCTTCTTTCTCAGTCGCACTTCGCATATGCCGTGTTCTGTGTTCTGCGTTCTGTCGTTTCCCCCCCATGTCTTTCCCTTGTCTGCCGTACCATACCTTAGATAGATACGCCCATATCGCGGGGGTGTCGGGGGTGTCGGGGGTGTCGGATCGGTAGCTAAAGTGTGGGTTAGGTCGTATCCCATCGACGTCTGGGATAGGTAATAAAAAAATAAAAAAAGGTGCGAGTCACACCACATCAAAATTCTTACTACATATATGCAGATGCAGTGCGACGCACTCTTCATTTTTGACCCCTTCCCACTAGTCGGCCGATGTTCCATTACGTACGTAGTTGCATGTGAAAAAAAGGAAAAATGAAAAAAAGACCCTTCTGATTTATTTCTTCCTCTTCTGAGTTTTTTGTCTTCTCGGCCTCGCATTGGTCTCTCATCGTAGCCCCTCTAATACATCTAATGAGGAATCCGAAGGCGTCCATGCAGACTAGAGAGAGTCACAATCTATTCCCTATTTTTGCCCTCCAACCATATCACCCCCTAACGTCTTCACCCGCACAACCAATCCATACCACCCTTTTTTTTTTCTTTTGGTCGAGATAGAGTGCGGAAGGAGAAAAAAAAAAGAAATAAATAAATGCTGCATGCCGAATTATGCGACGCGAAAGGAAAAAAGAAAAAGAGTAGAGGAAATGAATATGCTACCTGCCCGTCCCGTAAAAGCCGCCTGATTACCTATTCATTGCACGGCAACCGCGCGAAAATGAGTTCTCTCCTGCTCATTCGCCGTCCACTATGCCGAAACCCCTAAAGCCGTCAACTCATTACTCGGGTTGTACCGAAACTCTTCCCTTCCCTTCTTTTAGAGAAGAATTAAGACTAGGTGCCGTTTTTTTTTAAGAAAAAAAAGGGGGGTTCCGTAGAATAACCGATGTTCCGACGATGTCCTGGAATCCATAAAAGACCAATACCGTGTTATAGGCTGAAAAGCCATTGGCCGCAATCCATATCTCAGGGTTGGCGACCGTAAACCGTAAACCGTAAACCGTATACCGTGTGAGAGTACCGTTTTGACCTCCTCCGATAAACCCTTCGGTGAAACGAATCTTAGATATAACATTCATGAATCGTAAAATGCGTAACCTCCTAATGGGAGGCCGTAACCGTCCGTCCAAAAAAATACCTAGCCGAATAAAGAACCGCGACGGAATAAAATCTCCACATGCCACTAGGACAAACCCGCAACCACGGCAATCGACGGGATGGGAACTTCTCTCTCGTAGTCGAGCAGTGGTTCCTTTTCGGAATACACACCACCAAGGTGGTTCCGCTTGGCCAAGGAGTTGTTAATCATACGGTCGAGATCATCGTGGCGAGGCGAAGGAGTCGCAATGCTGTTGCTCCTTCTGGGACGAGGAGACATGCGCGACGCGTCGTTAGCATCACCATCAGGTCGACTCCCCCAAGAGGTCTGTAACTAGGTTAGCGTTAGACGCCCCCTAAAAATGATTCAAGACCGGAGTTGGTCGAGATACGACTTACCATGTTCAAGGTTAGCAAGGCATGCAGCTTGATTAGACCGTGGAAGTAGCCGAATATGATGGAGACGGGAAGGAAGACGATATCGGTCGGGTTTCGTCGAAAGAGCCCGACCAGCTTGACCACTTTGGTGAAAGCAAACATGTATATGACCTGAGCCCAGAACCAGCGCTGACGAACATCCAAGTCCCAACCCTCGGTGCCCCACCAGAGCGAGGCTAGTAGAAGGGGATCCACGACGAAGGCTAAGGAAGTAAAGGTTGCAATGTGAAGAGCGTAAGTGGACCAAGGTTGTTGACTAAGAAGCGAGATGATAAGTTAGTTTTGTTTTTTTGGGAATATAGCGATCCTCGTTGGGGTAGCTCGATGTTACAAGGGGACAAGGGGGGAGGGGGGTTTGAGAGGGTGAGGGATTGGGGGTAGGAGGGGGAAGGGAACAGGGGTTAGATCGAAAAAAACTAAAAAAATAAAAAAAACTAAAATAAAATAAAATAAAATAAAATAAAGCAATTAAACGCAATTAAACGCAATAGTAAGCTTAAAAAAAACACTTACGTAATCACATATCTTTCTCGAAACAAACTCGTCCAATTGCTTCGCCAGTTGCTTCGTGCCCATCGAGAGCATTGATAGAGAAACTTGAGACCATTCTCCAAGGTAGTTTCGATCTCGCATTCGCGCTCGTACTGGATCCAAGTCTTCCATTGGTGGCTCACCAACCAGCGGGTCACGAAATTGTCGTCGTCGGCATTCAGGATATAATCGCGCCATCGCTCCGTCTTGAATCCCTCCAAAAAGTCGTGGCTCGATAGGATCTCCGATCGGTAAGCTCCGGTACGACCCGACATGCACGATGTGCCTCCGTCGACGTTGTGGGTAGCCGATATCTCGAAGTTGCGGCGCTCAATGTATGCTGCTCCAAGCCAGTTGAAAATCTGAGTCAACAAAGATCCGTCAGGCTCCCGGCGCACACGCTGACAAGTACCAACGCCTCCAATTTTAGGATCTTCGAACGGAGCCAGGATCCACGGGATGAGAGTCGACGGCCAGGTAACGTCGTCATCTGCCATGATAGTAATCTCCGTCCCCACTTTGGGAAGCGCCTCGCATACTTGAAGTCGCTTGTTTGCGATGGGAGTAGACAGGACGCGAATGTTGGAGGTCGAGAGAGTCTTCACCAGCTTTTCCAGCGCGGCGTGCTTGTCCAACGTTGTCACGAGGATCAGCTCGGCTGGTCGGCAAGCTAAGATACTCTCGAGCGAGGGTCGAAGCTCTTCAAAGACATTGTGAATGGTAGGGATAATGACCGTCACGTCATTGGAGCTGTACTTAGGTTTGGCAGGAATAGGTTTCGACTTGTAAGTCCAGTGGCTTACCACGTGAACAATCAGACGTAGATAGCGATGCACCCTAGGAGAGAGTCAGATATTCCAGAGTATCGACCGGAACTTACCTCATAGAAAAAAAATCATGGAGAGGATTAGCAAATATAACGTACCACAAAACCCAAAAAGTATACCACCAAAAGTCGGGCGACGATAGGAAGTCGAAATGCAGGTGAAAGAGACCCGACAAGGGGGTTGTGATGTCCATCATGAATATTTCTCTCTGGGAAAGAGAGAGATCAGAGATCCAGATAGACGTATAGACGTATTAGCGTATCTTTATGTTGCGTTGTTGTTACCGAAAATTGTATTAGGAAAATGTCCGAATTGGTCCAGGAAGCTGCTGGAGGCGTGCGTCTTTAAAAGGTTTAAAAGGGTACAAGCCGGCCGTCTGAACGATCTCCCGGGAGAAGTTGGCAGTTCTCCACCAGGTGTTTATCAGTCCGACTTCCAAGTGACTAAACGTAACGAGTCAGCTATTTGTTCCTTCTTTTTTTTCGTCTGTCGTTACTCCATTATTAAATTTTTCTTTTGGATGAAAAGTTTTTTTTTAAAAAAAAGAAGGTCGTTCAAAAGTTACGACCAAGGCAGGTCCCAATTTGCGGGGAGGAAGCTAGGACGTAGTTGGTTTGCTGTAAGAGCCGCAATAAACCAAAACCAAAACGACAACGACTACCCCTCCAAGAGGCAACCGCAGGCAAGTGGCAGGCGAAGCAGGTACGGCGTGATATGCGTAGTCGAGGAAACGGCAGTAACGGGACGGAAAGTGCAAAGTTGAAAGAAGTGATACTTGCCTGTTTAACAACCTTGGACGCGAGGTACGTATCTTTTGAGATCTCGACACGACCAAGTCACGAGTAGGAAGGAGGAAGCGAGAATCGAGAAAGGGGAGCACATAAAAACCGGACGGCAGGCCCCTTCTTTTGCGTCTGTAATTAATGGACGACGGAATTAGGAACAAATAGACGAAACCGAGACTAAGTAACGGTGGCAACTATTAGGAGTCCCCCTGTGGCGTGGAGTGCCCGATGAATGTGCGGCAGCAGACAAAGATAGAAAGAAGAAATGGCCGAATCCGAGACCTCGAAACGAGAGTTTATCCTATCCACAGGATGAGAAGAGCAACCTCGAGCTCCTTTTGTTTCTTTTCCCAGTCGAGGCGAGTCTAAGCCGAGGCGGGAGGGTAGGAGGTAGGAGGTAGAGCGGCAACACAATATAATACACAACAGACTAAAAGAAAACCCTAAAGAAAAGAAGCCATTACGATGTTCAATGGGCTTTGAGAGGACATAGGAGAAGTCGTCAAGACGAGGCCAACGGGGCCAGACTCGGGAGAGGAGGCAAGGATATATAGGCAATGGACCCATATGACCCCATTCGACGAAACGGTCGATGTTGTATACTTTGCCTACCTACCTTAAACTATTTCCCCTACATACGTAAACGACGGACGGTGCAATGAGACGTAATTATGGGGATATAGTATGGCTAAGAAGATAAGTAGGGGGTATAGCATGTACGAAGACATGTAGGCGTATGTAGGTATGAGTAGGCATGTCGTAGGCATGTGTAGGCAAGGTGGGCATGTAGACAGGTACCGTGCCTACATTACTGGACGTGAGGATATGTATGCGTACATACATGTGCAATACCTGTAATAAGTAAGGGCAGTGGGAAAAGTAGAGGTGGTGCTTTAGATCGACCCGTCTGCAGCTTGTAGATGATGGGAACAGGTACCTTGCCAGGAAAGACGACATGGAAGTGCGTATAGGTTAATAATATTTTGGGTCCGACCATGCATGCTACATGACTAGAAACGAGGGCGAAAGGAAAAAAAAACTAATAAAAAACTAGGTATGTATATAAAAACAAAAGAACCTGGGGGGTTAATCTTAAGCCGCGAACTAAAAAGGGAAAAAGAAGGGACATAAATTGATAAAAACAGAGAATTAGGGAAATATACTTCGTACCTACTGTATTAATTTCAAAAGGGACATCAAGGCCGAAACAACCTTACAATGTTACCTGCCCAGGCTAGGTACTAAATGATGTCCATGTTATAGGTAGGTTTAGGTATAGAGAGAGAGAGACACAGTAAAGGAAAATGGTTCCAATGTCACATAGGTACCTAAGGTTATAGTAGACATTCCGAGGTGCCTATCAAAAGCAGCTGAAGGAAGTGCCAATACAACCGAAAAAGAACGAGACATAAGCTGAAAGAATGAGAAAAACAAGAGTGGTAAAAATCACTCCCCTTTTTTTTCCCCTGCAATTACTATTTGCGTTTACTCCATTGGTGACTCGGTTGGCACTTTTTCGAACCGATTGGAGAAAAAAACGAGTAACGGTAAAGGTTAGGGGGGAAAAAATTGTTGTGACTGGAACTTTTTAGTTAGAAGAGGAGAAGCTTGGGAAAAAAAATTATGGTTTCCCGGTTCGACCAGTTGGAGAAGCGGCTGCTGCTAAGAATTGTCCGGTTTTGGAGGTTGGGTTCGGGATGGACGTACTAGATTTGGCTAGTTGGGGCTACTGGGGCTAATGTGGGGCAGGGTCACTTCTCCTCGAGATCCCTAACTCTTTCTTTCTCTCTCTACCTGTGTAAGATACCTGTGTAAGGTACCTGTATAAGGTACCTGGAACTGAAGAAGTTCAACGGCAGGAGGAAGTTGGAACGAGGGGCAACAGCGGGTGCTGTGGGTAGCGAAGGTAGGTACCGCATAAGGTAGTGGGCATGGTAGACAGGGAAGGCATAGTGAGGTCCTCTTTACAGGGCACGGGGGTGTGTAGATGTAGAATGGTACCTTAGGTACCTTAGGTTAGGTATGTATTGTATTGTAATGTATTGTATTTACTGGAGCTCTCAACCGCGTTTAGTTCGATAGCAAACTTCAAGCTGCACTAAACCAAAATATTCACAAGGCTCTCTAAGCAGCTAAGCAGCTACTGTAGCGAAAACCTAGCCAAAAGCACCTAAGCGGAGCACCGTGCAGCGTGTATCCAAGCTGTCTAAAGACACCTAAGCTGTACTTTGCTGGGGATGCACCTTCTGGGAAAATGTGATATTTCCCTCGGGTACTTCGTCGGTACCTAACGAGACCTAGGACGAATACATTTCACAATATAACCTTTTTTAAAAAAAGAAAAAAGAAAAAAAATAAGACTTTATCATACACCAACTTACGTACAAGAAGCATCCCATCACACAGCGATACGCTTACAAGAATAACAAATACCTAATTATAATAAGTTGCGAGATGGATTGATAGTGACCTGACTTTTCAATTCTATCATCTGTCCCTTTTTTTTTTTCTTTTATTGCCCTTCCGTCCTTCTCACTGGTGTACCGGAATGGAAACACGAGATTCGTAATTTATATATAAGTGAAGTGTTTCGTCCAAACTTCGCATGTATGATTGACACATTGAAAAGGTCTATAAAGAGAGAAGAGGAGAGAGTTGTATGTGTAACATATGTACCTAGGTAGGCACATGTAGGCGAAAAGTAGGGTACGTGACTTAGGAAAAATCAGGTGTTACTGATTAAAATACAGCCAGCGCGTACGGACTGAAGAGCTCGTGAGAGTTTGACCTTGTTACTGGTCAAAACTGCTGCTGCTGCTGCTTCTGCTGCTGCTGGAACCTTACGGCTCACAAGTCGCTAACTCGAGCGTGTCGAACCGACCCAGAGATCCCAGGTTCTCAAACGAATCAGGCTCGAGATGTGCTGCTGTGGAGCACAAATCGATCTTCAAAAGAACGGCTCCGCTAAGACTTTTGAACGATCTCGCTCTTGGCGATTGGCTAGGAGTTCGCTCGGGCTGTCTACTAGTGAACTTAGCGCTGATCTATAGCCTCCACGATGAACGCTATCAACGGGGCTTAGGATTACGAAGTTGCTGGGGAATTATCCTGTGAGATGGCGAAAGCTAGGAAGCAAGAAAGGAAGAAAGGAAGAAAGCACGAGAGCACCAAAGCGCGACGTCTGAATGGAGGGAAATGCCCTCTTCCCTCTCCTTCCAAGAAGTATGTATATGAAGATCTAGGTAATGGCCAAGACAGGATTATAGTAGCTGCGCCACTAGAAGATCCGAGGGCTCAAAACGTACGGCCCCCAATATTCGTTAAGACCTGTTAAGACATATCATATATTTCATCACTCGCCAATATCGATCAAACGAAGAGGTGAACAACCCTACCAGCACCCCCCGTGGACCGTCCAGCAAAGCCCGTTGCCGAGTACCCAGTTAAATACCAGGTACCTACCTACCTACCTACCTACCTACCTAACCTACCTGGTATCTTTAAAAGTCGTCGTCTGGAAATGCTTCCTCGGTTCCGCTTGTCCATAATTGCAACGCGCTCCAGATATACGAGAATCACCGCTGTCCCCTATCAGGACTTTCAGGAGTTGATAATACGCATGTATTATCCTGCTCAACCTTGTCACGGCTACTTGTCATTGGAGAAGCCGCGGCGACCTGCGTCTACGTGGACGTCTAGAAACACTGGGTCTGGCGAACCGTCCCTGTACGTCGCGCGGGTCTCGCCAGATTCGGGGTTGGATTTGATGCATCATTTAATTCTTGGTGATCTGGAAAATTCCATTCACGACGGGTTTCCAAAAAGTCGTGGCGTGGTTGGCCCCATGCAGAAGCAACTGAAACCTCTGCGTGTGCGCGTTGCTATAATAATGATCTACTAGGAAGTAGTACCGGGTTGGTCCGGGCCCCCCAGTATGTCGAAGTTACACCGTCGACTTTCTGTATGTTGGTTCGGACGGCAATACCTGCATATATGCTCGTCGTCGGCGGTACTTATATGTCAACCCCCACAGAACCATTATGTAAGGCAGTGGGAGGTCCATGTCAAATATCGTATGTGCGTACCTAATGTGCGTATTTGCGTGTATGCGTATGGCTTTGCAGAGTATAGCTTGTAGAGCATAGCGTATAACGTACAGCGCGTAGGGTATAGCTTGGACAACTTCTCCTATCGCCGTTGCTCGGTTCTGCCCCGTCGTTGACGTTGCGGGCCACTTACGAGACACCCCGTTCTCAAATTTGCACATGCGGCAAGGTCGACCAGCACATCCCCATTGCCGGAGTGCCGTGCTGTCTGTCGCCTCGCAAATGAGTGCCTACCTTAGCTACCTAGGTACGCAGCCACCCCCTAGAGAAGATGCTGATGATACCTGTTAATCGCGATAGTCGACGCAACGTATCGCAACATAGTATCGATGTCCCTTTCGGTATATTCATTATTCTGAGTTTTTAATTTTATTCTTTTTATTCTCACCTCCCCGGATGGGCATAGGAAGAAGAATATTTTAGAGCTTCCTTTTGTTTAGGAACAGGTGATAAAATGAGACGCGTATGCGTCTTTGCCGCAAAGACAGGCAAAACATTGGAAGCCACGAAAGGTTGAGGCTTGGTCGTCATTCTGCGAGGTGTTA